TGCCTGATTCTGTCTAAGCAATTAGTGTTTTTTCCTGCCCGAAACACTTTGCATAATAGTGGCTTTAGGCATTGTATGTACTAGCTCTATCTATAAAGCCAACAAACTTTGTAAAATCTCTATGTACCTTTACCTAAATAAAAATTATTAATTATTATTATTATTATTTATTATTATTATTAACTCTTCCAACTGACAGAGGGACTTCTGGACTTTCCAAACTACATTCTGGAAAACTATATAAATTTAAAACCAAGCTAAAGTAAACTTTTTTTTTACTTTCAAGGGAAAAATACCATCACTTAGAACAAAACTTTTCCTGCCATTAACTTTATTTGACTCATGATTACCCTTAGTGTTATACATTTATAGATTAAAGCTTATTTAACAAACATGTTAACGTTAACTAAACAAGATTTATATTTCATTAAAATTATTAATAAAACACTCAACTATGCTGTTTAAGATCTAATGCCCCACATTAGAATTTTCACAATTTCAACATACCATTCTATTCAATACATTCCTGAAAGGACTAAACTTGCAGATATGGTACCCACTAGCCTAAGCCTAGACTTCCATACCCTAATATTTAATAGGTTTTTAGCAATTAACTTCTACCCTCTAATTCCAATGTACACAACACTACTTACTGTAGATCTGCAAGTATTTTCCTGCAGCTCTTTGTTGCCAGGACCTTCCACAACCTGACATGTGAACAGTAAATATTACTAAAAAGTTATTTGCATAGCGATGTTATTTTGTTCATACCTGTACCACCAGTTTAACAGTTGCCAGCTTATGGCAAAAGCTTCTGTAGCAATAGAACCATAAGCCACACTTTCTCCCCCCCCCCTTCCTCCCAACTGTTGAGTGTCAAAAGGGAGGGGGGGGGGGGTGTCTATTTACTCTACCACTTACATTTTAGTGTGGGCTTCATCCACTATTCTGATGTTAGCTGGAACATTTGTGCCAGCTGCTGGTTTGAAAGGGAGGCATACCATGTGCCAATTCAGGAAGCTTTCCACGTTCCTCACTGCATGTCAGCTCAGGACCTCACTACCATGTTGGGAGGCAGTTGAAGACTAACCAATCAACATCCCAGGCTGGAGAGCAGTGCCAGCTCGGGGAGAATTTACCACCTGCAAAAAATTTAATACTCTTAACAATCTACAACATCTATCATCTTTACCTAGCCCCTAAACCTTACATTTGTCAGCATTAAACTGCATCTGGTAGTCTTAACCATTTCAAAACTATATAGGGCATCGTTATTTTTTTTGCCAATTCTGCAACTATTGCAGTCTAAACCATAATCTTGTGAATAACCGAGGTCCAACGAGAGCTTTTAGGCACTACTTACAACACTTCTCCCAACTTAACTCCATTTATACTAATTTCCTTTGGTATAGCTATGACCTAATCAACTTCAGTCAGCATTCCCAATGATCCGAGCCCCTATCAATTTTGCGCCACTCAAAATCTCTGCTTAAGTCAAGGTACACAAAATCACAAACCTTATCACCATTTCCTCAACTATGCAACCTAATCCATGAACATTTAGTAGTAAAACTATGCGATTCATGTATCTAGTCATGTTTCTCAAAAAGAGTAGAGAAATGGCACTTGCAATGTTAGATTCTAGTAACTTTCCTCACAATAGACTAAGCTAATTGGTCACTAACTTAAGCGTTAAAGTTAACTCAAACTTTTCCTTTAAAACTTGCTATATTAGGAACTTTCCACGACCGGCCTTTACCCGACATAATTAAATAGGGTAAAAACGGTATATTAAATGCAGTAAAACTACGGTAAATTCAATATGATAAACTTGCATTCTTTAAGCATGGGCTGCATAGACTTTAAAGCCTTTAATAAATAAACTTTAAAGCCCCATACTGCCAGTATCTTTCTCCCCCTGATCAGAAAAATTTCTTTATTTAATCACTTTGTCCGGCTAGAATTTTTAGATTACATTAAAGGAACACCCTCCCTGGTAACGGCTGAACTAGTTAACCAAATACAAATATTTAAGTAAAATACTTTCATAAAACCCGTCTACTTCCCCCACCAGTAGACTTGTTCAGCTAAAGGCATAATGTAATGTTCCACTTTAGTAAATAAAGACTTAAAAAACCCTACCCCATCTGTGTAGTTACCGGTTACCTGACATTCTACGCTTAAAATAACCCATCTATTCCCCATAATTGTTGATATAACTTACCTCTCACCCGCTGGTCGAGTACACAGCAGTATATATCCTCCTCCATCACTCACCGCGTGGATACTATTTCACTCTGGCCGCAAATTGCCTCAAATCACCTACGTTGTCCATAAACATATATAGAAGAGCAACTGACCATAACACCCGTATAGCGATCATCATATAACGTGGGAACATTAGTAGTACTGCTGTCAAAACATAGATGGCGCCAGGACAAACGGTAATTCCTATGGACTCGCCTAGTTATGCGTAGGGAATTGAGCTTCAGCTGTTTGGTCCCGCCCCCTCAGCTGTATTCACCTAGTTGTACTCACCTAATTTGTGCTTGCAGGGGTTGAGCTTTGGTTCTTTGGTCCCAACTCTCAACCGTCAATCAACAGGTGTACAGGTTCCTGAGCCTATTGGGCTCTATCACATCTACATTTGAAATTGTGTATGGAGTCAGCCTCCACCACATCACTGCTTAATACATTCCATTTGTTAACTACTCTGACACTGAAAAAATTCTTTCTAATATCTCTGTGGCTCATTTGGGTACTAAGTTCCCCTTGTTCTTGTTCCACCCGTGCATATATCTTTGCTTTCACTTCAGTTATATTTATGACAAGGGATTTAAAATTTGCCTATATTTCTGCTTCTCTGATGACATTAAAAACTTTCGTTTATTACAGTATCTACATAAAATTAACATTTATCTTCATTAGGTTGTAGTTCTCATCAATAGGGAGAGCGTCGGTAAAAAAAAAAAAATTGTTTAAATATAAATATCTTTCCTCTCTCAATTGAAATTGAAATTGAAATTGAAATAACTTTATTGAGGTAAAATACACACAAAGGGATGAGGTAGCTCAAGCTATTCTCACCCCGTTCAGTACAACGTGTTAGTACATACATAGACACACATCACAAACAATAAACCTGTTACCAAACATTCTGAGAGATAAACATGTACATTTCCTCCTTCACAAGTGGTATGGTATCAGACGTACACAAATACTTTTATGACCTAGTTATACGGATAATTCAACAAAATATTACAGTCTTGGTGCAAAATTCTTATATCTCTCAAGAATATCATCAAGAGAGTCTCAATAATATGCCCGAAACGCTATGCGTACTAGTGGCTTTAGGTATTGTATGTACTAGCTCTATCTATAAATCCAATATTATGTTTGTAAATCGACTATTTATGTACTTTCCTGAATAAAATGAACTTTACTAATATCTAATCTCTGTGACTAAAACGTAAGAACGACTTTATCTATGCCTTTTTGATAACATATACAATTATAAGCTTTATTAGTGAATCTCTATTAATTAAACAATATATCAGAGAGTGTGTAAGGTTCGGTGTTCCATGTGCGAAGAGACATGGGAGATTTTACATCAGTACAGTAGTCTGATGTCTTTGCGATGAAATGTCTGATGAAATTTGCGATCATTTAAGGAGAGAAGTGCGACGACTGGATCACTGTGTACAGAAGGTTGATATGCCAACAAACACTTTCCAGACAACAATATATCTTGGATAAGTCGCTCCACAACATTGACACCTGGACCGTTGACTTCCTATGAGGCCACATATTTACTTATTTCATAATGGAAGTATATTATTTTATAGTAAATATATGTTTACTCGTGTTCTGCATTAAGAATTAACATTATAGTCAATAAATATACCATATTTCTTCATTATTTAAGTAATGCTAGGAGGCTTTGAGTAGCTTTGGGTCATTAGGTGAACAGAATCTCCAATAGATGGGGCGAGAGTTGCGCTATCTCTCGCCCGAGCGAGAGTCGAAACTTATTTTAGAATTGATATATCTTTGTCCTCCAACAAGATATATTTCCTTTGGTGCACTCACAATAACGAGCATATCTCTGTCTTTCTGAAGGCATATAATATTTTAGGCTTTATAAGCGTATCTTTGTTAATTACACACTATATTGGCAAGTGCGTAGGCTTCTGCATTCCATGACCGACAAGCTACTGAATGCCACTATAAAAACGTATGTATCTTCACTTGAGCTTTATATATGTCTATGTTAAAGTATTTAAAATGAAGCTTATATTTCTATCTTTCTTGAGACATATAAAACATATGTGTTTATTAATGAATTTACGTGAAATAAGCATTGTTCTGAGAGATAGTTGCTATGTCGATCAGTCTGTGCGGGGTCGGAGCTCGGCGATTATTAAAACACATGTATCTTCATTAGAACTTTATATATATCTATGGTAAAGTATTTAAAATGAAGCTTATATTTCTATCTTTCTCAACACATATAAAAACATTTGCGTTTATTAACGAATTTACGTGAAATAAGCATTGTTCTGAGAGAGAGTTACTCCGTTGCTCGATCTGTGCGGGATCGGAGCTCGCCGATTAGAAAAATACACGTATCTTCGCTTTAAATACAAATATGCCCATGGTAAGGCATTTAAAATGAAGATTATGTTTCTATCTTTCTTGAGACGTATAAAAATCTTACGTTTATTAACGATTCTGCGTGAAATAAGCATTGTTCTGAGATGAATATTGCGGATTTCCGGCTCTACGACCGATGAAAAATGCAACTTTTATACAACTACAAATATCTTTAGTTTTACTTTAAATTTTGTCCTGAAAGAGTTTTCATGTATAGATCCAGTTTCTGCCGTTCTTCTGACATAAAAAGACCTTTGGTTTAATAAGTTATTAAGATGTTTTCAACAATATTACTAGGGCGTTCACCGATTCTAACATGGGCGACCCTTTTGGAAACGCAACACATGGGTTGACCTGATTGATATATGGGTCAGATTCCATTAAGGTTCGGAACATAAACATGACCATCATGCAGTCTCACCAGCCTGCTGATCCTATCAAGATTAAGAAGCCTGAAACATAAACGCGTCTCCCAACATTTGTACTCGTGCAGTCATCGGAGCATAAACCCGTCATGCAAACTGCACCTACCATCAAGAAGAGGAGTTTGTAGACTAGCTCATCCGAACTCTATACCTCTCAAACAACAACAACTCCATACACTGTGAAGGTAGGCAAGTGCTTACCTGTCAACGATCATTCTTGTATATTTTATATAAATTGTAATTATAAGTTAATTGTGATGCTGGAGGTCCCTCTGTAGTACGTATATTTTTGTATACCTGAATTTACCTGAAGGCCACTATATCTGTTAAGTGCCTCTACGGGGGCAGAAAGTCAATGGCTTGTAAAGGGTCCCTACATTATTCGTGAGGATTTTCTCAGGTGTATTTTGAACTAAGGCAGGTAAATCAGACTAAAATTAATAGTACAAACTGTGAACTTTGAGCAAAAGCCTGTTAGTATTTATATGTTATTGTAGTACCTTGTGTTTTATTTGATTTTATACACTATTGTATTTATTATTGAATTGAATTTTCTATGTTAATTGTCTTATCAATTACAGAGTCTATGCAAAATCTAGCTGCTTGTCATAGCACACATTTTCTTTTAACTCAAAAAGTAACATTAATTCCTCTATGTAAATAACAAGAATGAAAGCATTTCATATATTATTAGGGTGACTCAGTGTATAACTAGCCTATAAATTAAGATACAGCATAAAGAATAATTTATTTTAAAACGATGTAACATTTGATTGTCCAAAGAAACATTCCAATTTCGATATTGACTATCTTTCAGTTGCCATTAAACTCAGTATCTCATGTGTAGTACCTTAGTTTTATGTCACTAGGCACAACCCCAGGTGCACGTTTTTATGGCCGTCAAACTGACATATATGTATAGTAGGTTTCAGTTTTGAAACCTAAGTATGTAGGTTTCTAATACATGATGTGGTCTTTCTGAACAGGACCCCAAGATGGCAAGTGTGGTACACGTGATTGTGCTTGCTGGTAACTCATTTTGGGACGTGTTATCAGTAACTCAAAACACTGCCAGAGCTCATAACAGAAACAAATCATGGTGGATATTTGGAGATCATTGTAATGACAAGGAATCAAAGCATGCTGGCATGTCTGTCTGCATATGCAGTCTGAGCTGTTTCCCAGATTACTGGAGGGACTTTGTTGGCATAGAGTGTATTAATAAAGGCATGAAGGGACTAAGAATTAAAAAGACATTCAAAAGAATTCCTCAACTAAAATGCCAAAGTGAAGGATTACATTTTGCTGTGTTTTTAAAAGAATTGCTAAATTCAGATAAATACAAATTCTCAGTGTTTCAACAGTGGATACTGAAGTTTAAGCAGAAATATTCTAACAATATTTCAAGTGAATGTAATGAGCATTTAATAATTTGGTGGACTTTGAAAGATCAGATACCTTATATTATTGATGATAAGTGGTGTTTTCGAATGAATCGTTGTGCTCAAGAATGGCAGCACCTCGACAGCATCATGTCTTGGCTTTCTACACTGGGTGGTGCATGCTCTGCACTTGGAGACTATAACACCCATTTTGCAGACAGAGCATGGGCAATATCTCTCAAGCAGATGGATATTGCACTCCGCCTCGGTGATCCTAACATTATCTCTCGATGCAGACTCTATGCTGCCATAGCTCTCATTCAACAGTGTAAGTTTAAGGTAAGAGAACAGGAAACTTGTGTTAAAGTACTAGCTTTGATAAAATGTCTAACTCATTTTCTCTCCACTCCTCTTCTTACCTCTTACCTACCTCCCTTACTGACCCTCCCCAGGATGCAACCCCAACAATAAGCTTACTAACTCCTGGGTTCACCTACTGCTAGGTGAACAGGACCATTAGGTGCTAAAAAATGCAACCAAAAATTTGTCTCACCTGGGTTTTGAACCTGGAATTCTAAACTGTGAGTCTAGAACGAACCCAACTGTACTACCCTCACAAAAGTTTTATATATTTTTTCATTGTTAAGTTTTCCATAATGTTTAATACTGGGATAATAAACTGTTTAAGTGGAGAGGATTGTCTTATCCATAGATAATGAATCATCAAAAACACATCACTTGATTAGTTTGGTAATGTACCATTTGGCCTGGCCATTAACTGTCTACTTAGAAAGTCATGCTCTTGGTTTGGGCTAGGAAAACCTTGACACGACATTTAAGGACTTACGGTCTCTAATATGGTATAGGTTAAGTCCAGACAAAAGGCAGTTTAAAAAATCCTCAATTTTCTGCAGTGTTCATTAAAACCAGAAATATCACCAGAGCATCTGCACGATGACATGTTAATTAATGTGACGGTATATCCACAAATAAATATTTACTTACCAATATTTTTTTACATCTAAGTACATGTATCTCAAGAGAATTGTAAGGAAAATAATATTTGTATTTTGTCAAAATAAAGATTTTAAAATATAGGGGTAATTTCCAATACACATAATGCTCTATTTTTGGTAATTAAGGGATTTTAAATTGTTTCCACTTCTTCATTCTTGGGTCACAGTTTTAGAGTGCACAAATAATTTAAAATTTTATGTATGCAGCAGTTATTTACAATTTAAGTCATATATGTATATGTAAACCTAAATGTTTATAATTTATTTTCACAGTTAGCAGCAGTAGTGATAAAAACTGAATACCAATGGGTTAAGTCTTTGCCTGAAGAAGTAAGAGATCAGCGGTTGGTGAACATGTGCCATGGGATCTGGACCAAACTTCAGCACGAACACAAATTATATCATATGAAAATAAAATAACTTCTCCAAAATAGCATTAAGCTCTAAATACAGCAACTTTATTGTCAGAGTACCATGAATACTGGAAGCTTGCATTATTAAATTTATTTCTAAATATTGTACAGTAAAAAAAAAAAAAATTCTGCAAGAATCGTGATTCTTGTCTCGGCTGGTTTGTCCCTTGAAAATTACAAATACATGTAAAGAAATTCATGGCTATTGAACTTTTGATGAGTAATTCGTGTGCTATCATACAGTAAATTGTGATTGTTGGAGGAACTTTATGAGGGATGAGTTCACACATTTCTGTTAATTTTATAAAACTTATACAGTATGTCAAACAGAACCATATTTATAATACTGTACTGTACTATGTTTACATGTTCTAAAATAAATTTCATATCTGCTCTAGTATTTTGTGCTACTCTTGTCATTTACATGAATATTATACATCCTAGTCTGTTGCTCATTCTGCTACAAACTGATCACCGATATAAATTCAGCATCCTTTCTTTATTCTCACGTTCAATAATAATAACAACACTCTGCAGAAGGCCAATTGACCTATGTAATTCAGCTATTTATACCTTAATATTTCAACCACATTTCACAACAAAAATTTGCCACCATTTTGTGGCTTGTGCCTCGATATGATGTGCAAGCTCAAGAACTTTGAAGGGTAGTTAAGTGGCTTGTGAAGCTCTTCTCCTGGGCTGTGGAAAGAAGTGACAAAACATTGTCTTGAGATACTATCAATGTGTTTTCTGTGCATAGGATAGTACTGTACTATATAACTTTCCGGGCTTAGTGCAGAGGGAACCATATATTACCCCAGTTCCGTTCATCTAGGAATCAAGGGTTGCAGCTCCTTGATGCAACAACACACTTCATTGGTTAGGGGATGGATAAAACAGGAGTTGGTTCAGTTCAGTTCCTGGTGTGCTTCCTCTCCTCATTGGTGACGTGCATATACTGTACTATTCCTACTATATATATACCAATGTATTGGCATTTGAATATTTTTGCAGTACAAAGATTGCTCATAAGTTTGGATCATATGGGGCATCTGAACTAGAAGTTCTTGTGTACTGTACATGTAAAATATACAATAATTTTTTGAACCCCAACCAATATTTTTTAATTGCATTATAGTACTGTAGTTTCAAATAAATGAATTAAAATTAATTTATACTTGGTGGAGATAAAGCTGTCTTAATCTCCTTTGGCTTGGAATACTGCACTGTACTTTACAATGAAAAATGCAGTACTATTCACATTAGAACTAAGAAGGCAAATATTGTACCTGAATATATGCCACTTAAAATAATTAGCAAAAGGTGCTAAGCCAAGAAGACTATGTAACATTACATTATGGGATCACTTGCCATGCCAATACAAGAACAATGACATACAGCAATGGAGTGTGAATGAAAGGAAAATATTCAAGGAAAAGCTTTTCATCACAGAGAAAAGGTACAAGCCTTTACCATGAAAGTCAATGCCTTCCAACATCTCTCAAGTGGGGCCCTCCATGGGAGCAGGGAACAACACGAGGTCGAGTGCAAATGTGAACCGATAGAAAATCTTGCATTCTTGCAGGAAAAGAAAGCTGGCGTAAGGATACAGGACCCTGGGGAGCCGGTCGGCCGAGCAGACAGCACGCTGGACTGTGATCCTGTGGTCCCGGGTTCAATCCCGGGCGCCGGCGAGAAACAATGGGCAGAGTTTCTTTCACCCCATGCCCCTGTTACCTAGCAGTAAATAGGTACCTGGGTGCTAGTCAGCTGTCACGGGCTGCTTCCTGGGGGTGGAGGCCTGGTCGAGGACCGGGCCGCAGGGACACTAAAGCCCCGAAATCATCTCAAGATAACCTCCCAAGGGGCAATAATCAAAGCACTACATGCATGAGTAGAGGTTGCAGGAGGCTGCACAAGATAGCAAATGATGTAATGATCATGATAATCCTATAGAGACAGGATACTGGCTTCAGCATACAAGCTCTGGATTGGGTGTAACTTGCTAATGAGGCAGAGAATCAAGATGAAAGGTTGAGACAGCCATAATCGAGTTTAAATAGCAGAAGTCTTGGTTGGAGAGAACTTTAAGCCATGATTGAGGACCCAAGACAACACATTATTGATTGCAAGTTGGAGCCTGGACAGTCATAGGCCTGGGAGGGCTAAGGAGGAAGGCAGAATTAAGAATCGGATAAGCTTACAGCATATACAAGGGAGGCAGCAGAGAAATTACAGTATGTATATAAATACAGCAGACAGACTGGGAAGGAAGGGTGGAAACATGGGCTGGATACACCAGAGAAACAGTGACCTGGCAGTTTACCTAGGAAAAAAAGTTATATGATCTCAGTGTATCAATGTAATGATGTTTTGGAATTTCCCAGATTTGAATTAGCAAGGTCCAAATTAATTAATTTCTGTAAATTTGCACTAATACTGCCTGTACTTTAACATCTAATGTGCTTTAAGATTCCTATTTTAATAAAGGCTAATGTTTCAAATTGTTCATAACAAAATATAGACATTATGCATTAAAAAGGGCAAAACTATGCCCTTTTGTGTCACAATATCAAAAAGTTCCTAGGTATCATTCAGGATGCCAATATGAGCAAAAAGACAGGACAAGCGATGCCAGTGGAACCTATATCACCAAGAGACATGACTCGGTGGACAGAGGGAAAACAAAATGTCAGATCCTGAAAATTGGGACATTATATGCCTGGTGTATGACTTAGTGGAGTAATGCAGTTCCAATAGGTACAGGGTCTCTAGTCCACAATTTAATTGTGTACAGTATAGCAAATACATAAACTAGCCAAAGGCATTTCTAATTTTGTTTTGATGACATAGGGGAAAAAGGTCCACAGGGATAGGTCACATTTGATAATACTTTTTGTAATATGAGCAGTAGCAAATACCTATCTTCCCAATGGTTGTCACATTATAAATGGCACCATAAGGAATTATTTTTAAAAATATTGAACTGGTACAAATGGCTTCTTCAGAAACAGTGGCATTAGGTCACTGGAAGCCTTATTAATATAATATGGCTGGGTGGCCAATAAAACTTGTATGTTCAAAAGCGGACGAACAGTACAACCAAGGTTGGACTTATCCATTCTATGTAATCTTTGAGTGTAATCAATCTCTCATTTTAGATAGTCCTGTAAATCCTATATATAGTGACATTTTCTTTTATCTCATTTTGGAAGGAGCCATTATTAATTCTAATCCTTAAAAAGCATATCATTGCCAGCTATTAAAATAATTGTCTTCAAATAACAATTAACCATCAAATTCCAGACATTTAAGAGACTAATATAGAATGATATGTTTCTATTTAAAAAGGAATATACAAACTACATTATATATACAATGTGAATGTAGATGATTTAATAGGTACATAGTACCCTGCATCATAAATATGGCATGTAGATATATACATCAAATGTATGCATGCATTTGAATATAATAGTGTGCTGTTACATAAATCAGCATAAATAGTGTTTAACTATGAACATTCACAGAGACGACTCAAAACATACAGGACAAAACACACATGTTCAATAAAAGCTTGATCCCTTGTTATAGTTTAAACTAAGTAATATGGTAAAAATAATAAAATTAAATACTGTATATCTTTGACCAGACAAAAAAAAAAAGAATCTTAATTTGGATGGCACAAGAAATAACAAGCATACACCACCCTGCTTTAAGTATGAGAAAAGATGCCAATAACAACAACTGAATCAAAGATTTGGATGGAGTAGTCAAGACAAGAAATCATTCAACCTTCTCTACTAACACTCGGAACATAGGTAAAAATTGAAAAAGTTATAATTCACACCTCTGATAAATCCTACTTGGTCATTTTGAAATCTTTGGTACAGAAGTCTTATCCAGTGATACCTCAGGTTTGAACACGTATATTTCACTGAGAGTTTAAGTCACAACAATTATACAAAGAAAGCTGCATTGATAAAATAAATCTATCCCTCACTAACAAATCTATACCTCATAACACTCATTTGTGAGACAGATTATTAAGGATTTATCTTCATTTAAATAGAAAAATACGGGATTCAAAAACTATGGCTCTTTCTGTTGACATCTAATACCAACACCATCCTTTCTGTAGGCATTTGACACCAACAGCCTCTATGGCACTGAAAGCCAGTTTTAAGCGTTAGAGAGTAAAAGTAACTACCACAGGAATGGAATTACACGCTAAGTGACTGCAGATTAATAAATATCATGAAATGGGCAGGAGAAACAATGGGATATCATTTATGGTATCATACATCAGCTGTCTTGTATGGCTTCAGTTGCTTGTATATTGCTAAGAGTATATGATAAAGCTTTAGATATCATTTGAAAATGCATTCACAATCTTTGGATAAATCTACTGTCATATGTCAAAAACAATATAAATCTTCAAAATAAACTTCTTGTGATCAGCCAAATAACCTAGCATTGTAAATATCCAAAAAGACTAGCTTAAAAATAATAACACATGTTCTCAAAGTGGAATGTCCATAAAACAAGATTTCAAACTAAAACGATTTAAGTAAATCAAAATTTGTTTAGAGGAGCATAAGGTCAATATTCACACCAATTAGTTTTTCTCTATAAAATAAAATTGTTAATTCCAATTTGCAGTTATTATATTTCTTTAACTCTGGTTGTTAAGTATACAATTAAAAGAATAAATCGCAATAACATGGCAGGAACACAAACGCCAAACCCACACATTACGAACGGGAAAACCGACACCACTTCCGACAATCTTAGACCATTGCCAAGGTCTAGGATGGACTTCGACATTATCACTTTTGCCATTTCTAGATGTGGCTTTGGTGTTTACTGTACATGGGAAAAATTTGGCCATATTAAAATTTTAATAAAAGCATTTCAAATGCCAATTTCTAGTGATGTGTACTGTTGAATACAAAAATACATCTACCATAATTTTATAATTTACATTGATAAAGAATTTGTGTATGTATATATATACACACACACATATATATATATACATATGCCAAAAACTCAAGATACATATATATGTATAATATATACATATATATATATATATAATATACATATGTATTTATAACATGTATATATAACATATATACTAATATATATTTATTGCCAAAGAAAAACTACATAAAATGCATATAATGTTCACAGTCAATATGCTAATATTTCAAAATAAGTTTCTAACAAAACTATGCACAATTATTAACATATTAAAATAAAATAATTAAAAATACATAATTTTCTAGAATACAATTATCACTTTTGCCAATGATAATCTATGGTTTTCATAATTAATTAATGTGACACAAATGCAAGAAAAAATGCAAGCTATTTGCATATAAACTCTAAACAAATTATAAATTATACAGATTTTTTTTGTTTGTTTTTTTGTTTTTGTTCAAATATTAATGAGGCCATTAGGTAACTGGGTTGTGGAGGATCACAGTGCTGGGCTTCTCAACAATAGCTTGGTTGTCTCCACTATGAATCAAACTTATTACATTAAAATATATTCTTTAGCAATTGAAAAGAATTAATACAGGAGAGAACCATCAGTGTTTTATACATAGCTAGGAAACATTGAATATAGTGACTGGCAAAACCTGCTAAAACATGGCTACAGGATAAATAACATTACGCATCCCCATTCCATCTGCGGTTTCACAGCGGTTCTAACATCCTACTATGCACAGATCAATGAATGGTTCTTTGGATATGCATTCTTAAACTCTTATTGGCATCTAACATCATTTACACATCATGTACATACCTTAAGCTTCTTTGAGACTAGATACCTCCTATCCTCCAACTTATGAAGGACAAGCAGTGTTACTACCATTGATAGTTTTGCACAAACATTGTCAGGTATCTTCATATTGCTTAAGTAAATGGTAAATCTGTGTAACAAAATATCAACTTTAATTTCATTTCATTGTGATAAAATAAATCAAAAAGCTTATGAAGATAAAAATATATCATTCACACCTGGAAAACTTGAAAACTTTTGGGCTAAACACAAATGAAACTTGGATCAAAATATTTAGATCTTCCCTCCCAATTACACTTAACTGAAAAGTAGTACACACCGTGAAGTCAAGACAGGGAATGCACAGGAAATGTACACCTTTTGTTTGTTGCATTCTAAAGCCACGAGAGAGAGATACTGGTGAAGAGATTACACAAATGCAAGAATGAGCATATGAAACAAGGTATGAGATATGAACACAAACAGTTATTATGTAAGCTACAAAGAGGTTTATGGAAATATGTATGATACTGAAATATGAGTAGTCACACAGCAAGACAGCAATGCTACTTCTCATCTATTTAATTATAAACTGCTTACAATGTATTAAATATGGATGTACAGTACAACTCACCTAATGAATATCAAATGCTTTGTGTTACATACCTGATATGTTATAATGTGCCACGAGTTGGGAGATGGAAGAAGTTGGAAAGTGTATTGTTAGCCTGAACAAGTTTGCCAGCCTCCTAGCAATGATATATGCTCAATAAATTAATGTAGATTTATAAATACAAAGTTTATTCAAGCACATTTTAACAGTGTTCGAGTTGCTTACATATGGGGGGGTAAACTAGTGACAATTTCAGCCAATTCCTATGCAACTCCCTGTCTTGTTAAAATTGTGTAGTTTCCTCCAACTGCCTACAAAATTATATATCCCTTATTTTAAACTCACTCCAAGTTACATTGAAATCATGTTTTGACCTCGCAGCCTGGTCGAGGACCAGGGAATGCTAAGTAGCATCACATTCGGGGATGCTAAGCCCCGAAACCACATCAAGGTAAGGACCCCCTTCCCCACCCCCCACCTCCCTAATTTTTCATACCTGGGTTTTTATGTGACAACATAAATAGTTTTCAAGATGCAGACAGTAAGTCACAATAACGTAGCTGAAAATTAGACAGCCAACCCCAAGATGTCCCTCTCTCTGTCTTGTACATATTCAGCTTTGTGTATATATATATATACTGTATATATATATTTATATATATCCTCATATACTTTACACTTATTCTGCTATGACTTTCAGCTCCCTACGTCCACTGCTGTTCTTCTTGGATACGTTGGAAACATTCCTCCATAAAATGATACTGAAATACATAAAAGGAAATTAAATACTTATTTGATATAAAATATTTAGTATAAAATAGTTTCATTACTGGCTAAATATTATGAGTATAATTCTCTGAACAATCTCTACAAATTTTGAAATATTGTATTATCTTGTGGTCTTATTATGTTTAATGTTAGCCATTTTTTAATGGTACTTATATAAACATCCCTAAATCTTTCAAATAAAAAAATGATAATGTGTTATGCATAGTTGGTGGATAATGAATTCATTGGGTAAAGGGACGTCCTAGACTGGCACAATCTGTTGTTATTCTGTAAATTATGTAATTACTGTTCTTACTCTCCACTAATTTCCGATATGAAGTCGACAACGAGCATTAAAAAATTACACACTAAAAATACAATCAGTCTAAGAACAAAAATCATAGAATCACAATAACTTACATAGGGTGTAAATATTTTGACCCATCTGATAAGATCTTCCGTTTGCCTGTAGAGAAAACAAAATGCCATTGCTTCATCATCCACCTCAAACTTCTCAATCGTGGACCAAGCAAAATCGATTACCTGTGTCTGAAATGACAAAACAGCGTAAAAATTGCAGGCTATCCACAAATAATTTTATACCATTTTAAAAATAAGATGTAATTTGCAATAATCGATACATGTATCAGTAAGACTTTAATGTCTATATCTAGACGAGGTACCCAGCTGTGCCCAGGTCTATCGTTCCCCTCTCTCCACCCTTCTCCCCTATCATCCCCTCTTTTTCCCATCATCACTCCTTATACCTTTACCCCTTTCTCACATAAAATTTAATATTATAACAGGAACAAAAAAATATGACAAAACTCTACAGAAAACATATCCCCAATTTCAGACTTCATAAAAATTGCAAAAGGGGGGGAAGGGGTAACTAGAGATGCCAATATTTCTCAAAAGGTGGCACTAGGGCCAACCCTGACTGTCCTATGACACTCGCATAAACCCCCCTACCACTCCCATGAGTCACCTTAGAAATGGTGGAGACTAGCCCCGAGCATCTGGCCTCCTACTTTGGACAGACACCTTCCAATTTATGGATGTAGATATTAAATTTATTTCACCAAATTAAAATATCACAACTACCGGGCAACTAAAATATTTACTTAAAATATTTCTGCTATACTGCATGTTTCAAACTGAAATAAAACATCAAAGTAATATGCCCTAAATATTGTTTACTAATCAAGTTATATAGCCCAGGCCATCCCTTTAGGAAGAGCAAAGAAATTGGGAGGCTCATTTGAATAAATTTCAACAACATACTACACCCAAACCAAATTTTTCATATTTAGCATACCACTTAATGTTTTTTGTTGAATAATGATAAATATGGGAAGGGGAGGGGGGGGGGGGGGTCCCAATCACATGTAATGCAATCATCAGTTATTCAAGAAGTGTGTGAAAAGTGGGTGCTAAATCAAGTGCATAGGAGGGTGTAAATAAGCACATAAGAGAGAAGAATACTTCCTTCAGAGATACCATCCTGTTTAGAGAAGTTCTGTAGGATAACTAAATGGTGTTGCTGTATGACTGAGGCCAAGTTCAAAACCATCAATGTAAACTAGGACACTCAATGGTTTACAACACTGCTTCCATGGGCCTCTCATGCCTAAAGAATAGGACAACAACCCAACACTGTAGAATAATGATGCATGGCACTACTGTAGCCAGGGTGCTACTGTACCCAGGACCAAAGAACTTATTGGAGAAAATACAGCCTCTTAACTTACTTGTAATGTGCCATCTTCTTTACATGCTTGCAACCTGAATGACTTGTAGCCCACATATGCAGCAACGTGCCCTTTCTTGCGGGAGTCGCAGGGACAGTGGGGGAACACAATATCACCATAGCCTTCACATCCACGAACTACCTGCAATATAAATATTTGTTTTTATAATCATTTCTAAATTTTTTATATCGAATTCAACTTTCAACTTTCTTCAACTTTCTGAGAATAGGCCAATTGGTCTTTTCCTTAGGTAATATCCCACTGCATTTTCCAAAGGCAACTGCGATATTTTTTAAATGGCCTTGCCAAGAAGGCCACAACAAGAGAGGGAGACAATTCTCAATCAAGCCCTGAATGATTACAAAGTGAGAGCAAAACTAAGAATGGAGTGTTGCTTGAAAACTTCCTTATGCAGTACAAAATATTCCCCATTTGGCACCTGCAAGATGACGATGTTAACATACCTAAGACTATACAGGGACGGTGTTGACATCATTATTTGTCTTGTCACGGTAAAATCTCTAGGAAGAGATTTGGCCTGCTCCATCATCACCTATTCTACCCATATCACGTCTATATATTCAAGTACTGCAGCCACAAGAACAACAACAACAACAACTTCCAGACGTCTAGACAATACCACCAGTCTACCTACCCCACTGCCAGTCACCCCACCTCTCACCTGGATCGCTGGGAGCTCACGCCATCCGAAACAAGCAGTTTAAGAGCCGATTAATAGTTAAAGAAGGAACCAGCGCCATCTGGACGGCCGTCGCCGTGTATATATAGGGCTACCTAGCCCACTAATATTCAGATTACTCCTGGGTGCTCTGCTGAGTAGACCTGTTGACATACCCCGGTGTGGTAACAGTTGTTCAGTTTGGCTCACAGTATTCTAGCACCATATTTTATTTGCACATTACCGTAATATAAATTTGATTGTTCATCTTGTTTGTTTTGCACACTTTGTATTAGAGCCAAGCCTGGATATTTTGTTTTGTAATTTGTTTAATTTCAGTTTTCTATCAAAGTAAAGTATTTTTAAATGTTTTTTCTCTTTTGTGCTGCCACACAGTGAAGATTACACAGTAGTCTAATTCTTTTTATTTTTCTTATTTTTTGCTTTCATGTGACTGGCATTCCATCTGCCTAGAGACTGCAATACCATCTATTTTTCACGTCACAGTCTATTCATAAGGGCCATTATTCAAGGCTCAGAAAAGGTGTCTATAGTACACACCTTGTGTAATTGCTGTTTTGTATGCAGTGAGATGCGTCAAGATGAATTTAAATTGGATCCCAGCAAACTGTGTTCATGATCATGCCAAGTCTCTCCTACATGAGCACGTTAGTGAACACCAACTCGCCATTCAGATACTCTCATTCCAGATGTATGCAGCCTATGTACACCAACAACTTTATACTTCAATTTTACTGTAGTTACCAAAACACACAATATTTTAGCATACTGAAATCAAATTGAAAATGGAATACTGTGTTCATAAATGTGTACATTTATAGTTGGCCTAGTTTACAAAAATTTAGTCATTTAGCTGTCTTAATAATAGCATAACATGCAATATCTGTAATTATAAACTGTATACTCAAGATACAGATTTAGAAGATACAATTATCAATCATCTTAAAATCATTACAGTTATCAGAATCAGAAACTATTCCCGTAACAACTAACCTGCAAATACTGTTCTTTGCGAGCCACATCTTGAAGCGCCTTTAACTGATACAATTGATCTGTCGGTTTGACGTGGCCTCGGTTAACATCCTCTACTGCTGTCCAGAACAGCCATGTATGTGCAGTATCATCCGAGCTGCACAACCGAAGCTGAAAAATTATTGTTGACCAACAGTTCATCAACTGCAACAATTTATAGCAAATACTGTGGGACTAGATGATGATGCAATATTATCACTTAATTAGTTCATAAATGACTCCAATACAAGTATCTTTCTATGGACCAGCTTAACCAGCAAGCTTCAGCAATGCAAGACCAAAAATACTTTCCCCTATTTTTTGTCTGTTTCCTTTATTCCTAAAAGTTGTGAATATATAAAAATTCCCTGAATTCAGCTAACTAATCCAAAGTTACACAATTTTTAATTGAAGTGTACTCAGTAGTTGTACAATATAGTTCTGTATACAGGAAGGTTTACGACGTATTGTAATTAAAGTCTCTTCTAGTAACTCAAAATCACAACACAGTGTATTGCTAATATCCACTTTACAATATTATAATTGATAAAACACTACACTACCACAAATTATTATATGCTCAAATACGTACTTGATAAATATGATTAAAACAAGATAGAGAAATTGTACAAGAAAATCCCTGGAGCAGGACAGGGATCGAACCAGTACCCCGGCTCACCCCAAGTCGCATGCCAAACCCCTGGACTATGACATAGTAAAGATAACACAACCCGAGATCTGCTCAGGGTTCCAGCGGGAATGGTGTGTGTCTGGGGTGATCCAGGATGCTGGTTCCATTCTGTCATCCTGGTCCAATGATTTTATACATCGACATATCACATTATTGTGATTTCCTTGTCTGGATAAATTGTACTTACTTCTCGGTGAGGATTGAAGATCCATCGATGAAGACATAAACATGTTGCTGTTGCTGTGCTGTAGTTCTGAATGTACAAGTTATGAGGGAACTCGTCGTCACTAATTTTTCGTTCTGAAATAGTAGTACTATAGTATTACCCACCTATTTTCAAATATGAACTTGATTTTTTTATTTATGGGAATTAATCAATCTAGATACTGTATTATAATCAAAGGAATATTACTTTTTTATACCCAAACATTAATTTGTCATAATACAGTATATATAACAATTCTTTGTACCATACAATACATTAGACTCCCAATTCTGCACAGCCATACTCTATGCAGGTTTGTGTGTTCTATTTTCAAGCTTAAAATGAAAACCAACCACAGAATTTTGTTTTAAAAATGCTCAATTCCTTTCTCATGACCCAAACTACTACTACTACTAAAATTTTGCCAATCTGATACAAATAAAAAAATTAAGATTACAGCAATATTAAAGCAGATAAAAGAGAGAGAATATACAATTACTATACTTCCGATGTTTTATGGTTGCATTGCTCAATTATAATTTCACCGGCCCACTTCATATAACTTACAGTGCAGAGGACTCAAAAAGACTTATTAAACATTACAAAACCCATAACATTTAAAACAAATTTGTTACCGAACTTGAGTAATGAAATCTGGAAAAAGACATTTTATCCATACTTAAAATTTATTCTGGATTTAAGGCTGTGGTACCAGTAAATTTCTTTATCTGCTTAACCCTCAAGCTGTTCAGATCACCTCCAAGCGACTGGGTCTAGCAAATGGCTCAAAAATTATAGCACCGATTGTATGGCTATATTATCAACCCCTTAAGAGACTTCTAGCAACCATTTTACACACAAAAATAATAAATAAATAGAAGTCAAGTAAGCCCCAGCATCCTTACAGGATGGCATTCTAGACAATGTCATCATTTTTGACACTTACTTCCAAGCACAGGTTTCCAGAATGCACATCTGTATAAGCCTTCCTTGGCCCCTTCACACAATACTAACAATAATTGACAAGATTTACAGTGCCTTCATGAGAGAAAGCAAGTGAGAGTGAAGAACTATGCCATTGTGGACTTGCTACATGATATCGCATCTGTTAGAAATTGCTAATTTTACATTTGCACACAAATCAAATCTTAGAGTCTACTGTATATTAAATATTCTAAGAATTTTCTCGGCTAACCTGATTCAAAGTACTGTATAAAAAATCCACTTACCAAAATTATATTCTACAATCTCAAAAAGTGCAAAACATTTAGCCGTTTCTGGAGGTATGTTAATTTTTTCCACCACAGCTTGATAAACTTGATGAGCAAGAACATTCTTAGCCTGAGTAACCGTCACTACACTCTTGTCCGGCAACAGCACCTTCAGGTCCACACGAATACTGTTGCCCTACAAAAGCACATGCCTAAATTTAGTGTTGATTTTTGTTAACCATTATCAATTAGATTTTATAATTATTAGACACCTAAATAACAAACTTTCCCTATTCTGTACAGTGGAACCTCCAAATAACAAAGATTTTGCTAACAGAATAGTTCTCCAAAATTAGAAGTTAGATTTTTCAAAAACAATTGGCAAAAATCTGGACTGTTTTGTCACAGTACAGTTAGTATTTCGAATTGATCACTTACAATACTTGTAGTTTTAGTAGTAGTAATTAAAAAGTAACCACATAGTACATGTACTGTACAATAAGTCATGCAATACAGTTTGTACATTACTTTTTCTGTAGCTAGCCCAATACCACCAACATCGGACGTATCCTGACCATGTGATCACCACTCTGAGTAGAGTTCTGGGAGCAAAGGTAAAGAGAAAAATTCTCAGGGGGCTTTCATTTCTAAGTTTCATCAAGCCATTTTCAAGTACTGTACTGTATAGCCAGAATGAGGATGATCTTCATTAAGGTAAATAAACAATGGTTATCATATTTGAAGTATCTTATTACAAAATCATTGCTTATATATTATGTCAAATATTCACACAGATGTTATATCATTTACTTAAAACAAAAATCCCAAAAGCTGAGCAAAGATCTAGGATTAATAAATTTGGATTTTGGAGGTTGCACTATACTGTCCATCAGAGAACATTCAAGAGCTTATTTCACAAACCCACCCAGCAGTTAAGAGATTCCTCTATTAACACTTCACTTGTGTAGTCAATTTATCCTTCCATTGTTCTTATCTATGACTACCTACACTCTTATTTATAAGAGTGTATATCTATGTAAGAATTACACTCTTATATAGTCTTCACTTAGAATATTGAAAGAGTAATGTTGCGTCTTATTTTATTATTCTCTTCACTTCATGATTTCCGATTATAAATTTTATTACTACGTAATCTACATCAAGTAGTTAAAATGTTCTGATCATTTTACTTGCGCATTCTATGATACACTGACAAAGTTGTGAGGCAGGATATTATTAAATTTGATTTATCTTCACCTGAATTCCTTAAATATCAAGAACTTTCAGTATATTTCAGTACCCATTCCAGCTTCTAAAAATTTACAAATTTAAACTCTTAACACATTACTGTTGGCTACTGTAACCAAAACACACCCACACACACCTTGTGCTCACTATTAGCTTTATTCTTTCTTAAAAATACTTTTTAAATCCCTTCATCAAACACTAATCAAAATTCTGCCATTATCTCATTATTAACATTCTAGAAACAATGACTCCACTTAGCATGTAATCCTTTAATTCCTTTACAGCCACCAGTGATTAGACTCACCATCACTCTAGCTTTTAGTCATTAATGATTTTTTTGTTATAACGTATAATGGCTCTGGCATTGGTTGTAACACACATTACACAATTCCATAATGCAATGCAATTATTACAAAATACTCAACTAATCAACTGTATCTTTATATTAGAATCATTGTTTACTCGGATAGACTGACAGAGGCCCATCAGCCTAAACTTGTTCAGAATATTATACAAATCTTGCATCAAGCCAGTTCTAGAAAATACAGCACCAGTGTGAAGTCAACATAGAAAAGATCCAGAGATTTCCTACACGACTAGTACGAGTGATAGTGTTACGAGGACAGATTGAGAGAGATCAACCTATCCACATTTAAAGAAGAACTAGAGGTAATATGATCATAACTTATGAAAATAAGAGTAGCAGATGACGGGTAATAGCTTTAACCAATTTAAAGAGCAATCAAAATTAGAAACAGCAAATGCTTCTACACTTCTACAACAGAGTTTTCATTGGCAAATAGGGCTAACTTACATTTAAACATTATTTAATAATACTAATTTTATTGTCAAATCAAAAGATATAGCTTTAGAAAATATTGGTCAATAGAGAATGACAAAAGAAAAACATCTCTAAGGAAATGAAACTTACTTGGTGATCATCAGAATCATTAAGAAAATCCTGCATAATATCCGATTCTGCTATTACCCTTACAGCACAAACTTTCTCAAGGTATAGTTCCAACCCTCTACGTCGCCCATCTAATTGCTGTTCAGACAACCTGTGACGAAAAATATTGATTTAAAAACACTGTACTGTACTGTATACCCAAATAAATCTTTGTTCTTAAATAATTTATACAAACAATTAGATATAGGCTGAAGTGTATAGATGTACACACAGAAGTAAAATAAAAAATATACTGTACTTTACAACTGAAAGTGACAAAACTTGCAAAACATGTAGCCAAATTAGAATAAGAATTTAATTTGAAGGATACCTAACAAACTAATTATCCCATAGAAGAGTAAAAAATGGCTATCTCAGCATTCTACAACAGTGTTTACTAGGTTTCTATAACCAAGAAAACCAGAATTAGTAAAATAAAATACAAAAATGAAAAGTTCCTTTACTCTACCTCTGCACACAGCAATGACCTGCAGCTTGAATATGAAGCAATCATTAGATTATACTCGGAGAAATTACATACTAGTACAGTTAGCAAACTATGATCTTTTTGGGGCAATTTCTTAACACCGTAGTATGCAGCTCAATATGCACTCCAGCATAGGTAGCCCTCAATCACCCGAGGCAATATGTAAACCTGATATAAGCTAAATTCTCATGTCAGGATCCGGCCGATTCACAATTAAATGCTTGAGCAACATGCAAGCAAACTGCTATAAACAAAGAGTAAAAATGATTATAATCAAGAATATATTAAATGATTTGTGCACACTCCTGGTGTTAGTACTGGTATTATGTTTACTCCCAGGTCTCTCTCTCTGGTTTCCCTTCATTACTTCACATTTCCTGGGGTTGAACTCCAGCAGTAATTTGCCTATCCATTATTGAATTTACCAAGGTCTTTCTGCAACATTCAACAGTCCAAATCAATCTTTACTTTCATTCATTTTGTGTCGTGCAAAAATGATATGTATGAGCTCACTCTCTTTGGTCATTCACATGGATAAAAATACCAGAAGACCTTTTGTAAAGCACATACTTTAATCATTTAAGTCTTGTAGCTCTATTAAATGTATCAATGTTACCCCTCTAAATCCATGTTGCCCTTGTTACAAAATTTGTTTTAACTGGATGCTCTGCCACAGTCTCATCCAAACAATTGTACATTTACCTCTTCCAGATTTCTGAAGTCTCCAGTGTGTCGTGTTTTCCTTTAGAATCCTAATTAGTAGATTACAAAGCATAAGAGCAATCTCCATCACCAGCCATGATAATATCTGGTCTGGCTCTACAGTCTTAGTTGCATCTAGTGCTATCCAATGCTGCTCCAGTCTCTTCTCTCTCAATTGTTGAAAACCTAGACTCACTTTTTGAGTGCCTTACAACTACTGTAGTCATTTTCCATTAGGACATTTACCTCTCTTCTTAACCTAATCATATGGTCTTTTCCTGTTATCCTTCTCCATATATCACTGCAACATATTGGGCTCAGCCATTGTTTTTGCTACTACTGTATTATAATGCATTCCACTTTTAAACTGCAATTGTTATTCTCTCCTGATTCTGATGTACTCATTTCTAACTTTCCTTAGTGTGTTGACCTCCATACTCTAATTTCTTCAATTATTCCATGCTGTTGTCATCCTGTCTTCTGCTGTCCTAATTAAATATAGCATCTGTGTTAACAGAATGACTATACTGTACTGTAGTTGTATAATGACCATGCTTGATTTTGTATTTAACTAACCATCAATGTTGTACTATGATGGTCAAGTGTGGCATTCAGCTAAATTGACCCAATTTTTCCAAACGGCTCGTTCTACCAAGCAAATGGACTTGTTTGAAAAGTTTGGCTAGGTTATATTAGGTCAGGGGTCGTGTTTACCTTGGGTCATGGTAACTATCATTACAAGCAGGTTGAAATGAGAAACGGTCATGAAATCCTTCAATTATACATCTTTAAAACTTAGCTGAAAATAAGTTAAAGCATAAGTTTAGGCCCCCCAGCAGAGCAAGCAAGTAAATATCAAAAGGCACCAAGCTGGGAAAACTATGTAGCCCCATCCCAGCAGAGCAAGGTATACCACTTTATATCTACCAGTTTGTATTAAATACAAGTCAAATTGTCTTAATCAGCTGTTAAGATGTAAAACATTTCAAGGCAAATGCTCATATTTAAAGTTTACTTAATGCACACACACACACATTAACCAGTATTTTTATAGTTTCTACTAAATTCTTTTAATATCTTTACTGAACTTGAAACCATGAAACCTGCATAATGGAGTGAAAAGAAAAAAAAATTAAAGCACATGAATTCATTGTGAAAACACAAAATAGGACACACAGTAAACACATGACTTTACAGTAACTGATATCTATATTAACAAAGGAGAGCCAGCTATAAGCAGATAAGGGCACTTAAAGATACAAGACCTCGGCAATCAATTACAATAATATATTAATCTCACTACATGGACACATCTTATCTACAATCTTTGTTACCAAAAACCAATAGTTCCATTCAAAATACTAAACACTATTTGTTTGTGTAAAAAACAAACACACAAACACACACACATTTTGAAAGGTGGAAAATTCAAAAAATTTAACTTACGAAAAGGGCCATTTTCCTGGTAATTTGGGAAAGTTGAAGTCCATGAACTCCCTTTTAAGATTATTGTGTAAATTGGAGAATTCTCTGTATCTGCGAGCGCACAAATGACGCCCAGCCATGTAAATATTAAATACTACATATTTATCTCCACCAGTTTCTATGTAAGAATAGTCGGGAATTGATATTGGAAGTGAACGTTTTTCACTGTAATCGATGTAAGAAAATCCCGAGGTTTCTTCACTTGGTTCTAACCTCTCTGCTTCCTGCAAAAGAAAAAAATAAGTAACAACTTAAGTATCCCATTAAAATAATTTCTTTATAATTTTCAAATACTGTATTATATAGCACTTATTTACTACAATTTGCCACATCCTGTTTGGAGTCAAAAAATACTCCCTAAAATCTGCTCTAACTTTATATACTATACTTACATTGAGATTTTCCCACACTTTTTGCCAGATAATTAAACACTTAAATTTGTCAGTGAATTTCAGCAAACTATACCTGAATATTTAGATCTTACTAAAAGAAGTAAGAAAATTGAGAACAGATTGAATCAGGGAAGGAAAATGACTGATGCAAGAAAGACCTGATGTAAGGAAAAAAAATATGAAAAGTGGTTAAGAGGGCTCCACAAAGCAGGGTTAATGTCAACTCTAATGTATGGAAGCCAGATGCTGGTGTAGCATACTGTGAAAAATCAAGAGCAGGAGAGGTAATTTTAAAATCTATAGCATATATATTTTAATTTTTTGCTCTTTTCGCTCAGGGTTATACCTCATGAAAAGCTGTGGCACAAAAGTCAATAAATTGCAAGATAAAGGAGTGTGCTAAGAAGGTTTGAACATATTGAATCATGAATTACAGATTAAGGAAGAGAATCTAGGTGAATTTGAGAGTAGGGCAATGAATGTTTCCATTCTTAGATCATATTTTGTGATTTCTACCATTTTATAAATAGTCCAGTTAAATTATATTTCAATTACCAATATTTAAGAACACTAGCCATACAATAAAAAAAAAAATCCTATCACTTTGTGTTAAATTCTTGCATGTCATCTTCCTTGTCTTATCCTACTATTGGCTTCTTTTCCAAGAGATTGCAGATGTCACTAATGTTTACTCCAAGTTATATGAACTCAGCAACCTTAAGGAATTCTACACTAAAGCACAAGAGGAACCTACTCTTCCTAGTACTGTAGTGTATATACTTGTTGCACCCTTCTGTTACAGATATTTACACTCAAAACACAGTATAGTATCTCACTGACTCACTAAGAAGAAGTTACAATCTCTTCCAAATATTTCTATCCACTGAAAACTCCATAAACACCCTTCATTGCATTCATTAGAACTCCAGTCTCGCCCCGCCTTCATAACCCTTATCTCGGCACTCTATTACATAACCACCTCAATTACAGTCCTGAATTTATGCTAAATATTATTTAGACCAATTACAAATTATATTGACAAAATAATACATACAGTATATCACTGTAACTTACCTTTCTTGATACAGATATTACAGTTAGTTTGAGCACATCACCGCCTTGTTTAATGAGTTCCACAACATAACGATGTTCAGCACCCTCAACATTCACTCCATTCCTAAAAATACAAATATCTGCATGTTAAGTGACAACACGTATAGAAGGTTAACGTGCGGAGCTAAATACTGACCAAGTACAAACTACAAAGATAGAAACATTATCATTAGCAAAATTATGTCAATCTGCAAATCAAGACTATGACTTGATTTGTAATATACTATTATGAGTATTAATATTTTGTTATAGATATGAGCAAAATAAAAGTACAGTACTACTATATATACATGCAAGTTCTGTGGTTTTGAATAACAGATTTGGAGTTACACAGTTACTGTACAGGGTATTCACTTTTACAACAAAGCAAAATTTTGTATCCTGTATTCATTTTATTAAGGTCCTTTGATATTTCTGAACTGAAGTAATTATAATTTGTCACAGTGAACATACTTTCCAATGCTCACTGAAAGACTAATTTGTCAGTCTTCTATCAAGGTAATTTTCCTAACAATTTAGGTCTTGCTCAGCAAGGACTGTATCTTATTGAACAATGCTTTGTACTATACTCAGGCTGGATTTTCCTTGGTTTACAATCATTTAGAGACGAGAGAAAATTTTAAAGCCATCACCCTTTGCCTTCCTTTTATGCATTATACCTTCAAAGTTATACTTATAAAGTAATTTGCAAACTAAGTACAGAGCAAGATCAAATACCCGAGACTCAAAATAATGAAAACCTTAAAAATCTATAAAGCTTTCTATTATAAAATGTAGCTAAAATACAGAAAAGGGATCAGAATTTTAATAAATATAAAAAACATGGAAGGAAAACTTGTAATGACCCAAAGCTGGGAGTACAAGGATATTGCTCATAATCTACAATTTGTTTTACTAATCTTTTAACAGTGAATATTGTTTAAATACAGTTTTATAACAATTATTTAAGTATTTTAAATTACAGAATTACATTTGCAGTAGTAAAATGGGATTTTGGGATTTTTGTAGTAAAATTGTGGGTGCTTATTGAAGGGGATGCATCCTGGAAATGTTTTGATCCTTCTGTGCAAGTGTGGTTCACCTGCTGCTTCTCAGGGTTTAATTTTTCTCGACTCAAACAGGGATCCTGGGTTTAATTTCCAGGTGCGACACCAATGATCGGGCATGTTTCCTCTCGCCTAATGGCTCTGTTCACCTTGCAGTAAATAAGTACAGTACTAGTACTTATAAGTAGGTACAGTACTGGGAGTTAGACAACAGTGTGGGGTTGCATCCTGGGAAAGGTCAGTAGTTTGACCTTGGGGGGGGGGGAACCTGAATACAAGCCTAAAGAATATATTGTATATACATACAAATAGGCTTCTTGTCCCAAAAAATGGGAATTATAGAACAAATCCACAGGAGCCTTGATGAAGGTTCACACCTATGTGTTGAGTGTTTCCATACTCAGGGAATTATTATTACTGTACAGGTATTTGTAAACAGAAAAGACATCATCCAGTGAAAATAACAGTCAAAGAGGTGGTGATAATTGTAAGAGAAAGTTCCTTACAATAGACAAGAAGGGCAATTTAGCTGAGAAATGTCATCATGATTGGGGAGTTCAGAGGAGGGCAAACAATTTTGGCACTGGCACTATCACTATTTCAGATTTTAAAAAGCAGCAAGGTAAAATTATGAGTTATTTGCCAGAAAAAAGTTCTTGCAGTAAAGACTCACTGAAGAACAATGCTGAAGGTTTTGTAACTTGTCAGTGTACAAGTAGTTTATACAGCAGTGCATTAGCATGGCTGTTGGCAGTGAACAAATCAAGAACAAAACAAGTGTGCAAAATGATGGTCTACAAACTATAATACTAGCTAAATAAATAGCTAGTACCATGCTTTATATTTGTGTAAGTTCTGATCACTTTTAGCAAATAACATATTGGACATACTAAAAAATATACAAAAGTAATGTATTGCCCCACTGAAAACTTTAATAAAGCAAGACATGTATTTATAAACCTATTTTATATTTAATAACTATAAAAAAAAACCTTAGGCCAATGTGACAAAAGGTAAACTATATACAACGTCCATGCCTAAAAATATATACATTTTAGCACCCAAAGTTACTTAATTTCACAGGATAATATATTATACAGGTGTGCCCACACCAGGTGCCGTGACTGCTGTACAACACTGTGCACGTTATACAAGCATTACCCACAGGTGTCATCCATCATGCAGCGAGTGTGTGGAGACACAGACGCCGGGCAGGAGCAAGTTATACTTACACTTCGAGAATACGGTCACCCTTGCGTATACCAGCTTGTTCAGCAGCCCCTCCTTCCAACACGGCCGAGACATGCTGCAGAGGTGGGTATAACTCCCCATTGATCGGTCTCCACTGTCCACCCTCGCTCACCTGACCTCGGACATTGAACCCGAACCCCGTGTCAGTTTTGTAGATGGTCACAACCCGAGGACCGGGGTTAAAACCGCTCATTGTCCCTCGCTACCCTTCCTTGGCGATGGTTTGTTTTCACTGGCCCCTCTCTGCCATGATACCTGTAAGCTCCACTGTTAGCTCTTCTGCCGTCGCGAAAATAATAATGGATGTGTTTGTATTCCTCTTATTAATATTATCAATTATGCTCTGTAAACTACTCGTATATTTAGTTTGATTAAGCTTCTTCGTAATAATATTGGTGCTGGTGTTAAGGTGAAATAAGTTTATTATACACTGGGGAAGGTAAGGTGTCTGCGCAGCATAATAAAACGAGTTTACCGTTCCGGGTCAGACGAATTCCACAGTGGCGGGAAGCAAGTGGGTGTTATTGTACGTTCAAATAAATCTTCCTTGCAAATCACTAGCAACACAGGCACGTTCATTTAATATCAATTGAATGTTCAAGCGTATGTTATCTTAAAATAAGATACTCATAATCGATGTACAGCTAACCACCATTACTGGAAAATACACTTCATCGACTTCATGGCGCACTATTAATGTAATAGTCGTCGTATAATTGCACTTAAAAGGAGATAATCACCTCGAATTAGCACATTGAACAGGCTGTAGACTGTAATTAAGCATGGCTGCAGCTAACGTGACGACCTGCTGGGGGTGCCTGGCCATGGACTATGGCACAAGTGTCAGGTTCGGCCAGGGGTGACACAAGGCGAATTTGCTTGAATTCCACCGCAGTGGCCTCTTCCTTCAGAATTACCCGACTCTTTCTGTTCCAGACGGATATATCAACTGACAAGCATTAAGAGAGTCTTCAGGAAGGATTTAGTAAAGCTTCGCTCTGTATAATGAGGATAAACTTGAAAGTCTACACGTGCTGGCATTTGTCGCAGGCGCTGCCAACTCTGCCAAAGCTGATCACTTTCACTCCTTGTGATGTACCCACATTTTGCTAGTGCTGGCTAATGGCTCAGCCTCGCATTTCATGTTCTCTCCTGATTCCATGAATGACTAACCATCCTGTGAGATGTGGATATTAGATGAACTTATAGCTAGTTTTTGGTCTACACTGTGTAATCTTTCATGAAGAATAGGGTAGAAGCACATTGCTGTGTATACCTAAGTTTGTTAATAAAAAAATCACTTTCACTCAACCGGAATATATCCAACAAAAAATAAAAACTACTAGTGTACAGATTCCCGAGCTCTATCATGTCTACATTTTAAGTTGTGTGTGTGGAGTCATGCAGCCTCCACCACATCACTTCCAAATGTATTCAACTAAAAAAACTACTCTGACACTGAAAAAGTTCTTTCTGATGTCTTCGGTACTTGGGTACTCAGCTTCCACCTGTGTCCCCTGGGACGAGTACCACCTGTGTTATATAATCCATCCTTATCTACCCCTGTCACTATGAAGACCCCGTCCATCAACTGATCTCCAGTATCAGCTATTGGTACTGGTAATGGCTCCAAAGAGCCTCCACTTACAGACTATTCATGCTCGTGCCACCTTTTGGGTGGCTTAATCTTTATCAATCAATCAATCTACCCTGTCAATTCCCTTGAGAATTTTGTATGTGGTGATCATGTTTCCCCGAGCTCTTCTGTCTTATAGTGGCATACCTGTTTGTGTTTGTGTTTTACTATTTATATCTGCAGAATCGAGCTAATAGCTCTTGGACCCCGCCTTTCTAACCAATTTATTTTTCCTCTATTATGTCTACTACATATATTTCTCTTAAATACGCACACACACTCATCCTCAGGAAGTAGTTTAGTAGTTATGGAGTCAGAGGTCACTCCCTGCAGTACATAAAGTACGTTCAAATAAATATTTGTCACCTTACTGACAGGCTCCAATATGTTTCTGTGAATAATTCAATTTCTCCCACCCTACCCATCAACATTGGTGTTCCCCATGGAAGCATACTTGGCCCTCTCCTCTTTCTCATCTACATTAATGGCCTCCAAAATGCCTCCCAACATCTCAAACCAATTCTATTTGCTGATGACACGACCTTCATTTACTCCAGTCCTGACCCCCTTGCTCTAAATGCCACAGTGAATACTGAGCTAAATAAAGTCCATCACTGGCTAACTGCCAACAAACTCACCCTCAATATTGACAAAACTTTCTATATTTTGATTGGCAATAAATCCTCAAATCAAATAAATCTCAGGATTAACAATACCCAAATTTGTAACAAAGTAGATGGCAATTTTCTTTGCGTTCTCATTGACCGCAAGCTGAATTTCCAGGGACACATTCTAAATATATCAAAAAAAGTTTCAAAAACTGTTGGCATTCTTTCTAAGATCAGATATTATGTACCTCGCCCTGCCCTGGTGACACTCTATTACTCTCTCATCTATCCTTATCTCAACTATGGTATTTGTGTTTGGGGTTCTGCTAAGCAAAATCATTTACGTCCTCTAATTACTCAACACAAAGCTGCTATTAGGACAATATCTAACTCTGGCCCCAGACATCACTTGGTACCCTTACTCAAATCTCTGAATATGTTAGATATTAAGTCACATCCTCTCATGTGTACTTTATATATATAAAACGCTGAACTGTAATGTCAAATCTGACCTTAAAAGCTTCCTAGAAGGTTGTAACAGATCCCATGAGCACTACACCAGAAACAAATACCTATTTGATATTCCAAGAGTACGACTTAGTCAAACTAGAAATGCTTTACAAATCAAGGGACCTCGAATGTGGAATGACCTTCCCAATTATGTTAAAGACTGTACCTCTCCCAACCAGTTTAAGATAAAAACTAAGTACCACCTAATTAACTCAATGTAACCTACCTCACCCCTAAATGTCAACCCATGTCTACGATTTTAAACAATGCTGTTTGTTGACCAAATTGTATTTTTGCTTTTTTTCTGCCATGTTTCCCTCCCCCCCCCCCCCTTTTATCATTTTTTTCTGATTTTTTTTCAACACAATTTATACTTTAAATAAATAAAATAAATAAATATGTTTATTCAGGTAAGGTACATACATACAAGTGATGTTACATTAATGGATTGATATATAGATAGAGCTAGTACATACAATGCCTAAAACCACTATTACGCAATGCGTTTCGGGCAAGAAAAACATTAATATCTAGAACTTAATACTAATTGAGCATAAAGAATAAAAAGTGTTGAAAACAAATTCAAATAAAGATAAAAAAAAGGGGGAACATGACTGAAAAAGCAGCACAAATACAATAGGTTGACAAACAGTGTTGATTAAAAAAAAAAAATAATAATAATAAAATAAAATAACAGACATGGGTTGACAATAAAGGAGTGAGGTGGGTATTCAGTGTCATCAGTAATTTAATCTAAGTTAGTATTAAGTTTTAGTCTTAGTGTTTTTCCTGCCCGAAACGCTTTGCATAATAGTGGCTTTAGGCATTGTATGTACTAGCTCTATCTATAAATCCATCAACTTTGGTATTTCACATTGTATGTATGTAGTTTACCTGAATAAATATTTGTATTTGTAGTAACAGTTGATTGATTAGGCGGCCGAAGCCCTAGGACAACTAGGTGAATACACAGGAAGCAGCCCATAACAGCTGTCTAACTCCCAGATACCTATTTACTGCTAGGTAACAGGGACATCAGGGTGAAAGAAACTCTGTCTATTTGTTGCCGCTGGCGCCGGGAATCGAACCCAACCCACATGACTACGAATCCAGCGTGCTGTCTACTCAGCCACCAGTGCCCTGTGTCCACTCAGCCACCAGCACCCTGTGTGTGTGTGTGTGTGTGTGTGTGTGTGTGTGTGTGTGTGTGTGTGTGTGTGTGTGTGTGTGTGTGTGTGTGTGTGTGTGTGTGTGTGTGTGTGTGTGTGTGTGTGTGTGTGTTTAAAGGTCATTTGAAGAAAAGGGACAAGTAATTGGGTTGTGCGAGTTTAGAACAAATTAACATTTTCAGCATATTTTAATACTGAGCTATGATTAGTTGTATACTCTGGAGTATACAACTCCACGAAGTCTCACGAAGTCTCACGAAACAAAAGCTTCGTGAGACGAAAATCACGAAACAAAAGCAATGGCTGTTTGATATTTTGTGTAGATATTTTTTCCGGAAATGACATCCTGTCCTAGTATGCACTGGGAAAATTCTTCACATCCGTTGTACTCCATGCCATCCTATGACTCAATATGATTTATTCAATTTTTGTTTAATATCGGGACAGTTTCTAAGGGTCAAAATTTACGTGTGTGTGTGTGATGCAAAGTCATTTAGATATTAGTTTGCAGTAGCCGAATTGAGGGATGCATCAATGCATATAGTCTGTGTGATGCTGCTTTCAGTTTGTTGTATAACAAACAACAAGTATTGTTATATACATACACAATGTATAAATTGTGTATGTGATCAAGGATTCTTAATTGTGTGAGTAGTTTCTTTCCTTGGTTTATAGGCATTGTTATGTAAAGATTCATGAATATGCAACTAACTACACAATTACTGTACGTTTCACTAGCATAACACATTATTTTACCCATCATAATAATCAATAATTTAGTTTAGTTCATATATTATGCACCCCATACCCATCTTGTGGGCGGTAGTGGAAAGGGTTACAGAGGCACATAATGGGCTCAGGGACTGAACCCCACAATTCATTTAGCTAAGCAAGTTACAATCTTGATGAGCTAGTTACAAAATTCAATATAAGTCGTCACATCAACAATGGGGATCGACCTCAAGTACAGGTTCTAAATTAAGCAACTGACATGTGGAGAGCTAGTGTCACAATTTATATGTTTGTCCTGCACACCGCCCCCCATCCGGTGGGCAGCGGTGGATAGGTTACAATCACTTAGTTACTACCTACAGTTAGCAAACTGGGGATATTTGGCTAAAATTTCTGGTAGCAGATCATTTTGAATTAAATATTTACACATCGCTGGAACATTGGTTATAGAATTGTCTCTAAATTCACGTATCTTTTCGCACTCCATCACATAGTGACTGAGGGTGTGCGAATAATTTTGTTGACACAGCTTACATTTGGTCAGGTCTACATCAGCAGATAATGAGAATTTCCAGAAATACTTATAACCGAGTCTAAGCCGAGCAGTAGTAACATAATAAATAAGAATATCCTGACACAGTCATATCCTGTCACAGTCATTGATGCTCATAGCTTATTTAACATTAAACATTATAATAAGAACATTAATAACAAACATGTAACAAATAAAACAAGAATTTTGAAAATATTATAATATATAAAAAAAAATAGGGGCACAGTTTCAAGAATTTTAAGTCAATGGTGCTTCACTTGAAGGTGTACTCAGATTTAGAGAAAATTAAGTATATCATTATGACTGAAGGTACTGTATATTAAAGAACAAATTCTTTAACTGTATATTATCTTTGAGATTTGATTAGATTACTTATTTACAACCCCCAGGAATGACCTTGAGTCAGGCATGGGCTCGTAGCCTCCCGTCACAACAAAACACGTCTGGGACTTTGTAGATCAACTCAATGCTGAAGTTTAAGCCGTGCAGTCACCAGGAGGATAAACCCTTCATGCAAACTACACGTACCATCAAGAAGAAGAAGAAGAAGAGTCTAAGGGAAGATGGACAAGCACAGACAACAACAGGGAGGGCTTTTTACGTGTTGGGGCCAGAGTAACGTCAAGGGAGCTACGGAAGAGGTCACAGACGCAGACACTGGAAATGTTTCTGTTAATTTTGATTTTGGTATATTGGATGATGATGAGGATGATGTCCTTGCCCAAGCTTATGATAACAGCATGGGGTGAGTTGAGAACAGTGGTGTGTCGACTTGCAGATTGTATAAATTTTGTATGTAATTTTGAAATTAGATTTCCCTTTCATGTTTTCTGATGAATGGGCCACTTTTAATAAAGAGTTTAAGGCATGAAAGTCTGTGTACATAGATACACCCATGTTATAGTTTACATATTATTGTACTGTTTTAAGGGCATTTTTTTTTTAATTTAGAAAAAAAACTGAATGCAGCATTTCTTACAGAATGGACACTTCGCATGCAGAAAAACTACAGGATGTGTTGCCAACAGGACAAGCAGTAAGAAATGGTACAGGATCACAATCCCATCCACTAATACCTCAAGCCACACCATTAGAAACCTTACCTGGCTTTGATGCCGATGCTGGGAAAACATGGATCTACCCAATTAACTATCCTATAAGAGATTACCAGTTTTGCATTGTTGAAAAAGTGTTATATAAAAATACACTTGTTTCACTTCCAACAGGTTATTATAAACTTGCATATGTATAGTTTTAAGGCAGTCTCTAACAATACTTTACATAATTGCATTTTTTATTTATTGGTAAAGGTCATGAAAATAATAATTTTCTGAGTTCTACCACTTGGTTGCTTCCTTAGGCAGTGTCCTGTTCTTTCCAAAGACTATTATCTGGTCATGTCCTTGGAAAAAGCAGACCATTGTTTAAGGGAACAATGGAGAGGCCTGCTCAAATGCAAGCCATTCATATGCACTTTCAGACATTTTTTTCCACTTTTTAACAGGCTTAGGGAAAACATTTATAGCTGCAGTTGTGATGTATAATTTTTATCGCTGGTATCCAAGAAGTAAAATAGTGTTCATGGCACCCACAAAACCCCTTGTGGCCCAGCAAGTTGAGGCATGCTTCAATGTTATGGGAATCCCTCAAGAAGATACTTCACAAATGACAGGTAGAAAACATTCATATTCATCTTATGATTAAATTGTTTGTATGCTTGGAAACAACATGTCCATGGATAAATTTATCAAGCATAAATTTTCCTCATTGACTGGAGTCCTTCGAATTTTCATACTGTAGCACAAAAATTTTCTTCTCATTGATGCACTGTACCATTTGATATTTGAACATTTTAACCATATTCACATTGTAGTACTATACTGTAAGCTAGTCATATTCACATTGTAGCACTATAAGCTAGTCCTATTCAGATTTTAGCATTATCAGCTAATTCTGTTCTCTTTCTAGCACTATAAGCTACTCCTGTTCATATTGTAGCATTGTAATCTAATTCTAATTTCTGCACTAGTCTTGATCACATTGAAGCACTGTAGCCTTTTCACATTGCAATACACTTCTAAGTACCCTGATTAACTGTTCTCAGGCAGCTACTCTCTCCTCTCTAAATTCTTCGATGTTCACTCACCGTTCTGAGGCTCATCTTTTCCCAGTTGTTGTATTAAATGATTAAGCTGAATCTTCCTAAGATTAAACTCCCCTCATTAGGCTAAGCCATGAGCATATTCAGCAGCTTCACTGTCTATTTTTCAACCATGATTTAGGGATCTTTCAGATAGATCCACACTTTTGCAGTTAGATATTTACCAAAGCACCAAATTTACCAGCTATGTGTTTCATTGGCATTGCATGATCTATGGCAGTTTGGGGATTTTTTCTGGTAATTGTAATTTACTATAATTAATGTTCCTTCTATTTCAAATTATTGCTTGGATGGGATGTTGAGTGTGTGGGATATGTCTTTTGTATTTTAGCAAGTTTGTCAATCAAATTCAATTGGTGAATTCAGAAACCCTCATGTCTCCCTGCTCCAACTACATGTCAACACCAAATTAAAAGTATCTTTGTCACAATGGAGTGTTAGGTCCATGAAGTCTGGTGGTAAATGATGTCCTGTGTGAATCGTATGGCTCACGGGTTTGGGAGCAATTGAGTTTTGGTTTCAGAAAATAGCATTTCATTAGCATCATAGCATCATTAGCATTAATATTTCAGTTTCTTTTTATTCTTAACATTAATTACTGTAATATATATTGCTTAGCCCCTACATTACACAGCTATTTAAAAGTACTATATTAAGGTGCACTTGACAGAATACAGTAGTTACCAAATCAAATGGAAAGACTTCGCTAATGGCAATTGGAGTACAGGAGAAAATCACAGTTAGTGGTTGGAGCAGTGTCAGGGGTTAAGATGTAATCCATGTTTCAGGACAGACCATTCAGAAATTGTCACTCTCCTTGAGATCAAATAGTGTTGTAATAAACAAATTCTTCTTGTCCCAGGTTCAATGACTCCAGAAAACAGGATTAAAGCTTGGACAGAGAAAAGAATGTTCTTTCTCACACCCCAGGTTTTAACAAATGATCTGGCTCGGGGGGCTCTTCCAGGAGCACAAATTAAGTGTTTGGTCCTAGATGAGGCTCATCGTGCACTTGGAAATCATGCATACTGTCAGGTGAGATTTATAATATTGTTTATTAATATATATATTATTTATATTTTAAATTAAACATTTTAAACACTCTTGTAATTTGAAGCAACAGGTACCATATAATACTGTAATGCATACTGTACTTTAGTATAGTCAGTTGGCACTAATGAAGCTACCATCCATAAACCTAAATATATTTTTAAAGTGTTTAGGCAGTACTGGTAATGACTTTAAAAATCAAGCACTGAATGTACTGAAATATCTCTTTCTACTGGGCTACTCAACGACTGCTATGATGATCAAACCACACACCAGAAGATGAAGAAACGACGACAGTTTGGTCCGTCCTGGAACATTATCAAGTCGATTTGGTCATCATATCTTCAGTCATGTTATTGTGACTCATCGTCAGCTTGGCTATGCTAAAACCTTGGAGAACTCACCAGGTCTCTGAACACCCATGAATGCCTACCAAGAATGAGGACCAGAATATGGTCCTCCTCTAAGGAGGAGTATCTCCTTCTCTAAGAGGCAAATAGGAGCCTGAAAACCAGAATCGCCACAAAACTGAGACAAAGTTCACAAAAAAGTCAGTGCTCTAAACAAGCAGCTTCCTTCAAAAATATATCTGACGAAAACAATGCAAACCATCGTTAATGTGGAGAGATCTCTGCCATAATATGCTTGCCCACCATCAGACTCGGGGCCCAGACAACCTGAGGTTTCCACCAGCCAACCAACTCATTCATAATCAGCTTCAGAAGTATCTTGTGCACAGCCCTAGCACTGGTACAAAGTGTACAGATATTAACCAGATGTCAGTATGTCTCAGAAAAGGGGTTTTCATAAACACTTGTAAGTTAATTTTTTCTACCATTCCTAAACCTGATATCTGCATATTTTTTAGGTGGTGCGTGGCCTTAGAGAATATCGTCACGATTTTCGTATTTTGGCTCTATCTGCTACTCCAGGATCAGATGTTAGAGCTGTTCAACAGGTTTGTTTAAGAATTTTCATGAATTTGTTTTTGTTTTTAATAGTATGATTTATTTAAGGAAGAATACAGAAGGCTAATACTGTAGCTATTAACAGTAATAATGATCAGACTTCATTAGTGTCAGTCTGCCATTGTTTACTTACATATATTATCATTACTCTTTTTCTCAGCAGCTCAGAGAAAAGAGGCGAGTATTACAGTACAGTATAGCAATAGAAAGAGCTGGATATTATATAGTGTAAAATCTTTTAATATTTCTCATTTATTAGTTACAATCATTCACAATATTTATAACATAAGGAAGTAAATTTATTAAATACAATATATTTACTTGGATTAAAACTATATACTGTACAGTATTATATATATTGTATTCAAATGATTCTACAGTATTTATATAATAGTAGAAGACATAAAAAAAGATGAAAGTGCTTTAATATACAGTACAGTATAGTAAATAAATTAATATCCTTCCTGTGAGAGGGATAACTTCTTGGACATTGTCTTATCCATATAAGGATTGGAAAGGCATGTTATGCAAGTTTATTAATGCAATGCAGTCGCTGAGTTATTTATTGATTACATTTTTTTGTAATTTTTAATAACCTTACTTTTGTTTCAGGTACTAACAAATTTGATGATATCACATATAGAACTTCGAAGTGAGGAGAGTCCAGATATACAGGAATACGTCCACAAGCGCAGTATTGACAAGGTGGTTGTACCCTTGGGAGTGGAGCTGACAAGCCTGAAAATAAGATATCTTAACGTTAGTAAAAAATAATTTTTTTTAATAATTTTTTTTTGTCTGTTCTTAGAAAGTACTGTATTTCCTGATAGCACTTTAACTAAAGCAAAGAAGTGCTTTATTTAATGACATGTTTTTGTTTTTGTCATTTATTTAATGGCAAGAGACTCACAGCCACAACTCTTGAGACACTTCAGAGTTTCAGTTCATTTTCTCATTCATATATATCATGTTAGTGTGATTTCTCTGTGTTCTATCTTATTCTTATTACCTACATTACTTTACTCTTAACTTTTGCATAAATTGCTATTTGGTTATTTCAAACTTCAGTTAATTAAATTGATCAATCATTCTAATTATGCATAATCTCATACAGCTGCCTTCATATTCTGCCAATATTACTTTTTATCATTAACCATAAAATAATTATCTTATAACTATTTACAAAATAAATTATTCTATTTTTTATTTTAGTGGGAATATTTTTTAGGAAGACAGGTCCCTTACACTTGTATAAGACAGGAGGTAGATAACTATCAGGGGAAACTGCCAAACCATTATAACTATATCACTGGGAAGGGATCAGGATAAGGATTTGGGATGGGAGGGGGAGAAGGAATGGCACCCTACCACTTGGACGGTCGGGAATTGACCGTTGACCTGCATGAAGCAAGACCGTCGCTCTACCGTCCAGCCCAAGTGGTTGAGCAGATGAGACGAGATGGTTATTATATCACACAGTGTTTAGTGGTGGGTAATAACGCCTCCATACACAATTTACTCTTATGTAATCTCAGTGCATTAGAGCCAGTAACAAAATTTAACCCTTGAATATTTATGACTAAATACTGTACATTGTTCAAGCAATTTGCTTTTTTATTGTGTGTTATTAAATATGTTATCAAATTTGTTGGTTAATTAACAAATGCTCAACTGTTTTACAATTTTCCAGGTTCTGCGAGTGTACGTCAGTAAGCTACTGGATATGAGGGTGTTGTATACAAAAGATGAAACAACATTAACAAAGTATCAGGTATAAATCTAAAAGTTAATTGAGAATGTTTCAGAAATATTTTATGATTCTTGCTTCTGCCCCTTCCATGAAGGGTGTGGTACATGTATGTACCTATTGAAGAGCTGTCTAGGTAGCTTTTACATGGGAAATTCTAAATGAAAATTTAATACTGTACAATTGATTAAATGGCAGATAATGTAAATCAGGCTTACACAGATCATCACACGAGGAAAAGTTTCATAAGCTATTTACTGCATGTATTATTGAATGTACAGTATTGGTATTTTGCATATTTTCTGTTGACATCAACTTTCACGTCTAAACCATTTGGAAAACTGTATCATAATATTGGAATGTTTCTTATAACAAATATTATAAAATTATTCTCATGGTGTCACTGGTAATTTTTTCATTTGCATAGCTACTAGATTAAAAAATTATATAACCATCAATTTCCAAAAGCTGAACACATGATCATTGAGGTGGAGCTATTCAGTTGTATAGGTGGAATAACTCAAATGGGCCCTTCTGAGTTAGCTGAATTTCTTACAAGGAATGTCCAAAAATTAACAAAATACTCAATCTTTTGTACCACAACCCGGTTACTCTCACCATCTACTTTCGCATTTTCATGGTTTTAAGTGCTTACCCCTCAAAAACAATGAACACAAATTCATTCAGATTATCCAAGGATTCAGATTACCAAGTTCTTAAGAGTAATATATTCACAGATGCAGCAACTTCTAGCCATTTAAAACATACAAGCAAACAGACTATTTACTAAAGAATTTTAAATAGTGCTGTTATGTAGATAAATGATAAGTTATGTAGAATTTAATTCATATGTTTATAAGACATATCAAAGGCCTTATTTTTTTACAGATTTTACAGGCTCGGGAAGCTTTTCGGCAGAATCCCCCAGACAACCTTCCAAGACAAAGATACGGTGTTGTGGAAGGATTATTTGCCCTCTGTATGACTCTCTACCACTCATATGAACTAATGTTGCAGCATGGCACAAGGTCATTTTATAAATTTTTGAAAGGTACAGTGTACTTTAATTTTTTTTAAGTTATAAACTGTAAATGTAACTGTAATTTTTAAAGTTGATGTATGTAAATTAATGTATGTTGTAATTAATATGCCAAGTTGCCTAACAAGCCAAGTTTTCCTGAAATTATATATTTTTGTAAAAAAATTCTTAAAGCATGATAAAGTTTTCTATTATATATATTAATTGTTTTATTTGAATTAAAACTAACATAGAAATATGATCAACCCTAACTTAACCTAACCTCTCCAGACTTAACATGATTAAGTCAGTAATAAATAAATATATAGCTAGTAACCCAACTGTGCATAAATAATAAGAATATACAGTATGCTGATATTTAGTTGTCACTGAATGCTTTTCCAGTCTTTCTGAGGAATTACCTTAGTGCCCAACCACTTGGCTGGATAGTAGAATGATGATCTTGCTTCATGCAGTTCAGCATTCAATCCCCAAGTGGTTGGGCACTATTTTTTTCCTTGGTCTTTTCCTAAATCCTTATCCTCTCCCCTTCTAAGTGTTGTATAGTCATAATGGCTGAGCTCTTTCTCCTGATAATTACCTTACCTTGGTATATTAATAGTAAATTGGGTATGCTGATGATGTTATTTGCCAATATAATTGAATCTTTGGTAATATTTATTTTGGCAGGTACTCTAGAAGGTGATAAAGGCCACAGTTTTGCACGATCTGAACTCCTTCGCAACAAAGTCTTTCAGGAGCTTATGGAAGAAATAGCACACAAGTTTGACTCCGAGTCAATTCTACCCAAGTCTTCAGAAAAGACTTCTTCAAGAGGGTCATCTCAGGTGTGTAGTGTGAGTGCACAATAAAGTATGGACAGTTATAAGAACAGTAATGAAATTGATGTATTTTGAGCACATGTATTCACATATACAGTACTGCAAGACATTGGTTTCATATGCAGTACCCCATAACTTTGTTTATGTTAACCTTGATCCCAAGATGATACAATCAAAAATAATGTTTTTGTCTTCTGTAACAGATTGTTATGTTAGCTTCATCCTGTCTTCACCACCTCTATCCCTGCCATCCCTCTGCCTCATTTTTCTCTTATTCAGACCTTGCCATGTTTGTAAAAATCCATCTTCCTAATGTTAAAATTTGATAATTGTAACATTACCCATCATTCATCCTTTGAGGTGTTGTTTTCTATAGGAATTATCTTCCTTAAGTTGGTGGTGTTATGTGGGATAATTTCTAGAAAATGTTGTACTCCTTGAGTGGATGTCACCATATAGAATCTTCCCTACACTATATGATACACTTTTCCTAGTTAAAAGACTTCAAAGAACACATGAAAATATTTACTGGAGAATTCTATATTCTGGTTTGCAAGTGAGAAAGTTTAAAAAAGAAACAGCCCAGAGCCACAGATAAGGGAAGCAAAACAAAGTTAAATGTTGAATTGGGAAAGCAGTTATAATGAAATTGAGCATGAAATAATTTCATGCCCCCATTATTTCATTGGGCATGAAATAATGCCAAATATGTTGACAAAATTTGTAAGACTGTCAAATGGTAATTAATGCAGTGCAGGCATATTAAAAGGAAAAATGTATGGTGGGTGTTTTCATCTTTGCAGTATTTTATTAAATACTTTCAACCAACTGATATTTGTTGTCCATCATGGTAGATAAATATTAATGGCTAACAAGGTTGGTAATATTGATACGTTATATGTTAATGGACCCATCTTTTAACAGGTTGGTGGTGCAGAGTGTTCAAAGGTAAACCCAGAGGTGCCATATGTGGCGAGTCACCCCAAACTGGTTAAGCTGCTGACCATTGTGCTTGGTCATCACAAGAAATATGCCAATGAAGGAAAGTCAACCAGAATCATGATATTTTCTCAGGTGATTTATTTGATAATTCCTTGGATCAGACATTCATTGTGTATCCAAATTGAATAATTGAATGTGAAAAGGTAGTTTAACAAATCAAATAATTTTTTCATGATGTTCTTTTTTAAATTTTTAACTGTGGCCACTGGTAGTTAAAGAAGTACTTCACAAAGAATGTATAGAAAATTACTTTGCATCTTAATATTTACTTTGTTTTTTTGTCATGTTAGTAAAAGTGAGACCATAAATTAAAGCACAATAACTATCTCTAATTTAATTTGTTCAAACTCTAATTTGAATTTTGTCATCGAATGGTAACTGATAACATTGTTAATTGATAAAATTATATATCTTATATTTAACAATTACAGGTGTGATAAAAATTTATATCTGAATTTTAAGTAACGAATATCACACATTTATGTTTCATATTGAAATGTCAGGGATGTGGTTTTCTTAATGCTGTTCAGTATTTGTGAAGGAAAAGTTTGCCATATGTCTGTGATATGAGAGCTCGGATGCCACTCTTGTGCATTCTCACATACAGTAATTATCTGACGCTGGTATGTAAATTAATAATAGAGTACAATATGGCCTTTTAATAATTATTTCTTTATTCAAATAATTTTCAAATTTCCAGTATGTACTATAAATCTTGTTAACCCTCAATATGCGGTTATTGTCAATTGACGATTATTGTTATTGCTCAGTTTGTTTACCAGAGATGTTAAAGTGGTTATAATAGCTGTGTGGATGCAGAAGGGTTAACCAAGACCCGTAGACAAATTCTACTATCGTTTTGTAATTACTTACTATGTGATGAGGTTATTATGTAATGAGTCGCTGTCAAATGACAATTTGGTTTTTGTTGCCAGTACAGTACAGCAGTTGAATCGATGCCTGGATGATATTCCCAGGCAGAATCACAGCACAGCTCCTGTGCTTCAATTCCTATAGAGACTTACTATTGAGCTATGCCTGGAGTAGATATACTGTACATGCAATAGATGGATATACAGTACAGTGTTAAATTGTAGGCCTATATTCAGTATTCTGACAATGTTTTTACAAATTATGTTTACGTCAATTGAGCTATTCAATACAAATACTAAATTGTGTAAACTAATAAGTGAAAAATTTGTATACAGATACTGTATACAAGGTGAATATAAGCGCTCTCTCTTTCCCTTACAATTGTGTTAAAAACCCTCGTGTTTGCCGTCGAAAGATAGGTGACTGTCACCCAGCTTCCTGCCTCAGCCTACAAAATCAAATTTTGTTTTATTTCTTTTTTACTTTTGAATGCAAATGTAACATTCTATAAAAACAAATTATTATTATTATTATTATTATTATTATTATTATTATTATTATTTCTAAATAAAAGAGCATTATTAAATTTACGAAATGGTCAGTCAACATACGGGGGCAACAGTTGTCTAGAATCTAAAACTAAAGAGACATGTGCAGCGAGATTGGCCCCAACCATTTCAGAATTTGGTTGCCCAACTGTTCATTATAATGTTTTACCTTTTAAGAATGCACTGTATAGTTTATTTTGTTGGCAGTCAAATTAAAACTAATAATTCTTGTAATTTACAGTACAGAGACAGTGTCATGGAAATCACTGAAATGCTGCAACGACATTATCCTCTTGTTAAGGCCATGAGCTTTGTTGGACAGTCCACGGTGGCTCGAGGTGGTCGTGGATTCTCACAGAAGGAACAACTTAAGGTAGCCATTCTTTCATATACAGTACATGGTTTATATGTATATGATAGAATGGTTACATTCTATCATATACATTATAAATCATGATGTAAGCTTACAAGAATGTAAGAACACCAGTGTTATGTACTCTCTCAACCCAGTGTATCTTCTTGTATATAAATAAATAAATAAAAATTATTAAATAACAAAAAGAAAATGACAATCTGCTATTCTTTCAAGTGACTCTAAACTCCAGGAAAAGTAACACTTAAGTATTTTCTTCTCTATTGAAATGAATGGTGGTGATCAATGGAGAGCATACCTTAATCCACTCCAAGGCAGCTGCTTACTATTACTGTATGTACACAAACCCTTTAAATTCCTGAAAACCCCCTGTAAACTGTTTTTGGTAACTAAAAAATTAACAATCATTCTGAAGCTACCGAATCCCCATCAACCTACTATCTATGCCATCACCCAGGTGGTAGCACTGAATACCAGGGTGAGAGGGAGTTGTCCACCTCACTTTGAAGCCTGGCATATGACTACTTATACTGTTCACTCTGTAATGGCCGCTTTTCAGATAAATCCTCAAATGATTATCCAAAAAATTACTTTATATTTGCCTAATTTGTTTGCGACTGATCATACGATCTGCCTCATCTTTCTTTCAGGGAATAACTATTCCCCTGATGCTGATTATGAGGACCAAAGACCACCAGAGCCTATCAATTTCTAAGCCCATTAGGGCCTTAGAAATTTGGTCCTATCAGCTCTTCCAATTACACTTAAGTGACCTGTGTATTTGTAGTGCTCTTGGGAATTTGGTCTTCAAGTAGAGGCCTTATTGTATCTGAGCTACAAATATTACACATAAATCTTTCATTATTTTAAGGTTCTAGCACTGTCTCATTCAAGTGTCTGTGCTCAGCATATTTCTGGGTGCATAACACCTCAGAAATATAAAGATGACTTGTTTATTATTTTTTGTTTCCTCAGTGGCTGCCCTTATCCATTTTCGTTAACTGTAATGAGCTTCAGTGAATACTAGGCAAGTACGTATGCTACTCTAATGAGCATTCTTCCAACCTGAAGTGTCATCTAGCATGGGTTTTTCTGATTTTTCATTTATTAGGGAGGGTCGATGCACTCAATTCTCTGCTGTTTGTGGTTTCATGAACTACTAGCCAGTTGAAACCCTGAATGTGTTGTTTGCAACTTTTAGGATTGTACATCAGTGTTTATAAATTTGTGGTCACGTCTATTCCCTCTAACATGTCTCTTTTGTTGGGTCCTAAGATTTGAAGGATTTCTTTATATTTTCGGGTGGATTGAGGCATGCTTTCCATTTAGTTCACTGCTCTATTGTTTAATAGGGAGGCAAGATAATTTTCAAGGTTACTGTACTTGTCTTTTTGGGCTCTTAGCAGTTTGCCAGCAGTTTTTAGCCTAGTAGTTTGCCAGAGCCCTAGTTGGGTCCAGTAAAGGTGACTTAAGGGGAGCTTCCAAAGAACAGCTCAGAAATAAGCCTCTCATTCTACTCAGTGCTCTATTTTTCTCAACAGGTGGTGAAAGAGTTCAGAGAGGGGGGCTTTAACACGCTCATTGCCACTTGTGTTGGAGAAGAAGGTGAGTTAGTTACTTGTTATTTACCAGTCTAATTATGTGTAGTATGGTTGACTTCAGTATAAAAGTAGTTTGCATTATTGTTGAGACACACTGGATATTGGATTCACTTAGGATTGAATGACAAAAAGAATTCATACTGTAAGGAAAGAATGAGAATGTATTTAAAGTGTGATGAATGAGAAATCATTTGAAGTGATTAAAATTGAAAATTGAACTTCAAAACAAATTGCAGAATTCTCATAATAGTTTTTCAGTGAAATTGTTGTACGAGTTGCACAATGAAATTATATGTTGTGAATGAAGATGATGAGTCACAATAACGTGGCTGAAGAATGTTGACCAACCCATACACTAGAAGATGAAAAGGCGACAACATTTCGGTCCATCCTGGACCAATATCAAGTCCATTGTGACAATCATTACACAATCGACTTGATAATCGTCTAGGACGGACCGAAATGTCGTCATCTTTTCATCTTTTAGTGTGTGGTTTGGTCAACATGTGAATGAACTCGCATCCCTGGAGTTCCCAAACACACACACACACTACCCACTGAACCATGATAAGCTTAAAAGTATCTCGGCCAAAAGTTCTCCCAGAGTTACTTGGGAGTTAAGAAGTCAACACCTGGCACCACAATACAAGTTGTACAAGATACCCGCCCACTCTTGCGTGTATCCAACTCTTACCAGAGGCACTTTTCTATACACTGATTAAGGAAAATGAAGGAATTTGAGTAACTAAGAGAAGGTAACTGGTGGTTAATGATCTTCCCTACTAGTGCCATGAAAGATGTTCCTAAAACAAAGCCAAAGTAGACTAAAAAAGCTAGAAACACCTTTAAAGTACAAACCCCCTCCACTAGACTAGACTTTGGTCTTGTTGGCAAAGAACCAGGTGATTGTGTAATGGGGTTTTATCTCAGTGGCTCCCTAGGTGGCCTGTTCTACCATCTGGTGGCAGAGGGGAAAGGCCACGAACTAGTATTTAGTTTTAGCCATGTTTATTTTTGGTTTACTATCCAACACTTCTCTATGAGCGTTTTGAGTCTTTCCGACTCCCTTTTGGTTTGTAGATTAGAATTCCTCAGTTGGTGGTTGATCTTTCATCCCTACATACTCCTCTGCCTCATTGATGATGTGGTACAATATTCAGGTTCTGTTGACCAGACCACACACTAGAAGTTGAAGGGACGACGACGTTTCGGTCCGTCCTGGACCATTCACAATCGACTTGAGAATGGTCCAGGACGGACCGAAACGTCGTCGTCCCTTCAACATCTAGTGTGTGGTCTGGTCAACATACTTCAGCCACGTTATTGTGACTCATCGCCTGCATTCAGGTTCTGGTTCCCAGTATGTCGAGATTGTCACAAATATCTGGTGTATGTGTCAGCTTGGTTTCTAGAGCATAAGAGAGTAAGCATAAACTCTGGGAAACTGCTGAGGAACCTTTCAGGAAAGAAAGGTTTCATTACACTCAGTGCTTTAATTTGATTTCTCTTGCATTATAATATTATATTTTGATTATCATGTTGCAGTAGATTCTCATGCTTGATTGAATAATTAGTTATAAAAGTTTTTTTCTTTTCATATAGGTCTGGATATTGGTGAAGTAGATTTAATTATATGTTATGATGCACCAAAATCTCCCATACGATTGGTGCAGAGAATGGGACGCACTGGGCGGAAGCGTGATGGTCGCATTGTGGTGCTAGTAACTGCTGGCAAAGAGGAGCAGGTAAACAGCTCTTAGATGTATCATTGCTGTGTTGTGTGTACACCTTTTTCCTAAATTTTTCTTTAACTCTCCACTTTTATGGGCCATTTAACTTCTTTTTAAATTTAGGGCCTTACTGAATGCATGCATATGAATACAAATTTAGTATAGCTCTGTTTTATATTACAGTACTGTATTTAAATTCTTTGATGTTTTAATTTTTCAGATGTACAATCAGAGCCAATACCAGAAAAAAAGCATTAATGCTGTCCTTGCCGACAAGAACAGGTTAAACCGATTTCTCAGCCCACATAGCTCTAACATGATTCCTAGAGGTGAGTGATCAGATTCTTCAGCTAATATATACTGTATAGCTTGGTGCTGAGAGGTGATTAAATTCTTCTCCTAATATAGCTTGAGCCTGATACCTAGAAGTAATTAATCAATTTTGAGATGTTATTTGTTTTTGTTTAATATGGTGCCACCACTAAAATCTGGACTAGATCATTTCACTCTTGACCCGGCTTCGTAAATATCATTTTGTTTTACCAATTGATGTCTTCAAGTAGTCTTCCTTGCCTACTTCTTTCTGTCTTGGTATAACCATGTAAGTAGTTATCATATATTCCTCTTTTTATATTTATTGTTGTTATGCAAGTGGAAGAGTGCAAGTACTCTGAAATAGTATCCCAGAGTTGAGATTATAATGTTTTGGTTATTGTTCAGGAATAACGCCAGTCTGCATGAAGCTGCACATGAAAGTGGGAACATGGAAGATCCAGACAGGCAGAGGTCGTAAATCATCAGTTGGTCCCACCACCTCCATAGCTTCAATGCTGGGAAATTCTGGCCCATCTCCTACAAATAAGAGGGTGAGCTAAAAAATACTGACATACCAGTATTTAAACTTCATAATTCTATGTATAAAATTACCAAGCATTGAAAATTTTTCTTGGTGAAACAACAAGTTTAAAAATTAGTTGAAAGACAAATTGTGTAGAGGTTTTGTTGTTAATTTTTTTATTGTCAAATAGTGCTGTTGGAGTTTGAAATTTTGTGCTTTTGTCAAATTATAAGCCTTAAGTGTTGAATTAATTTAGACGTTTTGGAGGTACAACACAAAGCTAAGTACTGTATAAAGTTCCATTTAAAATATATTGGCTCCATGTATAAAATGCTGGTCAGAATCATGAATATAATCGAATTCAAAATATGAAATGGTCAGGGCCGAGCTATTGGCAGTTTACTTATTTTGAGATTTTAAGATGCATATTACTCCTTAAGTTATCCCTACTTATAGTATAACTTTAATGTTCTTTAATTATTCAATATGTTTTGCATAGACAAATGAATGTTTAAACATTATTTTACTACTGACTAAGGCAAGACAATTACAGTACTGTAATGAGCTGTGTACTTAAGTTTGAATGGACTACAGTATTTTGGACCAACACATTTCTTTTCATCTCAAATCAACATGGGCACAGGCCATTTAAAATAAAAAATATATTATTACAAGAAACATTATAATATGCATTTATAGATTGTAATATGCTCATTACATCAAAACCTTGATGTAATACAACAGAATACACTAAATAAACTTGCTCTAGAACTGTTATAAACAGGGATTTTTGCTTTTGAGTGAAGTTTCACTTGCCTTGTGACCCATGAGTATGCATCTGAGCTAGTTGTTTTTGTAATTTAGGAATTTACATATACTGTACATATATGTAATTATATATATACATATATATGTACTAAAATTCTTAGTACATATATGTACTAAGAATTTTTTGTAATTTTGTTTGTGTAGGATAAAGTGTGTCCTCAATTTTCCAAAAGCAATGCATGCTAAGGAAGTTTCATTAAGCAAGACTGTCAGATAATTCAACACAATTACAGTACAGTTCTTTTCTTGCCATGGTTATATATATAAAAATACAACATTTATTATAATACAATACATACACTACTGTATTTTAGCATAAAGTATACGATCAAAATCATGTTACCGAGTAGAGGCCCCTCAGATGCTTCGTGGATTGGTATTGGCCTGTGGTGTGTGTATATTAGAGTGGGATGGTTCCTTGGTGATGGGTTGAGTTTGACTTACCATTGTATCCCTTCTCTGTCTTATATATCTGATAAGACCATTTGCAGATATCGCTAACAGACTTTGGGGGAAGGTTATGAAAAGTTAGCTTAGTGGCATGCTTCTGAGGAGGCCCCAAATGATTCCTGGCTCAGGAAGCATCCCCAGGCACTGCTCCGAAAGTATTGTTTCACTGTGCTCAATACCCGATAGTAAATTCTAGCTTGTAAAAGATAATAGAAATCAGTTTGAATGGTCAAGAATGCAAGTTGGATGCATTAAATTCATAAATAGGCTGCAGTTAAATTGGATAAGCTTGATCTCATAAACCCTTGAGTAAAATATTTTAAATGTCACTTGTTTTACAGAAGGATTGTGTAAATAATAGTGGACTGTCAAAAGAGGAATTCAGTTGGTGGAGGGAGAATCTTGAGGTTCCACTGGATGAAATCAAATCCATACCAAGACCATCATTACTCTGCCGTAGCAAACATGGTAAGTTTGCCCTGATTAATTCTGTGAAGTGTGAATAATAATTCCAGCTGCCCTTCTGAAGTTTGTCAAGATCTTCTTGCAATACCCTACCGTCTTCTTCAATTCTTACTCCTCTCATTAATTTTAATAATTTGCAAACATTGGCATGTACAAGATCATGCCAGGTGTTTCATATGGCTGTTCTAGGACAGCCAAATTAAAGGCCACTTTCTACTCCTCTCCAGGTTCACATATCCTCTCTGACTTTTGCTTCCTTTCCATCAAATACTCCCATACCCAGTCCAATACCTTACATGTTATTCCTGCTTGTCTCTCTCTATCTTGTGTATTATATTCCATGAGGAACTGTATCAAAAGCTTCTTGGCAGTCTAGGAAGATGCAGTCTACCCCAGCCTTCCTTCTCTTGTCTTATTTTGGTGATCCTGTTCTAGAATTCAACCAAGTTTGTTAAGCATGATTTCCCCCTTTCTGAAGTTGTGTTGTGCCTCATTTATAATTCCCTCTACCCAAATGTTCAACATCCTGTTTCTGATTACTTTTTCTAGAATCTTTCATGGAATGCATGTTAATGACACTGGATTATACTTTATTTCTTCATGTCTGTTCCTTTTACTGTGTATGTGTGTGTAATTACCTAAGTGTAGTTACAGGATGAGAACTATGTTCATGGTGTCCCGTCTTCCCAGTACTCTGTAAAAGCAAGCTTTCTAATTTTATTGGCAGGTTTATTTCCTTAGTTTAACTCTACGACCCCTTGTTCTTGAAGTTGCAATTTTCAAGAATTCTTCCTTGTCAATTTTGTAGATTCCTGTTACTGTTATGTACATAGTTACGTAGTAATCATATAATCTCTTTCTTCTGACTTTGGTATATTAAGCACCTCTAGCCTCCCCTTGAAGCTCTTGTATTTCAATTTCAGAAGCCACTTGGTTACATGTTTTTGTAATTTAAAACAAATTGTATGCTTCTTGAGAATATTTTTTGCGATCACATTTTTGCTATAAAATGTTTTTAGTTAATTCAATTTCTGCTCTTTTTTCTATTCTCATTTGAAATCAACTAATCTATGAAAGTTCAGTATTATTTATACTGTATTAAAAATTTGACTGTTTGATTATTTTACTGTCACTGAATTCACATTAATAATATATAAAATTCCTTATTTTCTTAAGTGTTATGTAGTATTCTTATTTCAGATACAAAAGAGGACTTCAATAGTATGCTCTATATAAACTTGGGGATGTATCAACCATGGCATACTATGGCCCAGAACACCCATGTAATGGGCCATTCCTCCCGTACACTCCATTTGGTTCAGCTAACTGAGTTTATTGGCCTCCAGCAGCATTTTGATGTTGATGATGATCCTTATGGCTTAGAGATGGCAGCATTTTTAGACATGGCTTATATTGAAGGTTTGTGTCTACTGATCTCAATGAATTATTTCAAAGTGCAGAGTTGTTACCAGTCCCTTTAATATTTTGTAGACATAGGTTTTGTAGACATATATCTTACTCACCTATATTTTAATAAATACAATTTGGGGGATTTTGTGTTCCATATAATTTATTGCAGGTCAGCAATTTTTTCAAACTTTATTGAAGCAGAAAGTGTGACTTTAATGTACCTTATTCTATATAAACAGTATATCATTATTTTTATAACACGCATAAATATTTATCTTGAAGTGTTGGGGAAAAAATATTGAATATACATAGATGAAAGGCAGTACTTTAGTAATGTAATATCAATCATTATATGTAATGATAACTATATTTTACACCTCACCAGGTAACACTGCACAGAAACCCTCAATGTTCTCTTCAGTACGAAGTGATGTACACAGAGACAGTCAACAGATCTTGCAAGGAAGTGGTGAAATTAAAAAAGGAAAAGAAAAGAAGAAAGCCAGTGCATCAACAAGAAAGGGTGCCAAAAAATCAGTTCAGAGCTGCCTCATCACCAGCATGTTTAGTCAGAAGCCTCGAGTTCATGTTGAGGAGCCAAAATTGAGTAACTGTCAAGATTTAGAAGATTTTGATGTTGCTAATAAAGATACAAATGAAGACCAATCTGAAATGGAAATAAGTGAAGTCAAAGTAGTTGATGTAGAAGACATAGAGCATGTTGTAATACCAAGTGTAAGTCCCTGTAAGAAGAACACTGATGCTTGTGATCACATGCTAGAGTTCTTGAACTTGTTGCCACCAAAGCAGCGTTCTCCTCTCCATATCCCAGACCCTCCAGATGCAAGTGACTTTTCTAATGATGATCAAGAATCTGAGCCTTCTAGCCCAACAGACATCATAAATGTATACAATGAATGGATTGAAAAGACAATGGATGTTGCCAAGAATGTTTTTAAATTAAAGAATGGTGGCATAGGTGCTTCAGATGCTGTAGATGTATCTATTAATCATTTTCAAAGACTGAATTGTGTTGAATCAAAGCTTATGAGTTTGAATGAAACAAATAATTCTTTAGTAGAGTTGCCTGATCTTCAAGGACATCAAGAAAATATTTATAAAAAGTCCTCCACAGCAGAAGTTTCATTAGAAGTATCCCCAGTTCTAGGAAATAATATGACCTCAGCAACTAGTCAAATTAAAAGCGGAAGTCAAAAGTCTGACTGTGGAAGTAGTGATACAGAACTTGTTACATCTCGAGATATTTTTGGTGATTCTACAGTGCCATCAGATCAAAATGTCTCACCAGTATTAAGTTCTAGTTATAAAAAGCCAGTTAGAACAAATCTGAAACTTTATTCCTCAACTCCAAAAGTCACTGCTAAACGCCTTTTCAAAATAGCAACTCCTGATTTGACTGGAATTGAACAGAATTCTCCATTTTCTAGAGAATTAGACACATCTTGTACTCCAGTAAAATCCCATACTGCTGCTAACTTAAGGAGAGAGCAATTAATTCAGAGAGATTCAGAAAATGCTGAGCTTGAAGCAAGGGGCTTGCCTTCAGGACTCAGTTATAGGAATAAAGTGCGTTCAAAATTAAGCAGATTTACGATACCTGAAAACACCAAGTCAGAGGATGAACCACAGATTTCATCTTTACAGAAATACCAAAATCCTATACATACAAGCAAAGGAATCGACACTCGTCAAATTTCTAGTGTGTCTGTTATGAAAAATAAGGAAGGTTTGACAAATAAAGATGGTATGACAAATAAAGATGTTATGACAAATGAAAATCTTATGACAAATAAAGATCTTATGACAAATAAGGCTGTTATGATAAATAAGAATGATACAACCAATAAGGCTGTTATAACAAATATGGATATTATGACAAATAAGAATGTTATGACAAATAAGGATGTTATGACAAATAAGGATGTTACGGCAAATAAGTACGTTGCTACAAATAAAGCTATGACAAATAAGGATGTTATGACAGATAAGTTTGTTGCAACAAATAAGGATGTTACAACCCACAATAGCAGAGAGTGTAGTGTCAATTTTAATTTGAGCCTGGATGATGATCTCTTCGTTGACATAGAAGAAGAAGAAGATAAAACAAATAGAAACGAATCTCCTGATATTGAAGTCATAGAACAATATAGAAAACCATTTGTTATTCCAACTAGACAATCACTGTCAAAGACAAACACAGGGTCACTTGCAGGCACAGCTTCAGCCCTTCTGAGTGTAACACAGATCATTGATTTAGTGAATGAGTCAACTGATAATATATCTTGTAAAGTTGTTGACAGTGCAGAAACATCATCACCCAGTTTTCTAAAAAATACTGCTAAGTTAACAGGAAAGTTATCCAAGTCATTGCTTTCCAAATCCTATGGCTATGACCAGAGTGTTAAAAATTCAGTATCCACAGAAACTGTGAAACAATCAAATTGCTTGGAAGGACCAAACTTTTCTCTGCTTGATGGGTTGGTTTCTGATGATGAGGATAAGCCAGATGGAGTGAAAGAAGAATCCAGCAATGAACAAAGTGTCCATTTTGATTTGTTAGGGACTGATGAGTTTGATGTAGAGTCAGAATCACTTCTTGCTGATATTGAACTGAACATTCAGATGAAAGATGAAGGGAGGAAAACACAAGGGAAGAAAGGGATAAGTGATGAGGGAAGTTGTATAGATAAAGAAAATAAAGATAAATATATTTTAAAAAACAATATGCATAGTACAAAGTATCAAGCAAGGCAAAATTTAACAGGTAACACATCTCCCGAGATATTAAAATTTATTGATACAGTTCTTTCGCCTACACAAGAGAACTCACACGTTTGGAAGAGGAAGAGAAAACGACATAATGTAGTGGGATCTGACACTGAAGATTATGTCACACTTAGTAGCGACTCTGAAAATGACACACACGGAAGGTCTGGCTCCTTACTCACTGATAAAAGTAGTTCCTCGGGGAATAATATCGGGATCAACAGGAAAAAGAAAAAGATGTTTGGGGTTAAAAAGAACTTTGAAGATGATGATGATTTTGATGAAGATTCGACAGCAGCCTTTCAAATGATGCAACAGAAATCAGAGAGCTCAAGAAAGCAGCCACATAAAGATATAAAGGTAAATACATAACATATTGTAAATAAATGAATGATAATAGTACCTTAAGGAGGTTTAGATACACTGTACTTCATTATGATCTAATTTATTTTAAAACACAAAAGGGAAAATATGGCTTATACAGTATTTCTTATAATTTTTCCAGAAAAAGAATTTGTTTATTGAAGATGAAGCAGAAGTTTCAGAAAATGATGACTGTGTTTCTAGTGATGAACAGGAAGAAGATGAAGGGAATTATGACCACAGCTTTGTGGACGACTGCACACAGCTAACACAGGATACTTCTATAGAGTGAGTCCTTTGGGGGTAACAAAGAATCATTGTGAACAATATTATGAAACCTAAAGTAGTTCAAATAATTAAATTTAAACTATTGTTAACATCTGAAGAGTGCTGTATTTCAGAAAACCATCACCACTGAAATCAATAACAGTTAACGATGTTTCGAGTAATTGGTAATATGACTGCGTGTTTCTGATCTACTGCGTTCAGTTGTTTCCTAAGGGAAGAACGTCCTTGCCCTGGGACTGGTCAATACTTTGTCAGTACAGATGAGTGATCTGCACTGGTGCAACAGAAACCTTTTCAACTGTCCCTGCTCGGTCACATTTGTGCTTAGGGGACACTGGAGAATATTTAGTCTGGCCTGGATTGGCTACCAGAAAGCACATTAAAAATTCATTGCTTCCAAGTGCTAATTGACATCACAAGGACCAATCAACGCTCTTCGGGATGTGGTGTCTGATGTCGCGGCTTGCCTTGGTCACTGCCGATCTGTTTTCAATCATTTTCAAGACTGCTTAGTCTTTCATTTTTCTTATCTTTCTTTTCCATCCTTATCTTACCTTAGGTGGTGATTTGCTGGTTTATGTGCTGTGTGCTAGATCAACTTTCCAGCCTCTCCAATTGTTTCGAGTGAAGTCTGCTCTACCAGCTCCTCGCTAAAGCTATAGGAGAGCTGTGTTTTATCAATATCCTGGTCTGTCATGTGTTTCAGGGCCATTGCTGGCCTGTGGGGGTCCAGCTCTTCTTCTTCCCCAGCTTCCTTTGGGGAAAGGAGAAACTTAAGCATTTTGAAGTTTTGTAGAGGCTACCTTTGCTTGCCATGTTGGCCCTTTTGTGGTAAGTCTTGGCAATGCTACAGTTTGGGGACATATGCACAATTTCCAGCAAACCTGGTCCATGGAAGCGTGTTCGTTCTCTTTTGTGTCTTAAGATCTTCGGTGAACTTTGTACCACTTGCCTCCTCAAGTGTCAAACTTCATTCTCTCATCTTTGTCCCACATTCCAGTGACAAAGAAAGAGTGTCCATGTCCTGGTGAATACTCAACTTATCAGAGGTCAATGCTCATATGCCCATCCTTCTGGATGACAACTGTGCTGAAAATTTGCTAGAAGCTGACCTTCCAGTGTTGTCTCTCTGGATCTCAAGGAGTTCATTTGGCTCAATCAATTTTCCAGAACAATTGCCTGGCTGATTTGTGTTGTTCTTTAGGGTGTGTGTCTTTATGGTAATTTAGTCCTGGCTTACCCCAATGACTGGTTGTTCTGGGTCTACGGTCATTGAGCTTGTCTGCAGACTCGGGATCTCGTTCTGAAAGTGCTGGTTCAGTTTGGATTTGGGGTGACTGTTCTTGAGTTCCAGCAGGGTCCATCTCAGCATCTCCAATGGCTGGGGTTGGTTTAATTTTTAGGAGTTTAGTTTTTCTAAGTGTTTTGTATAGGGATCTCTTGATGCAGGGTGGAATGTTCTCTAAAGCTTTCTGACACCAGTATAACTATGCAGGGGCTTGATAAAGCTTTCCCTTTTGTGCTGATAGTGTGTCACCATCTCTCAACTGTACATATCCTGTCCTTCAAAACCAGTTGATTCTTACATTAGGGAGCACCCAAAGGTCATATTAGTAAGTAGTTTTTCATATAAACTCAAACCCTATTTTTTAATCTAAAGTATGAAGAGATAGACAGATTTATACAGCATTTAAACAGCACTGTATGCACATACAGTACAATTTATACAGCACTGTATGATGAATACAGTAATTGTATTTTTTCATTTGTTTTTATTTGTTGCTTCCCTGTGCTTAGAATAAGTTGTATTGCTTTTAGAAAGTATTATAATACCACTCACAATATATTTTCAGTATGAAAGCAGTGTATTTGCAGTCTGTTGTTAGTCCACTCAAGATGGCTCAGAAGAATCGTCGCCATAACGAACACCAGCTGTCTGACACAGATGAAAGTACTCAGGAAATGGAGGTAAGTTGACAATTAAATATTCATATACCATACAGTATATTTTTAATTGTGACTCATAAATTTAATATAATTTTACAGCTACATAAAATAACTGTTTCAACTAAATAAATAAAAAAAATATATTGAAAAAAGTCAGGAACCGTATGAATGTATGAAAGGAATATTTAGTGTTCATTTGCCATTTTAATTATAATAGATGATTCTTACTTACATTATTATTTGCCGTATAATAAGGAATCCCTCTGTAAATGGATGTGTTATTGTATGGCAAATTCCCCTTAACAACAAGACACAAAATTGTTATGCAGTATAAGCACTTTTGAAGGCAGGATATTCGGCACTATGACCACACCATAAGGTGAAGGCTCAGTCTAAGGGTGAGTTCCAGTGCCAACACCTGGTGGTTCACTTGTATACCTAATTATCAGAGCACATACTTGGTTGTCATTATGATTATGAGTAATGTTTGGAGGAGCTATTCTGGGTTGGATTGAATTATGTTTTCCAGCGTCTGTTCCCATTCATGATCCGGTGGAGCTGTTTGAGAACACTCTTGCTTCATTGCATATTAAAGTCCCGGCAGTACACTCGGGTATGTTCTCGACTCACAATTGACAATTCTGAACTCAAATCTTGGGCGGGATAGAAATGGTTGGGTGCATTTCCTATCACCTAATGCACTTGTTCAACTAGCAGTAAGTAAGTACTCAGGAGTTAGTCAGCTAGTTGTGGGGTTGCATCCTGAGTGGGGTCAGTAATTTGACCTTTCTTTTTAGGGGGGGGGGAACCTCAATATAAGCCTAACGCATATGAATACACTCTGGCTTCCCGACCCAATAAATAAAAAAAAAAAAAATATGAAGCTCAATCTGACCTGGCTGAAATTTTGCCATATTCTTGAAGGAGCAGGAAATTGCCTAAGAAAGCAATTGAGTGCTTCGGCTTAGAAAGCCAGGAAAGACAAAAATAAACCTTGTACCCGGTAGGTGGTATTTCTGTAACTGTCACAGATATAGATAAATACCTGTATATATAACTGTCACAACATTTACTGTCTGCTTACAGGAAGAGGAAGATGAAGACAGCTTTGTTGTAGACAACAATTTTGTGGAGTATGACACTGAATACATGGGTGACACTATGCTAGCTGAAGACCCTATCATAGCACAGGTAATAATAAGTAACTATTTTTAACTTAAAACTGTCAGTGTGATGGAAATGCTTTATAGTGAAAAGTTTTGGAATGAATAAAGTTTATAGTTTAAATACATATTTAAATTATCTGTAGTTTAAAGAAAATATTAAAAATTGGCTTGATTTTTATTTATTTTTAATAATAAAGTACTCTATGTTCATAGACTTTTATTATAAAACTGCATAGGTTATTTTATCATTAGATAATTGGAATATAAATCATGTTCTTGTGATTTCATTGTGCATAATTTTGTATTTTCTAAATCCAGGCTCTTGATGATGAAGTAGTATCTAAGAAAAGCAAGGATGCCGAGAATGGAAGTAAAACCAAGAGAAAAAGGATAATTAACTGTGAGTCATCAAGTGATGAAGAAAGTGGAAATCACAACAGCAAGGATAAAAGTGATCTTTCTTTACTCAGACAAGTGAGTGATGATTGTAGTAGCTCCTTGCCTAAATCATCTTGCACTAGCATCCAAGATCGAGGTTTTGTCATGCAAAGGGATGCTACAAAAAATAAAACTCCAAGCACCGTCATCTTAAGCCTAACACCATCAGATAAATTGCAAATTATACAGCATAGTGAATCGGGAAGATTGCACTCAAGTCCAAAGCGATCAATAATAACATCAAAGTTGTCAGAAAATGACCAGTCAACAGGTGGTAGTAACCAAGTTCGAAGTTTATCTCGATGCTACAGTGCTGATCCTCAATGCAAAACACAACTTCTCTCTCCAGAACGTGCCATTGCCAGAATAGCACCTTTGCAAAATAAATTGTTTTGTAATAGTGGTTCAGAAGGTTTCTGTATGCCATCTGAGGAACTTAAAAAGGATGATAAAGAAACACGTGTAGCTCGAGTATTACCATCAAAATCGAACAGCTTATTAGCATCCAGCATGAGGACTGAGCCTGTATCCTCCATACCGGATCCAGTGACTGGGTTAAAAGTGCCTGGTTCCAATGTTAAAATGCCGCTGCAAAACAAGCACATGGAAAATCAGTGTAGTACAAATCTATCAGAGAGTAAACCAGGTACATCCACATTTACCAACACCAGACAAGTAAGTATATTTTAATACAGTATTATTCTAAATTATTCATTATTGCCACTGTGCAGTTCCATTTATGGTTGATATCTACAATTTATTAACATATTAAGCAGAGCATAATATGAAATGCTGAAGCATTAATAATGAATAGCAGTCCTTGTGGCGCAGTGGTAAGACACTCACCCGGCACTTTGTGAGCGCTTTGGCCTGGGTTTGTATCATGGCCGGGGAGGACTGACTAGGCACCAGTCCTTAACTGTAGCCTCTGTTCCTGGTTATTAAAGAATTTGGCAGGTTGTATTCCGGGGAAAATTAGGATTAAGGACCTGCCTGAAATGCTATGCATGCTAGTGGCTTTACAAGAATGTAAGAACTCATGTATAAGTATATTTAAAAAAAACCTTTTCTTTTAATAAGAGTTCTCATCCTGTCAGGTAACATTCGTATTGCTGTTTTTTGTAATGCCATTTTCCAAAAGCCTGCTTAAATTGAATCTTTACTTTTACTTTTCATTTTATAATGTCTGTGTCTTTGCCAGTATAACCCAGAAGAATTTGAGGAGAAAATGATTTGAGAGTGAATATTACTCTTAACCTATGAGCATTACACTCCCTATACTCATTATTCTGCAATGTTATATAAGAGGATGATATGAAGAAGAATACAGGAGGATGGATTGCATCCTCCTGTACTCATTCCACCACCCTGTATATATTTTGAAATATTCCAGCTCAGTGGTACCTTTCTTGAGTGCCCTCATTCAGTTGAAATAAATAAATAAATAAATAAATAAATAAATAATATATATATATATATATATATATATATATATATATATATATATATATATATATATATATATATATATATATATATATATATATATATATATATATATATATATATATATATATATATATATATATATCTGTCAAATTAGCAAATTAGCAATTTTTCTTGGTTAATGACTCAAATGGCATTGAAATTCATATAAACTGAGAAAATTATCTGAACTATGAATGCTCGTTGACTTCTGAAGACACAAAAGAGCACCAAAACATGAATGATGTCGGTAGAGACAAAAATATATTTTGGCATTGTTCATTATTATCTGCATGTCTTTGTTTCAATCAAGAGTATATTGTAAAGTATTCTTTCCCCTAGGTGGCAGCAGTGGTGTTAGTGGACTCATGTGAGATAAGTGGTGGAGGAAATATTGTGTCTAAGATGAGACTTCAGTATGGAGCCAGCACTGCAGTTGTCCAGCTGGCACATGCACATTACGCTGTTTCAACACGGATGGCTGTAACTCGGTTGCTGCACTCTGGTAATATGTGTGGTTATTGCTGATGCCGAAATGGCATGAAAGATTCTGTATTAAGGAGGGTTTCCAGCATCTTCGTCAATGTCTTTTCCTTTAACTAGCTTCTATTCCTCTTCCATTAGCTTTATCATTCCCTACAACTCTTAGTCTTTCTCCACCCATCTGTGACTTTTCATTAATTTCATATACAGTATTTCATTTTTACATTCCTGTTTTGTCTCACACTCATGCTGAGTTCCTCTCTAAGATCTGTTTCTTTTTCCAGCTTCTCTGTGTTTTGTCCTCACTTGTATTTCAAAAAGGGTCAGTCTTACCGCAGCCTTTCATTCACCCCATCACTGTGCATTACAGATGTGTGAAATTTTACAGTGGATAGAGTTCTTTATGTTTGTGCCATGCTGTCCACATTTTAAATTACTATGACATGTTGAATATGGACTAAAGAAAGTTGAACTCGTGGTTTCTTGCCAATCACCCCCCAGTATTCAGCAGCAGCCAGCAAAGAGGAAAGTTGGTACAGAGAGTTCAAGGAATGCTGGACTTGTATGAACGACCCGTGATCATTGTGGAGATGGATCGTGTGAAAGCTGGAGAATCGTCCCACCATGGACAGAGTCGTTCTAAATATCTGGACACAATCACATGTGCTAGTGCACAGGTCACACAGCTCAAGGTCCTCTACTCAAGTGGTCAAGGTAAGTATTCTTCTGGTTGTGAATACTGTAATAACTTGAACTGTGTACATTTTAGGTAAAATAATAGTGTAATCTTCAAAATTCATCCCTCTTTAAATGGAATACACCCAGATAAAGGATAAATTTTCCTATCAGATTACCCCTCTAAAATTTAGATTCAAGCCAAATACACAATAGTCATATAGCTGCAAGGAAATCCTCTTACCCTGTATGGGTAGTCAGCAAGTCTTATTGAAACCACCTCCATCCCACACCTTTTAAAAAATATATAAACTTGAACATTGAGGGATGTAATTAGCATGTCAGGTATAAATAGCTAGGTGGAGCATACAGAGCTAGATATCACTTCCCATAGTCACTGTGCATATACAGAGTATATATATGTATTTAGATTTACTGTATATGGTGTGAGTGAGATTGAATGCATTTTTATATGATCGTAGTTTTATAAAGCAAATTTTTTCTTAATATTCATCATCAGTCTTGCCATTAGCAAGACTGATGATTAGGCTTCTGATGATGCCATTAGACTGATGCCATTAGGCTTCCATGCTTCAATTTAAAAAAATTGTGTTGTCAGTATGTATTAAACTGCTTGCAATTATGTAAGGTTAGAAGAGAATAAAGAGAGTATTTTTTAAACAGAGGAGACAACCTCAATGTTGTTGCAACTGGTAGAGCAAGAAAGTTCCAAGGGCTACAGCATTCCTGTTATGCCAGAACATTTGACCCAACTGAAACAGGTTAGTTATCACACTATTTATCTTTGCTAATAAAAACTGTAACAGGTTAATTATGATATTGCTTAATTTATAGTTATGCTATATATAAATTTAGGAGTAGAGTACTGTATGTCTATAAGGGGTAATATAATTATTCCACATCTCATAAAATCAAAGCTAAATCTCACTCTAGGGGAAGTTTTAACTTAATTAATTTTAACTTGTTTTATATAAGTAAAAATGCATATGTGTACATGGGATGAAATTTTTACAGTTATTCTCTTGAAAAGTCCCATGCTCTGAGAGTAAGAAAAATGACCTAGAAGTTGCCTTCCTTGAAAACTAGATTCATGAAATGTACTTTTGCATAGAAGGCCCAGAAAATGTTTAATTCTACTCTGCATATCCATTTTATGCCTTTAATTGATTGGATATGACCACTACATACAAGATATTGAGCAGAACAGACATACTAGATAGGTACATGTTCACTTGAAGCCTGATTTTTTTTTATTGGTGTTAACTGTATAAATGTCACCATGCTTGGATTGTTTAAATAATAAAATGGCAATGCTTCTTGGTGCTGTCTGTTTAACTGGATAGTAGTTTAGGTTGATAAATCAACTGAATATTTACACTATATATAAAAAGAATATAAAAGAATTGGGGGATTTCAAAAAACTTGTTTTAAAATTAAATGCATTATACTTATACAGTACAGTACTGTACATTATTACCAATCAAGTCTTTATCGCTGAGCATTTTTCACTCCTAGTAGCAACAATCATATTTTGAAGCCATTAATTTCAACTTTTCCAATGTTATTAATTTATGTGTGTGTCTAATTCTAGGTTGTGAATTTCTACCTGTCACTGCCACGCATGAGTTACGCAACAGCTTTGTGTTTGGCTAAGAATTTTAGAACTATTGCAGACTTCATAAATAGGTAAGATGCAAGAATGTCTTTTATTAAAGAGAGCAAGAATGAGTATACTGTATTTATCAAACTTAGGGCAAGGAATTGTTTAATGCTGGGTTTAGGTGACACAGTAACTGTTCCTAATCAATTACAATTTACTGATATGTGCCAGAATATAATTACTGTAACATATCAGTGAATAATGTACTATAGCAATGTACTACTTTATCTTTTTCCACATAAAAGAGTGGAAAAGATAAAGAAGAAGAGAGAGAAAAGGAAAGGAGTGCATGTGTATGTGTACTAGACAAAAAACATACAGATCGAAGGAGATAGTTGGCAATCATTCCAAATGCTTTAGAATGCTTCTAATTAATGTTTTCTATGTATAATAACCAATGTTATAATTTTGTTGCATAATGATAGGCAGATAAAGTATATCAAATCTTGTAGGTATATGGATTGATAAGCAAAACCCAATTTCCTTAAATTTCTTTAGGGAAAAAATTATATGACATTATCCAGATTTATCTTGGATGACCCGAAATACAGAATGTCATTTTGTGTAAGCTGTTGTCTAAGGATTTAACTTTTTTCTAAGATAAGTAAGTGGTTTATTAATGTGCAGAACATGCCTGAAAGTCAACTGGAAGCATCTTGAACTAAAGTACAGTACTGTACAATATAAGTTTGTGGTGAAGGGATAGCAGTTAGTACTGAGGAATGCATCAATTTCTCATGCAGGCAAAAAACAAAAAAAGAGCATTAAGGTGGGAGGTTTCCAGAGAATGAGTCATTAGGTGTATGTGGATATATGCACACAATGCATAATGAATATGCACATTCCTGCCCGAAATGTTATACGAACTAGAGGCTTTACAAGAATGTAAACGCACCATGCTATTTACTCTCGTAAACCCAATGTACCTTCTTGTATATATATAAATAAATAAATGATAATTCGTCCTACCAATTAATTTATTTATTTTTTATCTTTCCAAGCTCTGCAGAGATGATAAGAAACAAGGGTCGTATGTCCATCCAGCGAGCAACAGCCATCAAACAGTACCTCCAGAGAGACTTTAGGCCAGATATGCTACCTCCTCACTAATTTTCACACCTTCATTTATCATTGTAATATAAATGAAATTCAAATTATCATTGCTATATTATAAAATAACTTTGAAGTCTTGATATCAAATGTTATATACAGGTACATGTATATACTGGTATGCATAATTTTTTGTATTATATTGCATTTGATATCCGGTAAAAAACATTCATGGATTTCCTTATTTATAACTTAAATCTTAATTCCTCTGCTGATTTAACCTTGGCTTCAGGGTTAACCTTAACACTTTATGCTAATATATCTAAAATGTTTCTAATGGCCTAAAATTTTCACTACATTGTTGGCAAGCATTTTGAGACAGCTACTAGGGGATGGGGGGATATTTTAATATTTATCCTGCTGGTAGTTGTTATGCCATCCATCATTCACATATTGAGCCTCATCTTGCCATCATTATCATTCTCTTCTCAGCTCTTAACGCATGTTGCTTTATTGTTATGATTATTCAGATTGAATTATGTCTATACCTGTTGCACTCTCTTAGAAATTTTGTGACTTTTATAACACGTGTTCAATTCTGAGTGATACAAATTGGTAGGGATATACATCTGATACTGGTAACTAGTCATTGTTGTTGTTAGTGATGATGATTGTGATGTAGACAGTGACCTAAGTTACCTTCTAATTAGTCACTATGAAAGATTTATTTTGAGAGAAGAAATGATAATCTACTACTTCACACTGGGTCTTCAGTCTTTTCATAATATTCTCACTGCATGATTAGTGGTCTTTAATCTCACAACAAAGCATTATTGTTTTGCTTACCTTTATATTTTATATATATATATATATATATATATATATATATATATATATATATATATATATATATATATATATATATATATATATATATATATATATATATATATATATAAAAAATATACACCCATTCCTGTCTTAGTTTTCTCATTTATATGTTTTTGCTTTCTCATTTTCTAGTAGCAAAGTATTGTATACTACATGGTCTTCTGTGCTCGGCACCTTCTGTTGATAATTACTCACTTCCGATTTTCTATCTTTGTTCTTCCTTTCTTTGTTTTATACATTTGTTATTCTGTTTCTATACTTTTGTGGAGGATACCTCCTAACCCATGAGGGTGGAAAAGGGTGTGGTCCTAACCCCATGAGGTGGGAAATAGTGTCTCATAACTCAAGAAGGTGGAAAATGGTGTTCCCAGCCCAGTGAGAATGGGAAGCTCTTTCACTCATAAAGGTGGGTGGAAAATAGGATAAAAATGGTGGTGGAAGTGGTGGTCAGTGTAATTATTTATGGATTTATGGTTGTCAATGTTATCTTCAGTCTTTATCATTGAACTTTCTTTTAACTTCAGAAATTTAGAAGATCTTTAAATACACTTGGTAATGCTGTCACAACAAATTATAAGTTATAAACATTACATATACCTGTTTGCATACATGCGTATACTTGTATATACATTACATTCATGAATGACACTAAGAGTAGATTTTACCATTCATATTAACGAAAGCCAAAAAATGCAATACTGTAGTTACCTTATATGGTTCTTCACACACATTGCGTGCTTATTTTTACACTGATGAAAGATTTATATCAGTTTTACTAGTATCTCTAGTAAAATTGAATTATGTTCATAATTATATTTCTGCCATCACAATCGATTACCAACATCAGTGGTAAATCTCTCGTCATTATTCTCCTTAACTGACTGTCATGTTGCCATAAAAGTCAGGAAAAATTCTAAGGAAGTAAGTAAATTTTCACTTTGAATACAGTACTCAATTAAAGAAATACAACATGCACCATAAAAAAATTATGTATACGGGTATTTAAGACAAGGTATAAATGGATCCAATATTATCCTTCCCAGCATTCTTGAATTTTGCAGAACCACATCCATAGAGGTTGCATGTCAAAGAAAAGCCATTGATTTTAATGTTTTGGATATATTAGTGTATTCTTCCTGAAAATTTGGTGTGCTGTCTGTCAAAGAAATAATGGGGTCTAACAGAGTAGTGTTTCAAATATAATTAAAACTGTTTATATTTAATAGGCAATAATTTAAGATTTTGTACAAAACAATGAATTTTTATATTTAAAATGTACAGGGTTTGTCCATTTAGTGTTTTCTTAAATGTTTAAACATCATTGTTTATATACATGTTGCAGTGGCTGTGATATATGTATTGTAAAGATATTTTTATTTATATAAATGTTATACATATTTTTAATAAATTACTAAATAATATTCCTTTGTATTATTTGAAACATTGCTGTATGTTAATTGTAATACATTACACTAAATGTACTGTATTTGGTAATGGTGAGTGAAGTCATGAAAAAGAAGCTCAACTTAAAATGTAGTGTTTTGTTAAAGCTGAAAGCATTCACCTATACCCTATAACATGTTTTTTTATGGTTTGGTCTTTTCCCATAATGCTGCCTTTTGTGTATCAGTATCTTATTGCATATACATACCACTTGCCTAAATGTTAGCTCTCATACAATTACAAATTATTGTAATCCTTCTCATTACCTCTTTTTGGGCAAAGTCCACATCCAGTTAAATGGACATTGAATTCCTTTCAAGAAAAGGCAAATCAAGTGGTGAAGAAAATACCTATCGTTCCAAACTTCAGGCACTGATATAGGCTGGCACTCTCACCTTAGTGGTAAATGTCTCTTTTTGAGTCTAATATCTTCAAGGTGGAGATCTAACTTCTTAGCTTACCCAGGGCTCTGGATTGCCAGCTTCAGCTAGCACTTTTGCACTGATCTCTCTCTTGAGACTGCCACATCTGGGAAATGTAACATACAAGGAGGCAGCAGCTTCAAACTAAACAAGCCACAATGTATGAGAAAATGGATGCCATTTCCAGCCATAGGGTTATAAACCCTATGGTGGAAAAGTTTTTTTTGGAAAACCCTTGGAAAAGGCTACCAACCAAAGCTGCATATGTAAGACATACTGCAGTTCAAAGTACAGTTGGAAAGAATTACCTGGAAAAATTAGGGAACTGTTGACAAGCGGCTGGCTTTCTGTTCTCATCGAGGCCATTAGATAGATGTGACTCTCAGGAAAATTCAGATAAATCAGAGGGTTGGGTACCTATTTATTGTAAATTATAACTTGGTTTGGCTCTTTTTTTTTTTTTTTTTTTTAAGGGGTCCCACTGAGTCTTTTGTCTTGGTTTTACTTCTTATATAGGCATTAAAACACTTTGGATACTTTTTAATGTTTTGAGCAAGTTTTCATTCACAGTTTCTTTTGGCTGATTGGATTTCCTAGGTACAGTAGCTGATTTTAATACCCTTCTGTTTATCTCATAATCTATTTGATTCCTGGTGGATTGATACCTCCTCTGAAAGTTTATCTTAGTTGTTACAGCTTTCTTTTACACTGCCTTTGCCATCCATCTAGTTCTCTTTTTTTTCCTGTTTCTTAGCACATATGTATGTTCGTAATTACCTAAATGTAGTTAAAGGACGAGAGCTACGCCCGTGGTTCAAGTACGTTTATTGAGCCAATAAAATACATCTCAACGGGATAGAGTAGCTTAGGTTATTTCTACCATTCACTCTCGTGGTGTCCCATCTTCCCAGCACTCTTTGTCATATAACGCTTTAACCAACATGTATGTTGGTTAATATATGAATATAACCCATGTATGTATGTATAACGATCATGTATAAGCAAGAGTTATACGTGATCGTTACTTAAGCATATTCATCTTTTAGATTATCTTCATGTAACACCATGAACGCAAAAGAAAACTAATAATAGATCGAAGCCTAGTGGGAGAATGGCAACTTGCCAAAGGTAGTCGTGAGCGCCGTGGCAACATCTTGGCACCATTTAGTAACGCCAAAAGTCTTGCCCTGCTCAGTTAAAATTGTTGAGTCTCATCACATACAGGGACTCCAAGTAGAGATTATGGTGGCATCGATGACCAGAACTGATATAGAACCCTAGTTTGTGTTAGCATTTACAAGATACAGATGAACTCCGCATACATACAGCGACGACCAGTATAGGATACATATCGTTGAACATCATGCCGCCTCGTAAACCAGTGCACACCCTTCAATCCTTCTCCAAGGATAAAGTACTGTACAGTGTGTGTGCCATCATCCTGGATGAGATTTACTTTGGTCAGGATGAAGACTGGGAAATATATGGTCCTCCTGCCCTATCAGTTCGACTACAATTAGTAAGGGATATCCTCAAAAATTCCCTCACACCAGGAATTCTTGAAGACCTGCTCAACACCATCCTTTCCCGTGACCAGGCTGTGGAAGCTACAGTTAGATACCTTGCACTCCAGCTGCTTCTTGTGGAAGGTGTGCGAAATTTAACCGTTGGAAATTTTCCAGAATCGTATTTTGCGTTGGTGCTGGAAGCAGTGGCTAAAAGTGGTGCGGGTATCCAGCACCTTGACCTCCGTGGGTTGTGGGTGCGAGACGAGCACAGACATACTCTTATTAACACACTTCGTAAGCTTTACTGTATCAGACGGCTAACATTACGCTACTCTTGTGACGATGACATGCTGGCTACGTTAGGGAAGTATAGCGATGGCCTGCAGAAGCTCGACGTGTCTGGATCGCGGGAAATCACAGAGTTTGGTCTGAAAAAATTGTGTGACAATCCATCGCGCGTCGCCTGTGGTCAACTGTCTGAAACTCTTAAGATCGTAGACCTTGGTGGACCTGGCGCTCAGGAGCTGTCTCCCCAACTTCCCAGTTATCTGTTGCTCAGCCTTCCACACTTGGAGAGTCTCGGTTCCTACGAGCGTACGGGGGCCGCAGTAGAACTTGCCCTCAAGACCTGTCCAGACAAGCAGTTTGGACTACGATATATGCACGACACGTTCACTTCCAGTAGTAGATACCACGCGGTTGCTAAATCCTGTACTAAAATACAAGCCATTTATCTTGATAGCCCAAAGGACACTGTTGTACATTATCTGGATATGCTTAAGAACCTAAAAGAGATCAAATTGCACAAAGTGAGGTGGAGTGATATAGAGATCCTGCTAAATAAAAACGGGTCACGGTTATGTAGTTTATTTTTGTTGGCGGTATTTGGTCAGGTTGATTTGTTGGACCTAGGTAAACTCTGCCCTAACTTGCATCGCCTTGAGTGTCATAATGTATCACTTGTGTGCTCTGAAGTGAATCACACAACTGCCTTCAGTCAAATTCGTGAACTACTTATATACACGAGTAATATAAGTACACTCTGCATCAAGCTCCTGCTAAACCAATGCGTGGCTGTTGAACATCTGTGTCTGGGTGAGTGTGGCCAGCTGTCTGACGCAGCCATTATCAGCAGCATGATGGACCATTCCCTGAAAAACGTTCGGGAAATCTGGTTTGGCAGAGCAGAGAACCTCACCATGCGTTCCATAGAGGCGCTCCTGGAACACTGCCCTCACCTTACCAGTCTGGGTAACCTGGCCGCCTGGAGGGTTCATCCCGATGATATTGACCTGCTACGTGTACAGTTCCTCCTCACTAACACTGACCTCAATTTGTACGAGTTCGGCCCACAGGAAGAGGACGAGTGGGTACCAGTGATGGATGTCTAATATTATCAGCCTCTTAGGTTAGATTCTTGATTCTTAGGCAAAGATAGCAGTGTGCTTGCTGTCCTAGGGCTGAATGACCCTATGTATATAATATAACATAAATTGCGGTGTAAAAGGGGTAGAGGGGTTCAGCATTTGAGGCCTTGCCCAGTCATGTGATTCTTAAAAGTGGGTACAGTCCTCTTACCTGTCTGTTAGCTGACAGGAACAGCAAGTACCACAGTCTGCTTTCCTTCATGCCCTCCCTCCCTTGTGAAGCATTGTCTCGTTGCTCTCCCACTCCTGTTCCCAGACCACAGGGGTGCACATAAAGGCTCTTGTTAGCTGGTTTTCCCCTACTTGCAAAACGAGCTCTAGTTTCAGTAATAGTATTTAACAAAGATGTATTCCTTCAGTCTTTTATTTGTCATACCTTTGCTCTTGTCTCTTCTACAACAGAACATAATATCTCTTCAGTTTATCCTTCCTTCTCGTCCACACATTTGTCAGCACATGTTAGCCTCACTAAGACTCTTAAGCTTAACCCTACCTTCCTCCATCTTTTACAGTGGTCACATACTTTTAACTACCTTATTAGTCCCTTTTAGTTAATTCCTGCTTTTCATTTGTATCAGTGATTCAATAATTATTACTTATGTTTATTTGCACTTTGATGATAGGAATACCCTAATGTGGCATTCATTTACTATTAAGTTCAATTTACTTGCATACTTTTTATTTACTTGAAGTCCCAGTTCACATATTTATTTTGCAGCATCACTAGTGTGAGGAACAAGCGGGCAGAATCCCAGAATGTTAGCTGTTGACCCTTTTCTATAATTTAAAACAAAATCAATATGTTCACATACGTTTATGTGTTTTATAAGAAAGACAATTTGTTCTAACGGAACCAGTTCCAACACTTAGTTTTAATATCAGTCTTTGGTGGGCATTGTTCAAAGACTAGTTTTGTAGTCTCAAAACAGCATTTATTCACATAAATTATGAATGAACCAGCAAAATACAGTGGCTAATTACTTGCATATAACTGCCATTCTTAAAAGTTTATATTAATAAATTGTATTATTATTAAAGGTTTGGGTATTTTTGTAGTACAGTACTTGCCATTTGCCAGTGATTACCTAGTATTAGTACTTCTGAGTACATGTAATACTACAATAAAGGGTATTTTCCCCCCCATTTGATTGTATTATCTCTCCTCAAGACATAATCGATGGTTTTATTTAAGTTTATGCCAATATTGATTTAAATGGTAAATCTACATATGCTTTTTGAGTAGATATTAGTGACACAACCAAAAAATAACTTAAATAAGTGGTACTGTACATCATTATACTGTACCTTATTGCCAAACATAAAATGACAGTGCATGAAGAGTTGTGTAACTGCTATCATTATAATTTAATATAAGGTATGCAGATAAATATTAAAAGCTCATGTCAAACATTGTCCACTGAGGCCTGATTAAGACCTTCTATGCCCTTTGCAAACCTTTTGAGCTATCACCCGTAGTAGTAGAATTGGGTGCACAATTAACTACGGCTCACGGGATAAATATAGGATGCACAATGTGCAGTGAACAATGAAACTGGATTAGTTTAAGAGATTTGATTGAGCAAAGATATAATAATATAAACTCAAATGTCTGTAGATCATTAGATTATTACAAGTGTATATACGAATGTACAGCTATAAGTTATATTGTATAGAAATGAAGTATATTTTGTACAATTTATCATAGAATTAGATTAGCACTATTGCAACAGTAGGTAATAATTTCTCATTGTTCTTTGTAGTGTCCAAATTGATGGACACTACTGTCCATCTGCACTACTGTTACTGCAGAACTTCTGCAGTTACTTCCATTCTTATGTTTTCATACCCAATTTATACCCGTTGTTTCGTGTTCTGTCTTATGTTTGTCACCTCGCCCAAAATTTTTGAGCCATATCACCTCACCCAAAATGAGTATAAATATGATGAATTTGTATGTGTAAGCTAAGTCTTTGAAAATGTAATAAGAATTATGAAATGCGTTCAGGCGTCAGACCATAAATAAAAATGAATTTTGGAGAATTGATATTTCAATTATCATCGATAGTGAAGAAAAAATAAGAAATATTGAGAAAATTTGTGATAGAATTATTAGTCTTACCTTTTCAGTCATATTCAACAACCAACATACATACATACATACATACATACATACATATATATATACATATATATATATATATATATATATATATATATATATATATATATATATATATATATATATATATATATATATATATATATATATATATAAAATGAGTGTTCATTTGAAATCCAAAATATATCATAATATATTTGATTTCTGAAATAAATTAGAGGGTCTGAAGTAAAATTTTACATAATAGCTATTTATATTTTTATAAGCCACTAACCACATGCATCATTTTGGGCACACTAGTTCTACAATTTTGTATGGTAGGTATTATAAACAGGGAGGAACCATCATAGCTAGTATATTAAGGTCACAAATACATGTGTAGGTCACACTGCTTCAGAGTTTTAGTTAGCTTGGAATGCATTTTTTCCCAACAAAATTTTACACTGCCCAAAAATCTGGTAAGATTATGCCAGGAATCTGTTCTAACATGTCTGTTTCTGTGAAAAATTGCAATTATTATATGTGAAACAAATATAAACAAGAAAAACCTTATGTATATAGTTCAAGTCCATAATATATTCCACTTTAGTACAAATATACATACACCAGTTTTTTCCATGAATATTTACCCATGTTAAACACACTACATCAAATCCTGCACTGTCATACTGTACATGTGCCAACATTAAAAATGAAATAAGCAAAAGGCCATTTGAATTGGAACCTGATTTCTTTCAACATTACAGCCCTGATAACTTTCAAAATAGGGTAAGATTTGATTTTACAATTGTCATTGTACCTTGGAGACTTCCATTAGGTCCTGATAGCATTTATTGACAATACAGTACACTGAATTTTACAAAAGCAGTTGACACTACACAGTCACTAAGGAAATCAATCCTTAATCCTACAAAGTAAAGCATCTTTTTATCACTGATCTGGTCACACTAAAGGCTAATACTACGGTACCTGAGTACCTACACTGACTAACAGCATTAAAAGTTTATATTAAGTACAAATACCAAGATTCATTGCCACACTACACCAGGTAGTGTTTGGTGGTCTGCCCAGCAGCCACAAAAGGCATTTATGAAACATTTGTATAAAATATTTAACATTGCAAATCTTTACAAATTTATCAATATAATTTTACTCTATCGGCCTATTGCTCAAAATATTCGTGCGATTTAACAGTGTGAAGATATTTTGATCAGCAATATTGATGTTGAAGGGAAGATGAGATCTTTTAGTTAAGCATGTAACTCAGTTAATCATTTTAAAAGTAACATGACACTCATGATTTTGTATAATATTTGAACTTTTGCAGGTGCACATGTGAGTTTAGGAGTACAATGCTTCATTACTTGATTACTAAACTTCTACAAGAGCACCTGTCACCAGTATGTCTAGCAATTTTCCAGTTCCAAAATGTACTAACATTGCCTTGGTCATCCTTCATGTAAATAATTATTGAATTTAGATTTGTTTGCTAGAGGCTTTTTTTTTCTGAATATAAAAATTGCATTTCAACCTTTTTTTTGTTTGTTTATAAATCTAAGCAATTCAAATTAAAAGTACCAAATCTTGAAGTATTTTAATATATTTAATTTTCTAGTAAAGTCACAACACTGCTTGCCAAATCTGCATTTTATGACCTTATTTCAGTTTTTAATAAGAATTTTAACTTATAGACTACTAAGCCTCCATATGCTGTATGTAAATTTTAATTTATTTTAGGAAATACTCATGTTACTAATTTATGTTATGCTTGTGAAGTTAATTTTTATCTATAAAGTTCATCTACCTCCCCTTCACTGACAGGTTAATGGAATAATATTGCATATCATATTAATGTTTAACAAAATATGGCAGTTCTAAGCATTTTTGCAATGTCTTTAAGTCACACATCATCATTCAAAAACCAACAGATCTTATTAAGTATGAGGCCATTTTCTATGATGACTAGGAAAGCCAAGATAGATATTCATCACAAAAAGCAGCTTAGAATCAATAAATTTTCAAAATAATCAAAAGGCCCCACATACGTACCAATGATTTCTGTGACGTAAAGCTTTCCATTTCTATTCAGGACAATACAGTACAGTACTTAAAAAAGATGTGGGAAAGTGAATAATCTATCTAAATTTTCTAGCAGCTAAAATGCAAAGCACACACCTTCATTTTCTTATGTTGAGGTTCTGACTATTCAACCATTCACAATAGAATAACAATGTGGCAAAACTTCCTCAGTACAATTATTAGCAACTGAATTAATTTGGTACTGTACTTTCATACAACTACTGATGTTAATTTTCACAAAACAGTATGTTACCCATAACAAAGTTCAGAATGTTTAGTCATTTTCTTTAAATTTTAAAATACAGGATACAATTCCAAACAATCTTTTGACATTCAAATACAGAATGATGCTAAACAAAATATTTGACCATGATGAAACAAAATAAATGATTGTTTGCAGATCAAACAAAATAAAAACATTGAAGGTGGTTTGATGTAAGAAAAAGTTATTTTTACTATAAAGATAATTTATTTATGCTCCCTCTGTTATTAGCTATAATAGAGTGCTAGTGTGGTTTGCCCACTAAACAAATTTGGTTCCTACAAGGTAACCGTTTTGGACACAAAGTTGGTTGGTATTCCATTTTCTTTCACAGGGAATTTTTTTTTTACATTATTTGGGTTATATATACATTGCTTTATGTTAATACACATCATAATTATGGCATCATTTGCCTTAAAATTATCATGGATGAATTAGCAGGCATTAAGCCCAGCAAACAAATGACAAACATTGGATCACACTTGCTAATATTTACTTGAATTACCTGAGGGCCACTAACGCTAGTTGCCTTGACGAGGTCAGGAAGCCAGTGGCTTGTCAAAGGTACCCCATTTGCCTTCCCATATTAGATATTGATCCCATATTAGATCAAAATTACTCTATCATTTGAGTGTGTACATTTTATTGAGACACTGTGTTAAAGCACTTTCAGAATTCAAATTTCATGTAATAATAAACCCCTGTGAATTGGTCTGTCACCCCTTAAAATTAGTACCTATAATTTTAATTAAACCCTTAAGATAAATGATATTCAATGAAAAAATATATTCAGTAAACACGATCTACATTATAAATTAGTAAAAAAATACAAAATATTACTTAATGTTCATATATAGTAATTTAATAAAAAATAAGTATTATGCTCTTAGTATTCATGAGTGTGATATCAAAGTGGAAAGTTTATATTTTGCTGCCAGAAGGTGTAAAAACGACACCTGCAATTTGGAATTACTATTTCAGATGTAGAGGAGGGAGACTTTAACAATACTGTGAAAAATATACATACAGCTGGTTTTCTTACTTCAGAATATACTACAGAAGAAAATAATTCACAAACATCTTGGCTCCCCATTTGACACAAAATAGCCAATGATCTTACTCATTCACAGAAACTGCACTTATGAATACTAAGTAAACCAGTACAGTACATATAACCCCCAACAAAGCTTACTGTCAAGTTCAGTTCATTATCTGTGCAGTCAGCACTTGCTTACTACAGGCTTCTAGTTACCTGGAGGCACCAAGGAGGGCCAATGAACATAATGACGGAGTACCATATCACCCAAACATGTCAATGAAAAAGTTCAAGGGATAAGGCGTTTCAGGATAGAGTTTACACAAATGTAACAAGTGGAAGTCTCCATGAAGGTAATGTATGTACCATAAGAGGGAACACATTGTGGTTATCCAGAAAGAGAAGCCATTATATAAAAGACTATAAAGGAGAGCAAGGAGGGGGCAGGTTTTTCAATGCAGGCAGTGGTCAAGAAGTAATAAATTGTCAGAGTTCCCTGAGGGTTAAAAAAAGTGTATGAAGAATATATTAAACTAAAAAAGCAGCAGCTGATACATATTTTGTACAAGAATGTTTTGAGTAGGAAAATGAGGTATAGTAAAAATTAATTATTTCCTATAGATAGTAAATCATTAAAAGGTAAGGGAAGTCAGCCAAATTTTCAGAGAATTCCTTTTCAATCATCCTACTTAAAGCATATAGAAAGATGAAAAGGCTGTACAGCAATGTCTGGAAAACATTTCAGGTCTTGCCCTCCATTCAACAATGTTCATGAACCATTCTTAACAAAAATGATGAACCTGCACTTACTTACATTTTGGACTTGATGTTAGAGTACAGGTATTCTGTTAAAACTATTAACCCCAAGGTGAACATACTCTTAGAATTAATAAATTTATTAACAATACTCAATTTGTGATATTGAACTATAGTCATCATATGATCAACTAAACTGGTGAATAAAATAAATATTATATTATATTATATTATATTATATATATATATATATATATATATATATATATATATATATATATATAATATATTTATATTTATTCACCAGTATATATCAATTTACAGTTCTAACAAATTATTTTAACCAGAACGATAAATGCATTTAATCTTCCTTTATTTCTTGGTCAAAAAATTAATATGAATAACTCTTATTAATTTTATAAATACACAGCTCCAAAGTTTTGATAATGTTTATTTTTCCAGGACATAACTATGTAACAGAATAATTATATTTTAAAAGCCTAGCTGTTCATGCTTGCTACTTTTCAAGAAACATGAAGAGCATGCTGATGTGTGTACACTTCATGAGTAGAACTACACAGGTGTGTACTTCACATGAAGTACATATCTGTGTAGCCACTGTAGAGAACACATGCACCATTCTTAACCACCAGGCGCTAGCACCCAAGATAAGGGATGTACAACACACATCTTGTAGTCATCTATGCTTAGCCTTGTATCTCCTTATCCACCCAATTCTTTAGAATGCTGCTTTTACGACTTTGGTAACATTGAATTTAGATAGCATGGCAACACAGCAGACACCTGTTGTAACTCTTATGGATATGCAATGACAATCATGTTTTATTGAAAGCAACATAACTTTATTGAAAGTCTTCCTTTCTTCAGTTATGCTTTAATAATTAAATCTAATCATCTTTAAATGAAACTTTCATTTACTTACTAACTCAGTTTCACGTGCCATTAATGCATATTTTAAATTCTTGAAGAATTCTGTGGGCTTGTATAAGAAAAGCAACTGTCATTTACAGGCAGGCCATAAAATATATGTTAACCTCCACTTATATAAAACAAAAACGCTATCACAGGCATTGATCTACGAAAGTCTTGAAAAAGTTCACAGTATAACCTGATATTCTATATAAAAATATGAATCACAGTGAATAAATAGCTTTTAACAGTTATTTATGCAGCATCAGCACTTATTCTCATTGCTAGTGTTGCAGTGTTAAAATATGTACACACAATGCAGCACTCTAGACAGTATGAAAACAAATGGCACTTGACCTTAATACAAAGTACTAAGGTCACTTAGTATGTATCAGAATGTAGTGATATCCAGTACATTCCGAGAAGTATACTATTATACCAAGAAATCACAATGCATTGTTACAATGCTTGCTTACATACTGACAGGAAGTCTAACTACTATATTTCACCATTACAAATGTACAGATCTTGTATAAACTTCCGAAAGACTTTAAAAAGGCACAAAAAAAAAAAAAAAGAGCAGGCACTTCCAACATCAAAATCGTTTATTGTTTTAGAACATTTCAAATATCCTACAGGGATGGTAAAAAAAAAAAAAAAATATTTACGGTAATTATCTTTAGTAACAGCAGAAGAACAATTTGTTATAGAGTACAATGTAACATTATTTTCATACTAATCAAATACAGCATCACTTGGTTATTACTGTTTAAACACTGACAAATTTAAGCCTTAGTTTTTCCAAAGGATATAATAATTCCTGTCATTAAAATACAAGATACAGTACATTACTTCATTATGATAATTATTTTCTATGGAAAATCACATTATCTGGCAGTACAGTACAGTACTAAGTAGATAGCTACATTACAGTGTAGTGTAATCTCAACCTTTACATCATTTTCTTGCTGAATGAGAAGGCATCTTGCTAGACCAAGAAACAGTAGCGAGGTTCAGGACGGCTCCTGGTGTGCTTTAGGAAGTCTTTATTACTCTCCTTAGCACCTTTAATAATTGTTTATAAATAGCAAACGGCTTGATATGTATTTTTTCACTATAGCAAAATATATATATACATATACGTGACTGTTAGTAACAGGTCACACATCTGGTTCATTCCAGACACCTGTTAACCATCAGAAAACAATACAGGTGATCCAGATTTTCATGAAAAAACTTACATAATATTACAAATATAAATGTTTTTACAGTACGGTATCACTTTGTGAAAACATAATGTGAGGTTTCCTCAAACATTTTATTCCCAAAATATGGAGGTCCACAAATTGATTGATATCATAATGCAGTACAGTACTTCATATTTGAGATCTGGATACTAATTCAATAAGCATGAAAGTATTTTGTAATTTCAAAATTTAAAGCAGGATACAAAGTTCCATAAAATTTAATTAATGCACAGATGTACTACAAAATGAAGTAATGATGCATCACTTCTTCAACCACATGAAAAAGGGCACAATACAAACCACTTATAGGCTGCAAGTCCCATAGTTTCGATAAAGCACATTTTCACCATATGCTAGTATCACTAAACAAGCAACTGCAAAGTTGCCACTGCAAATGTTTCTAGCAGTATTGGCTAGACAATGGACGGATGAGGTTTTGATCAGGCACTTTGTAAAGACAAAACATATATACAGACAAAAATTTAAAAGAATAAGGAATATACATATGAAATATTTATAAACAAGTGATTGGCATTAAAATGCAAGCACTATATATACAAGACAAAACAATTATCAAGTCTTTAATAATCACTTAAAATTAACTTATAAGCTAATGGAAAAATAATTCCAATACTGTACTTTTGGTATTTAAAAAAATATGTAAAAAATCTGTCATTAATGACTAGAGTGAACAATAATAAAAATCATTTCCTTAATTACTAAAACCAGACAATAAATAAGAACAATGAGGGAGCTGCCTGTCCTCAACCACAATTTGTAGTGATAAAAGCAGCTGCTCAACTTTTCCATCTCCAAAAACCAAGATTTCTCCTCACCAGCTCGGTTGCAACTTCCAGCCGAAGGCTAACACTTCCCTGGATACACTGCTCATGCCTTCAACAATGACTGGCAGTTAAAAGTTGCTCAACTTGGGCCCTGAAAGCCACTTGGAATGTCAGGTTCTCTTCACCTGTGCAGCTTCACCAAAACAGTATCAATTTATCTCCTCATCTGAAAGATACAAGTAGTTTTACATTTGTGTTCAATGCTCTCACAAACTACTCATTAACTTTGCTCTTTATTGTACAGGAATAGATATGGATGATAGAGAATTGTTGGCAAACGTTTTGGCATTTGCTTAAATGCTAACAGATACTAATAGCCAATTACTAATAGACTGCTACTAGCCAGACAAAAAAAATAAAACATTCATTAGTCCCACACAAGACTGTCCTAGGTCTAGAAAGAAGACCAAAAACATGAGGATTGACAGACAATACTAGAATGGATGAAAAATTTCCTAACGGACAAAAAGATGAGTGCTATGATAAATGAAAATGAATCTGACAGGAGGAAGTTCACTAGCAGAGTCCCATATCTGTACCACATTGCATCAGCACTGAACTTATTTTTTGGCTGTTAGTTTTTTTTTTAAATTGGTATTTTGGCAAGAAAAGTTACTTTTTTCACCCAAACCCACTTATTCATTCACAGTTGTTCCACTGGCATTACAAATATTAAGTTGAGCACTGTACCTCAAAAAATAAGCAATAACTGATTAGATAGAAATTAACTAGTTTCTAAACTTTCACAATTTACCTGCAACAATATGTTGTTGGCTTCTCAGGGGGATCCTCAGGAGCTAGAGTACGGATTACAGGTATCATGTTTTGTGAATTTGATCTCACCTCCAAAATACGCCCAACAAGCCACTTCATTGCATCTCCTAAACGATAGAAAATACAAAGACAATTCAAAAGCATTAAAAGTAATCAATCCAGACATGTTTTAATCGTAATTAATCATGACATATCCCAAGGCCATATCTCAGGATAAACAAACAAGGGGCATAATAAGTACAGGGGTATGACTATAACTAATTATATATACCCATTGTAAAACATGGTACTATTATTATCCACAATTTTCTTCTACATGATATGATTTTTCCCATAGCAATAACTTCACTGAATGCTAACCTATATTAATATCTTCTTTGGCTGATGTAAGGAACCATGCATCAATATGATGTTGCTTGCAGAAGTTGGAGATGACTTCTGGTTGTATGCTGATGGAATCTATGTCGCATTTATTTGCCAGCAACAACACAGGTAGAGGGCGGCCATCTCCCAAAGTCACTTTATCACGAATGTCACTAACCCACTGTAATTGAATATTATTTTCAGAATGAACATAGTTTATAAACACAGTTTATGATTAATCCTATATCACATTACCATTTCTTTAGTATATTTCATTTAATTCAACATGCTGTTATAATACCTAACTAACAAGATCTAAGAAGATCCTTTAGTAGACCTCTTGGCCTTAATCACGCATGCAAATGTTACAATGCAGAAATAAAAGGAGTACATCTCTCTTACTGATGTCCAACCACTTTGACTGAAAGGTACAGTGACGGCCTCGCTTGCAGGTCAGCACTGAAGTCCCCCAACTGTCTAAGTGGTTGGGCACCATTCTTTTCCTCTGTTCTATGCCAAATCCTTATCCTCATATCCCTTCCAAGTGCGACATAGTCATAATTTCTTAAAGCTTCTGATAATTATCTTGCATTTCTCTTACTGACATTTCTATTCGCTGGCTACACTTGCTGCACCATCATAATATGATATGCAACATGTTATCCACATACACAATGTCATCTAAAATCTTTACTTTTCTTATTTTATAGTTTTTAGTCTGTCTTGTTTATTTTCTCTAACTTTACCACTTTAAATGCTTTCCAAGGCAGTCAGCCGTCTTATTTCTTAGGGCATGCACAGTGCCAAATTAACATGTGGAAGTCTTCAGCAAATAGTTTAAGAATTCCATTGTTTATTATTTGCCCTAGAATCTTATATTTAAACTGTCTTCAAGTACTCTTTCAAAAGGCATATGGATGAAAATATCCAATGACCATTTTAAGTAAACCAATCTTCTGGCTGGTGATTTGGGATGTTTTTATACGCAAGATTTTCTCCTCATTGCATAAAATGGATCTAGCAAATTAAGGTTGAATGGAATTTTATCTACGCATAGATAGATTTAACTTTTACTCACAAAGGCAGTATTAAGAAAGATTCTACATATGACCACACACCTTAAGAAAGAATTCTACAGGAAAAAGAATCTGATAATGATCAATTTGCCAGAAGCTGTATGTGTATATAAAATGTACATATAATTCATTTTAAATTTAATTATTTTAATTTAATGAAGAGGAATGCCAACAAGTGATGGTTTAATATCAGCTAGTATAATGATATCGCATCGAGTACTGCACTGAACTACACATTTCAAATGAACGAGCAACTTCTTGATCGTATGTGACAATAGAAAGTGACACCACACTATGAATCAAGCATCTAGGAATGTCAGAAATTGGATAACAAATAGTATCTTTAGCTTAACCCAGGTTAACTTAAAATATTGTTAACTTGTTTAACCCATCTAAGTGTCACACCAAGTGAGAACGAGCTGCATCTTTATAATTAAAGTTGTACATTCCTCTTATACCCACAGAATACTACTGAAGTTACTAGTAACATTCCTGCAGTGGTAATTTGATCCAAGACAAACAAACATTGTCATTTCTTCATATTCTGATGTGTGGTTTGGTCATCATATGCTGTACATGTATTCTTATTACCACAAAAACAACATTCTCACAAGACACATTAAGCTAACTAAGATGAGAGCAAAATGAAAATAAAATATAGATAGTGTTTTGTTTTAAATAGTCAAAGATATAAACCAAAAGGAATGAAAAATTGGATTTTTGAGAAATAACCTTGAGAACTGCCTCAAATGTTGGGGGTCTCGAGAGATCAAATACAACAATTGCTGCCACCCTGTGAAATACAAAATAATGCTATTAAAATGTTAAATGACTGAGTATTAAACAGGTGAAACATCAGTGTCATGTATGTTACAGATTTTCCAATAAATATCTTTCATTAAAATTTTACCCTACAATTTCATTATATTTCATATGAACTGCATTTTTGCAAATCAAATTATTATTTGGTCATGAAAAACTCCATATTCAAAAATGTTTCACAAATAGAAAGCATAAATGTAACACGAAAAAAGATAAATGGAACATCATTAAAGCAAGGAAGAATTTTCTCACTTCCACAAATAATAAAATATATATCTGTACTGTAATTGGCAAATTTTAAATGCTGATGACTTAGTATAAAAAATAAGTAGCTGATCTTGCTAGTGTATAGAAATTTGTAGTTTAGGCAAATTAATACCATCCTGTTACATAGCAGTATTATGAAGAATAAGATAAAAGTGCTTAATAATATGACGAACTCACGATATACTGTACTTACGCATACTTGTAGTAGACACGGGTCATGTGGCCAAATCTCTCGTGGCCAGCAATGTCCCTAGAAAGTAAAACATACAATAATGGAGAAAAGTAACTTTGTACAATAGTAAGGGGCATGTTACTGCTCCTTACTTAGGGTTATTAGTTTATTTTACATATAGTTTATTTTTTATTTTTTTTCAGAATTTGTTAAACACACAATTACAGTATACAGTATAATTAAATGAATAGAATTAATATTGCTACTCTTAAATTTTCCTCTACAAAAAGTTTTCAATCAAAATTCATCCCCATGCTTCAAGACAAATACTGTATAAAATAAACACAAACCAAAGCTGGACAGTGACTTTGGTCTTGGTATCCCAGTCCAAAGTCTTGACAGCAAAATCCACCCCAATTGTTAGCTTGTAATATGGACTGAAGTGGCCTTCTGTGTAACGTCGAATCACAGCCGTTTTCCCTGTATAATACAGTACCATACAAGTATACATATAAAGTACTGAATATATATAATGCAAGTCATATTAAAATAAAATTAAAACACTGAATAGTCAGAGTCATATTCTGACAAATTAAATTGCAGGCAATGAGTCACAATAATGTTGCTAAAGTACTGTATGTTGTCCACACCACATACTAGAAGATGAAGGGACGACGATGTTTTGGTCCGTCCTGGACCATTCTCAAGTCAATTGTCTCACAATCGACTTGAGAATGGTCTAGGATGGACCGAAACGTCGTCGTCCCTTCATCTTCTAGTGTGGTCTTGTCAACAAATTTAATTTTTAACCCCTGCACTGGGGTTAATTAGTCAATTGTCTCACAATCGACTTGAGAATGGTCTAGGATGGACCGAAACGTCGTCGTCCCTTCATCTTCTAGTGTGGTCTTGTCAACAAATTTAATTTTTAACCCCTGCACTGCGTACCTGTTTTTTGCAAAAATTTCATGCGGCAGTTAAGGACATTTTTGTTGTTGTTTTATAAATGTTCAACAAATGTTAATGTCAAAATGATTCCAAACTCAATCACTTTCACTTCAAATCACAAAGAGCAATGAAAACATTAAAAAACCTTAAAATATGGCATAATTAAAAAAAACAATCACACAGCCCTCAGAGTGCTTTAAGGTGCTTTGCACAGAGCAGTGGTTAAAGAATAAACCATTAGTATTATCTACAGACCTTCGTATTTCCTTACATTTTTGTGGTATTTTTCGAACACTCCAGATTATCAGCAACAAAATTACTGCAACAGTGATGATGAACAGTTTATCTTTACATTCTGGGAGTGGGAAGACATGGCAAAGGAAAGCCATTGGCCAATGTGATAGATGCTCACTGGTTTAAAACCAAGCTGAAGCTAACTAATTAATGGGACTAACACACTACTAGATATTAATTAACACTGAGCATTTACTGTAAGTGATGTGGAGTGCCTAGCAGCTATCAAGATAGGTTAATAAATCCAAGTTGTATTTTTTACTGGCATTTTCTCAAGCTATTTAACTCATATTGCCATCCATTACCTAAACCAAAAACTGTAGTCTATTACCAATCAGTTTACATCTATTGACTACTGTACCACAGTGACAGAGTTGTGCACATCTGCAGGCCAGAGTACATACTGTGTATGTCTGCTGGCTAGAGCAGACAGTCTCCTGCATGATGCTGTGTCCAAAGTGTGCAGGGCTTGTGGACCTGTATACACAATCCTTAGGAAGGTAAAGGTTCCCTACATTCACAAAAAATGACATAAGTATGGGTTAAATGTCTGCCAACGCATAACTATTTGCTAATGTTTTACAAGTTGAATAGACAAGTGCTTCAACTTCATAAATTCTGCAAACTGACTATATGTCATGTAATTGCTGAAATTTTTTGTGCATACAGGTGACAATTTGTGTAATAATGTATTTTTTCTATGCTGTGGTGTTTCTCATGGTGTTTCTGTAGAAGTAATATATTCTTTTAAATGCACTGTTGGTAGTAAAGAATTTCCTACGTGAAATTTCAGATTAAAAACTAAATACAGTACTGTATACACAAAATATTATATTATATTATTAATATATATATGTACTTTATATATATATATATTATACACACACAAATATATATATATTATATACATATTATATATATATATATATATATATATATATATATATATATATATATATATATTTATTATATAAATTATAATGTTGAACTAAAATTAAGACATTGTACTGTAAATTTGTTCAGCAAGTCAAATTACTTTTCTGCTGCAATGACTGAACCTGTGTTTATATTTTTGGGGTTGTAAAACTGTGTCACAGCAGTTAATGCCTTTTGTGTCACTGGGCACGGAATCACGAAATATACATCACTGGGTATGAAGGACGAAAAACTAATACAAAACAATTATCTCTGGATGTATACGAAAAATAACAAAAAGCTATCAACACCTCCATACACTTCACTATATGTACATCTTTATGACACCTGTTATCCTATTTCCATCACCTGACAGCTCTAGATCTCTTTAGTTTTATTGTGCATAATATTTGGATTAATACAATCACTTTCTGAGCAGCAATTCACAAGGCAGATGTATGAAACTTTTCAAGTCTGGCTTACGAAAACACCTTTTTATCGTCCAGGTTAATAGGTTAATTGTGAAGATGATAAACCTGGCCCACTCACCGACGCCAAACTCCCCAATAACGAGCACTTTAAACTGGAGCTCCCTGGGCACTGTGCTGTGTTCCACGGGGGCCACGGCAGTCATCTTGTCTGCTTGTTACTACGCCTGGAACCCGCAACACCCGCGCATCACTATACACCTTCCTGGAAATCCAGTCATGTGACGAATATTTACCTGTGTCGCGAACCTTCCACATAACTTTTCCCCCCTCCTCCATCATCAACTTCCACCATTGATTCGCTAATAGAAAAGTACTTTTGTAATACTCCGATGAATTTTCCTGTGAGAACTATATTAAATGTAATGTCTAGTACCATTTAAATGGAGAGGGTTATTAGTATGAAGTCAAGGGCTGAGGCAGCAGTCGGGACAATCTTTGTTTACGGTGGAGTCACCTGGGCGCATGCGCGGCGAGGCGCGCCAGGTGTTGCTGGCCAAATTTCGAAAGGGCGGTGAAGGTCCACTTGGACCCCAGACGGGCTCACTCTATATAGCTCCCGCTCCAAAGATTTCCTCGTCGGATAGGCCAGCTTTCATGTAGGACATTTTGCTTTCGTGATTGTTATTCATATATATTTATAAAATGATCATGGGCAGTGGTCAGCGCAGTCTCCTCACGAGCGAAAGATCCCGGGTTCGGTTCCAGAGTAGGGCTAGACAGTAATAATGACACTTTATGATAATAATAATAATAACGTTTGGTGTCAGGGGAGTTAAACAGCTGTTGTGGATGCATCGTGGGGAAGGTCAGTCGTTGGTCTAAGGGGATCCTGATATGCTTTATGGAATTACTGTCCTTGATAATGTTAAGCTGTGTGCAGTATATACAGTTTGTGTATATTTATCATAAAGAATATGTTATCCTTAATGTAACTACATTATTTTATGCTTTATGTAATGTGTTGGTCTGCAATGCTTTGTCATTTTCGTTTTTTTCTGCGATCTTCACTACCTTTCCGATCTTTAAAGGCAATTATTATTATGAAACTTATTTCATCCCTTACAAACAAATCACTATAAGTTGTATTTTCAACTCTTTATTATTTGCTGTCTAACTTGCTTTATTGTCAAAGGAATGAGGAGTAGGGTTGGGTGTCACATAGGCAGTAAAAAGGCTGATCTAGTTCTTTTAGCACTGGTCAGAGATAACAAATGTATAGAAAGGCCTGAAAGATAGGGCTGAATATAACCTCTTTCAATGTTGTCAAATGGGGAACCTGATTCCAGTCTCTGATACCTCTGGATCTTAGTCTTCAGACACCCACAGAGTCAAACGTCCAGTGCAACTAGCTATGTTAGTCTAAATGTGTTGCCTAATAGGATAGAAATGCAAGCATGTATAATATAGACCTTAATATTTATATTAATTCTGGCATAATTCTTAAACGAATGGTTATGCCCCTGTCTGGATACTGGGGCCAGGGTATTTGGACACTTCATCTATAGCAAAATTTCATATTCTCCCATTTTTTGATTAATATCTTTGTAGATGTTTAGCATCCATTTCATTGTCATTTTTTATTGTAAATTGTTTCTTCCTTTAATTCATACCATAAGTTTTGCAATAAAGATAAAATTATTTTTTAAGTTCATCATGAATGTCAAATACTGTAAGTCTTTTAAGTATATGATTACTGGCGATTTTGCCCTAACTACATATATTGTACGTATATTATAATTTCAGTGCAGTATACTCATTATTTTTCTTTATTATATTTTATATGTTCAAATATTTTCTTGGTTTCTAATATTTCTTCTATAAATCATTATATTGTGAAAGTAATACAAGATATGCTGTAAACTAAATATTTGTTTGAAAATATAAATACTGTACTGTATGTAAGAAATTTACTTTCTTTGAATATGAAAATTAGTCTATATAAAACTTGGAGCACTGAAGTTTAAAATATTAACAAACACAGTCTGTTACAGATGCTGTCATAACTTGCAGAATGGCACCAGAGTGGTCAATTGGAGAAAGTAAAATTTACCAGCAAAAGCTGTTGATTCCTGGAACAAATAAGAGGAAACTATTTGGTAAGTTAAGGGCATCATGTCATCATAATTGGAGTTTTTCCATCCATATTTTGGTTAACATATAAGAAGCCTAGCTTTTCAGCAACATTAGCTTTATTTTAATGAAATCAGACATTAAAGAAAACAATCAAATTTTTATATTTACTCCCTCTGTACAAATATTTTTCAATACATGATAGTTGCTACCCATTTAAATTTATATTTTTTCCTATGTAAATTTTAAATACAGTATTCTCCTTTTTATTCACAGGAATTTTGGAAAAACCAAACCTACCACCATCTGCTCCAAGTGTGACATACAAGATTTTTATGTTCGGGAAGGCATCCTCTGGTAAAACATGGACCATGAATCGACTGTCTGGACAAGAAGTAAGCTTTGTTCCTAATTTAGTCTATAAATTTATTTTATTTCCATGCAAAAATATATGATTTAAACTTGTGAACAGTTCCTATCTGCATTCAACAGCAAGAATTCTGGAGACAGCAGGGGATGGCTTAGTGTCAAAATCCTAGGGCTTATTTATGGGAGTATTACAAGCAGTGAGGACAAGTAAAAAGTCTCATGTTTTAATCTTAGGGCAAATTTAAATATGCAAATCTTAAGATTTAATTGAGTTACAATAAGATGATTTGCAATATCTAACTACTGTATATAGTTTTTCTCTTCTCTTATGGAATCTTAGTCATGCATTTGACATCTGTATTGCATATACCTGTATAAAATATTATAATACTAATTTATCTTCTTTGTATCATACTATTCTTTTCAGCTACCATCCCAGCATATAGAAACAGTGGGAATTCAATGTAGTAATGTATACTGGCCAATGAAAATTGGTAATCGCCTCATATTATTCCGTTTGGAAATATGGGATGCTGGAGATTCTAGTGTAAAACGTTACAATCATGTATTGCCGGTATGTTTATTAAATTTTCTGTGTATACAGCAGGCATGTCAAACTTGCGGCCTTTTACAAGCACACTTGCGGCCCGAATAAAGGATACTATAATTTGGTATATAATACCATATAATAGAACAAATATTCTGCAATAATTGTTATTAAATGACTGATTAGTTGTCATGTGTGGCCCTCATGATTTCATAAATGTGACCCATATGGCTCTCGAGGGACCCTCAGTTTGACATGCCTGATGTACAGTACTGAGTATGTGTGGTTCAGGTAGTTCTATCATTTGCTTGTGTTCTGGACTAATTTATATATATACTGTACTGCAGTTAAATTATATAGAATAGCATTTCAATTTTATACAACCCAATTTTCTCAATATTTTGACACTTTACATGTACTAATTTAAAGGCTTGTCGTGAAGGAGTTGATGCTGTGTTGCTGTGTTTCTCAGTAACAGACAGAGAGAGTTGGACAGAGTTGCCACGCTTACTGTCATCTGCTACCCAGCCATCAGATCGTGCTGCTAAAATCTCTGTAGCAACAAGGTTAGAATTAATTTATAGTTTTCTTTCCTTTTATAAAAGCATTTTTATCACCCAACCCACAAAGAGAGTGGTAAAGAAAATCAGTATATTGTATAAGGTATACTCAACCCATACTTTAACCATCTCTTTTTTTTGTTTTTCACCTCATATTCTTACCTTGAACTGTCTAAGCTCACTTGTCCAGACTATATGGGAAGGATCCCTCTCTGGATAAGCCAGACATCCAGATAACCAGAATTCTTAATGGGAAAGTCCAAAAATTACCATATTAACATTTTTGGGTACCATAACCAACATAATTCAAATTTTCACACTTCGTCATTTTGTTTGATACTGTAAATCTTGAAATGTGTAGTTCTTGAAAATTTGCATAAACTAATCCACAGTTATCCAGTTTATTTGCATAAACTTTATTAACACTGGCCTTTTATTTTTTAATATTATATTTAATGTTATTAGGTATGATCAGTTCTCTCATCGAGAAGTAACTGAGGCAGAGATGGATTCCTTTGAAGCAGCTCATGGAGTACCAATCTTGAAACTTGGAAGCACTGGAGATGACCAGTCAGATGAATTAACTCACATAGCACCCATCCTCAATTTTCTGTGCAAACGACTTTGGCAACGTGACCAAGAGCTTCTCTCCATTAAGCAATGAAATCTTAAGCAATTATACTTCATTCCATCCATATTAATTATAATTTTTTTTAATATGAAATGCTATAAAATAAATACACCCATAACATTAGTGCTTATAGGTATTATTAAATATACTTAATTCATTATTTTTGAGTACTAATTAACCTGTTATATTGAAATAAGCATCCTAGTGGCTATACATGAAAGAATTGATTATTTTCCTATCATTTAAATACAACATTAGAAACTTGAATCAGTGAATGGAATACGGCTGTCCATTTCCTTGCTCTGCAACAGCATCAGATGTGACTGATCTAGCCAGCCAGTCAGTATTACAGCCTATGCTTACTGTATACTACTGCATATCATAATTGTTCAAATATAGGTACATGTGACCTAATGTCAGTTTTTTTAGGAAAACGACAGTACAGTAGTCACATATGGCGAATTCCGCTTAATGTTCGGCCAAATCTGGAAATTTGGGCGAGGCGAGCCCCAAATTTAGCATCTGGATTCCAAACCTAGGACAGATAGATGAAGAGACATATTCTTGACTCATAATTGTGAATCCCGGTTTGAATCCTGGGCGAGACAGAAATGGTTGGATGCATTTCCTACCACCTAATGCTCTGTTCACCTATCAATAAGTAGGTACCCATGAGTTAGTCAGCTTGTTGAGGGTTGCATCTTTGGGGTCAGTAATTCGACCTTGAGGGGGGGGGGACATCGACATAAGTTTAAATTAAAAAAAGTGTTTATTCATAAATGTTTATTCATTCGTTCATAAATACACTCTGGGTGCCTTTCCCCTGACACAATGAATTATTAATTATTAATATGCACCCCTCCACACCCATCCCGTGGGGCTGATGGATAAGGTTACAAAATAGACATAATGGGCTTAGGAACTGAACCACAAATTTATTTTACAATCTGATAAGCTAGTAACAGAGTTTATATTATGCTGCAGAAGTGCAGCATAATCAATTAATGACCTAATTATGGAAAGTTATATTGCCTTTGCAATTGTCACACTTGTACTGTAGCTGGGTTGATAGCCTGCTACAACCTTGAGAGCCTAGAGCCCCTCTCAACACTGGCTGTACAGTGGAACCTGTACAGCTAGTGTACCGTGGGACCTTTAAAACCAAGATATTTAAATCTGGTTATATAGTCAAGCTAAATAACAAACTCGATCTGTAACTATAGTCCCTGATTTTTTTTAATTTTCTTAGTTGATAGTTGATCATCAAGGCAAATGCGGGGGACCATCGACAAGCCGCCAGCTTCCTGTCCTCGTCGAGGCCAGTAAGGTTAGTGGCTCTCGGGTAAACTCTGGTAAACTTATGCAAACTTTGTTTCAGCTCCTGAGCCGATTGTGTGTGTAATTCCTCTGTAACATTTCCACCATCACATCACAGGTTAGGTACATAGGGGTGTATAATTAAATGGAATATATTCAACTGCCTTATAAGTGCGAGTGCAACGTAGGGTTGGTCACCCTGAGAGCCGCAGCTGTTGGTACGCTGGCAACAATAGTACCAATTATTCTTATGCAATATGAATTTTGACTGACTTTCTGAGTAACTTTCACGCCAGTCAAAAGCATACTCGTTGTTATTGTGACAGTGAGTACGTCAGAGCGATATTTCATTTAGCGGACATAGTCCATACATGTATTAGGAGAAGTGGAATGCAGGTAGGCACGAGTGGTGGACCCTGGGGCACGCCTGCACCACAGTACTGACTGGTGCACGTGGAAACGTTAGTCTGGCAGCCCGACCCCGAGCCTCTAGTTCAAATTATAAAGGCTCTTGGAAGTCGTTATCTAGAATCGACTCCATTCCTGTGCACTTTGCGATGTCAGAATCATTTATAAAGGTAAGTAATATATTAAGTGATTCTAGTTCTGTTTTTTTCTGCAACACATTAATTTTGTTAATTTTAGTTGTGTAACCGATCGAAGCGCATATATTGTTTATCTAATCAGGTGATCAACTCGTGATATAAAATTTATTCTTCACTCATAACTTAAATAATTCGCAAGAAGTTAGTAGTTATTTTAGCATTTTTGAGGTTCAGTTATATATATATTTATTTTAATTAAATTTTGTGATTGCAAATGTACCTATCAATATCTGAGGCTTTATTGTATATGGGAAATTTAAACTTTCACTATATATATATATATATATATATATATATATATATATATATATATATATATATATATATATATATATATATATATGTCGTACCTAATAGCCAGAACGCACTTATCCGCCTACTATGCAAGGCCCGATTTGCCTAATAAGCCAAGTTTTCCTGAATTAATATATTTTCTCTAATTTTTTTCTTATGAAATGATAAATCTAACCATTTCATTATGTATGAGGTCAATTTCTTTTTATTGGAGTTTAAATTAACGTAGATATATGACCAAACCTAACCAACCCTACCTAACCTAACCTAACCTATCTGTATAGGTTAGGTAGCCGAAAACGTTAGGTTAGGTTAGGTTAGGTAGGTTAGGTAGTCGAAAAAACATTAATTCATGAAAACTAGGCTTATTAGGCAAATCGGGCCTTGCATAGTAGGCTGAGAAGTGAGTTCTGGCTACTAGGTACGACATATATATATATATATATATATATATATATATATATATACATATATATATATATATATATATATATATATATATATATATATATATATATATGTCGTACCTAGTAGCCAGAACTCACTTCTCAGCCTACTATGCAAGGCCCGATTTGCCTAATAAGCCTAGTTTTCATGAATTAATGTTTTTTCGACTACCTAACCTACCTAACCTAACCTAACCTAACGTTTTCGGCTACCTAACCTATACAGATAGGTTAGGTTAGGTTAGGTAGGGTTGGTTAGGTTCGGTCATATATCTACGTTAATTTTAACTCCAATAAAAAAAAATTGACCTCATACATAATGAAATGCGTAGCTTTATCATTTCATAAGAAAAAAAATTGAGAAAATATATTAATTTAGTAAAACTTGGCTTATTAGGCAAATCGAGCCTTGCATAGTAGGCTGAGAAGTGAGTTCTGGCTACTAGGTACGACATATATATATATATATATATATATATATATATATATATATATATATATATATATATATATATATATATATTATTAAATATGACCGAAAAAGTAAGATTAATAATTCTAACACGAATTTTTTTACCTCCAACAGTGAAAAGAAATGTACGAAAGATTGAGAAAATTCGTGTTAGAATTATTAATCTTACTTTTTCGGTCATATTTAATAATATATGTCTACAAGAAAGACTGCTACCAAAATATACTAATATATATATATATATATATATATATATATATATATATATATATATATATATATATATATATATATATATATATATATATATATATATATATAATACTCCTATATATATATATATATATATATATAGGAGTATTTGCGGCGAAGTGGTGGCCGACAGGTACGGCCAACATGGCCTACTCTGCCAAAGCTCAGGGGGATGGCATTCTAGGCACAGTGAAATTAACGGCGTCATCAAGAGGAGCCTCACAACAGATGGATGCTCAGCAGAGAGAGAGCCCCATCACCTAATGCCCCGTAACTCTGATGCTCTTATTGGTCACCCAGATGGTATCACAGTGAACCCTTGGAAGAATGGCAAGCAGTTGATGTGGGACTACACATGTGTAACAACCCTGGCTAATACCTATACTGACTTCAGTGTTGCACAACAGGGTGGCGCTGCCACTCACAGGGAATCAGTCAAATCCCTTAAGTTCAGAGAACTGGATCACCACTACAATTTTGTCCCCATTGCTTCTGAGACACTCGGTGCCTGGGGTAAGAGTACCACCAGTTTTTTGAAGGAACGGGGTTCTTGGCTAGTTGAAACAACTATGTGTATATATATATATATATATATATATATATATATATATATATATATATATATATATATATATATATATATATATATATATATATATATAATGTCGTGTGTGTGTGTCGTACCTAGTAGCCAGAACACACTTCTCGGCCTGGTTGTGTGTGATTATATGCTCCTCGATGGAGCCCTGTTGCTTGTGCATTGTTTATCGCCTAGAGAGAGACATTGTGGTCTTGCCAAAGACCGTGTGACATGTGTGTGCCAAATACATTGAGTTTTATACTCTTCAAAATACGGTTTTAAATCAAATATTCATTAATAAAGCGTAGACTTCTTTAAATCTTACTGTATTCAATAAACTCCGTATAGACTACCTGTCTTAATGAAGATACTCTGTCGCGTCTACCATTTTGTAAGATGGCTCGCACTTTGCTATCATGGGACAAATTTGCGATGCAACTACATCTATTCTTAATATATCATTCAGTATGCCAAATTTGATGCCTCTCAAAATACTTATAACAGGTTTGAGCTGGCGCGCCACTATTGTGGAGTTGACGCCCGAAAATCAAGGTTGTCTGGGTAGGAAGAGCTACGTCAGGTGTCTCCTGCATGCTTGACTAGCTTTGAGTTTAGTTTAAAGTTTAGTTTAGTTTATCATGTATCCAATACCCATCCAGTGGGAGGCGGTGGAAAGGCTATAAACACCTACGTGTACTACTAGGAATATTTGACTTCTGTCAGCACATGATTATGAATGAAATTCTTACATATATATATTTAATAAACATATAGGGTGTTATTTATAAATCCTTGAATTATTTCACTTTCAATTACCTAGTGACGTATGGTATGTGACTAGATTTGCTGACAATATTTACATTTAAACATGCTTTCTGACCAAAGTCTCAGCCGAACTTGTAGCCGCGGCCAAGTCAAGCAGTAATAATGTCCTGAAACCTGTTGACCTTACTGCATGACCAAAATATGTGGTTTTTCCTCCATAGTAGTATGAAGACAGATGTACACACTCATTTACGCAGATATTCTCAACTTTGATGGGTTATAAAGTTTATAACAAAGACATTAGTATACTTAGTATACATTGGCATTTTACTCTTAATAATTGTGTGTTAGTTGGATTAGAAAGGGTTGGCTTATTATATTCTATGTTTTATCAATCTTCTAGTTTTAACTTTCCACGGGAGAACTGGCTTTATTTCGTGGGCATGATAAAACTAGCAGATTTCTTTAAATGTTTAAATATACAGTGTAATGGAGAGGGGTTTGAAGATGTAGTTGTATACCTAATTAATAATATGTATGTTTAAGATATATACTGTACTTAAAATCAAATAATTTGTTACAGATTCCTGATGATTACAGTGGATATGGCTTATCTCACTTCTGTATTCCAAATCATTATGTCGATGACTTAGAAGACATAATGATTCCCTGGGGACTCCTCCAAGACAGGTATAAATAGCTGATATGCAGTGTAGCCTCATATCTAAGAGAGCGCAAAATCAGCGTTGAAATTACATTTATTTGTTTGAACAGGTCATTAAAGTGAGGTTAAGCTTATTTTTAGTATCATTGTAAGTTATTAGTTAAATTTTATGATAATTATGCATTTTGACCAAATTTTGTTCATTTATTTTGCACTCCATACTTATTCGGGCCGTTGGCAGTAGGAATACCCATCCCGTGGGCGGTAGTGGACGCCATACCCATCCCGTGGGTGGTAGTGGACGCCATACCCATCCCGTGGGTGGTAGTGGACGCCATACCTATCCCGTGGGTGGTAGTGGACGCCATACCCATCCCGTGGGTGGTAGTGGACGCCATACCTATCCCATGGGCGGTAGTGAACGCCATACCCATCCCGTGGGTGGTAGTGGACGCCATACCCATCCCGTGGGCGGTAGTGGACGCCATATCCATCCCGTGGGCGGTAATGGAAAAAGTTAGAGGAAGATAGTAGGCCTAGGAACTGAACGAACCTCAAAATGAAATTAATTGAGCAAGTAACAGTGTTGATATTGAATGATTGATTAGTGATGTGATATCATTCGTGTCAAGTGTAAGTATAAATTAGGTTTTGAGCGAAGATAACGTCCTTTCCGAATTGTACCGCTTCCTTAGGTACAATTTCTCCAGAAGACGAACGGCTAGAACGTTTATTTCCACGGAAGTGTTGATGACAATTTTATAACATATTGGCGTTTGCTTTCTTTCCCTCAAAATAAAATATTGCAAAAATTATAAAAGGTCTAACAACATGCTATCAAGTGAATAACTGATCCAAAATATAAGAGCTATTTGCATAAGCCGCTGAACATGTTGACACTGGAAGATAGAACACGAGATGATATCATTACCATATAACACTGGGAAGGGTAAGGACACCTTTGATAAGGATTTGATACGGATACCTTTGATAAGGATACCGTTGATAAGGATTTCCTGAAGTACCCAGCACCAAGACCAAAAGGACAACAGTACAATTTGGTACCGTAAAATCATAAGTTTTCATTTGCGAACAGAATAGTTGATGAAATAACTTAAGAAATAGTAGAGTTTAATTACTATTTGCAGGTTAAAGACTTTGCAAGATAAAGAATGTCAGGAAGACACCACTACGAATTTATCTCTCAACGTGTAACAACAATTAGACAATTGCATACACACTTTCACCCCCCCCCCCCCAACAAAGCCATCAAGTAAATAAACAAGATTATTAATTGTCTCTTCGTGACAATTAATAAACTTAAATAACAGTATTACTTGTTCAAGTGTCCGAAATAAAAAAAGCTAAACTAAGATAATATTTTGTATGAAGAAAATATATTGCTTAGAGTGAAACGTAACGTCATCACAAGAATGACGATGAGTTAGGTCTGTACTGGGAATTGTTTTACTTGGCCTAATATTATTATGTTCTGATATTATATTGAAGATTTGTAATATTCAAAGTTTTTCATTAAACAACTACATTTAAAACTTGATCTATTGCTTATTATTTTTGCCTGTTGTTGTTCCCACAGAACAGAAAGACTGGCTCGGGACATTTTTCAGGACTTAAAGGATGAACCCTTAACTGCTCTGTGTGTCCTCAAGGGTGGCTACCGCTTCTTCACAGATTTACTGGACAAACTAGCAGTTCTCAATCGTTCCCAGGCCTTTTCTGTACCTCTTTATGTCGACTTTATTAGACTTAAGAGCTATGAGGTAAGATATTTTTACAATAAAAAAGCTAATTTGTTATTGTATTTAGTGTCCAAGTAAAGATTCCGTAGTTTTCATATTAATGCTCTTTTTACATGCAATATCTGAAGAATGTCTGCGTAGAAACTTGAAACATTCAACATTTGTGTACAATGGTATAACGATAGTCTCTGCTATTTTACTGGACCATGTAGCCCCCTTGGTGAAGATTTTAAAATAATTATAATGCTCCTTCTGGGGAACGGAAGACCATGGAGATGTGTCGAGAAAGATTTGGCGTATCTATACCAAATATATACAATATATATACTCCCTGTTAGCAGTCTACGCTCCCAGGAGTGTCAACTGCTTTCCTTGATGGCTTGGCACTAGTCATTTGTCTTTTGTATAAATATACACTGTGTGACCTCGAAAATTAGGACCTATATATAATGAATTCATCCATACCACATCCAGAATTCGAAATCTTTATCCATGAAATCTAATTTACTGTTGATCATATTCACTATTTTCAATATTCTTGTGTTTTAAGGAATGAATATATATTATAATTCAATAACTAGTATTTGTTTATTCAATGTTTTAATGAACTTGTACAAAAGTTTAAATGATACTGAAGTTAGTATAAGTGAATTATTTACTGTGAGTTCCTATAAGGGCTTGCATACTCATATAGTGTACAGAACATACTCTCCTTTTGCATATACTGTATATAAAAGATATAGATATCTGAATGACAATGATATCAGAAATTTGTGCACTGTATCTACATTTTATTTTTATTATATACTGAACTGAATATAGGAAATACATGTAATGAAAGCATTTTATCTAGCACCTCTTCCGTTAAGAATAGCAACGAACAAATTTGACCAGAAAATCTTTAAAATTGAGATTCGCATATATGCCGGTTTCATTATTCTTTACAAATATTCACTCACTGCTTCTTCCATTCACATTAAATAAACTTATCCGATGGTAGATAAGTTATTACAAAAAATTAAGAACGCTGAATTGAGATTTCAAAACACCTGTGGTGGTAGAATAATCTGTTAATGCAACTTTAAACATTGTTTCCACCAGAATGCAGATTCCACTGGCGAAATACGTGTCGTTGGAGGGGACAACATGGTCAATCTTTGTGGGCGCAATGTACTGGTGGTTGAAGATATAATTGATACGGGTCGGACCATGAAAAAGCTCTTGGCCATTCTTGAACAACATAAACCGAAATCAGTGAAGGTTGCCTCTTTGCTGATAAAAAGGCGGCTAGATGCCACTGGATACAGACCAAACTGTGAGTCTTTGAAACGTATTCTTTCTTTATTCTTCTTCCGGGACACGAGAATATATTATACACCTTTTTATGTTTTGACTCTCGTGTTGCAGCCTAAGGTGATGTCAACTGTTTTCTGTGGTCAGATGTTGCAGTATAACACAAACCTTATCTTCAGCAGTATGAAAGAGATAAATACCAGGAAATCCAGTAAATAGTTTTGCAAGCTTCAGTGGAAGCTTTGTTTTCTAATATTCAAATTACTTTGCCTGTACCAAAGTCTTTGTGAAACATTTAGTTTAATATTATTTTTTTTTGCTTAAATTTCAAATGGCAACTGTAAATCCCCTCTAATTATTTAACCTGTTAACAGATTATACAGTATCTTAATTCTTTAATAACCAAAGTAATATAGTCATAACAAGCTTATCAAAAATATTATCTTAGGCGATGACTTCAAAATTTATCTCTGTAAACAAAATAACCTTCAAGTCTATAATATCCTGAATTGCATAAACTCTAGAATGTTCACGATTTTAGAGTTTTCTAGAATGTTCTAGATTCTAGAACTCTACGATTATCAGACATGCATGGATCACTTATGTCACTTTCCTTGGAGTATTTTTTATCCTTTATTTTACCCCCTTTATTATGTTGCTGCTTTTTAAATAAAAGTTATACAGTATTACCATTTACTACCTTCCTCTGGCACTCAAGAGATATCTGCATAACATAAACATATATGAATAAATGAATCTTATTGCCCAGACTTTTCGTTTCAGACTGTGGCTTTGAAATTCCTGATAAGTTTGTGGTCGGTTATGCCTTAGACTACAATGAATACTTCAGAGATCTTAATGTAAGTAGCCCTTGTATTGTCTCTAGTGATTGCATCCTTGTTGATGATACTTTATGTACTGTGCCTTGAAACTACGAATCTATAATCTCAATTGAGTGATACACACTATATAACCTGTTGTCTTATTAAATTATTTAACATCGTCCTTCTCTTCCACAGCATATATGTGTGATTAATGAGAATGGGAAAAAGAAATATGCTGTTCCACGAGGATCACACTAATATGGAGCAGTCATCTTGGCAGATGACTATGTAACCTTATCTACTATAGTCTCCACTTTTTATATTCTCAACAATGGGTTGTACGAGACTACAGATTTAGCCACAAATAAAATGGGAACAAGTTACAATATATTGAAATTACAATATACATATCCATTAGTAAATTAAATATATTTTTATAAGACAGAAGGACTTCCTAGAAGCATATGTAATAGTTAATTACAAAATAGAAGCAATACTTCTTTCATTCCATAGTTTTGTATATTAGGTGATACAAAAAATTGGTGTATGTATGACCTAAAAATTATATATTGACTATACTCTACTTAGGTATTTTAAATTAAGTTCTTTAAATATTTTTCATATGTGATTTTTCAATTTGTTTTTTGTTTAAATAAAATTGTCTAGGTTTGTGTTGGATAAGTTATATCTTTAGACTTTAATACATATAAATTTAATTTACCCTTTACTGTATATTACTTTGCAAAAGTTGTCATGATTAATATGTTCGTGTTGGCAGTTGTAATAATAGTGAAACAATAAATTTAACTTTTCATTGTACAGTGCCTCTGTAACCCTTTCCACTACCGCCCACAAGATGGGTATGGGGTCCATAATAAATGAACTAAACTAAACTAACAGAGTTTTATATATATTTTCTGTTCTTCCACAACAACTTAGTTCGTGCTGAATAATGATTTTATTGCTGATTCCAAGACTTGAGAGGCAGGAACACTAATCTCCCAACCCGTCCTCTTAAAAATAACGTCAATTTACACATAAAATTTAAAACTACAGTACATAATGTTTATAGTACAGTTTTAATATAAACTTACATGAACACATCTAGGAATAATTCTAGTAGTTTACCTATATTTGCGTAACAGGATTTAAAATTGTATAAGTAAAACTTTTTTTGCAGTTTTGAAACTAAATTTCTTGGCATAGTGGTTTTGGCAATAAAGATTGGCATACCTAATAGTTCAATATCATGTGCGGTAAATGCAGTTTTAGCTGCCTTGTCTGCATATATCATGAAACTGGCAGCCATACCATGAGGGGTTTTGAAATTCTTGCACTGTGCATCAATTATATTAGTTATATTTGATGTTATGATATACCTAGTATCTAGCAAGTTAAGATTTTCAAATGCTCGAAGATCTGAATTTGAGTCACAGAAATTTTACAATATATGTGGAGTTAAACCATTTATTTAGTCTTCCATTAGTAGTCTATGTACATTTGTTCATTCTGAAGAACTTACTGTTTTGAATACTAACAGAACAAGGGGACATGGATGGAAGCCGGAAACTCAGATGAGACATAGAGATGTTAGGAAGTTTTCTTTTAGCGTGAAGGTAGTGGGAAAATGGCATGAACGTAAGGAACATGAGTACATGTTTATTTATTTATTTATTTATTTATTTATTTATTTATTTATTTATTTAAGAAGGTGTAATTGGGTTTGTCAGAGTACATAACATTGATGTTTTTACATTCTTGCAAAGACACTAACTGGCACTGCGTTTCGGGAAGGTCCTTAATCTAATATATAATTATACGTACGTAATTTGTAGGAAAATTTGAAGAATATTAAAAGGTACATTGTAGGAAAATTTGAAGATTATTAATAGGTACATTGTAGAATAATTTGAAGATTATTAACAGGTACATTGTAGAATAATTTGAAGATTATTAATAGGTACAGTTTAGCAAAACTTGCGTTCAACATAACTATAATATAATGTGAAAGCAGTGATTACAATGGTGAAGTTGCATGTGGAGCAAGTACATTATTGGCATAATCTACTCTCCACACATCTTAGGCACACATATTGGGGGAGTGAGCAGCACAAAATACACGTTGCTTGCCAAGTTTGAAGCTGTTGCCCCTTGTATGGGTTACATGTGACTTTTTTTTTTTTTAGTCTGGATTAATATCCTCCAACTTGATCAGTATTTTATAGGTCTCAATGAGGTCAGCCTTCCAATTCAAAATTAATTGGCAAAACATCCTCAGGAATAATGGATAGGGGGGGGGGACTTTTGACAAGCCACTGGCTTCCTGTCTCTGTTTAGGCCACTAATTGGAGATAGGCCTCAAGTAAATATACATTTTTTCATCGTTAATGTTTATAAGGGTTCGAATCATTCGTTATGGTAACATTTTGGGTGTTATATAATTATTGTTATTATTGTTATTATTATATAACACCCAAAATGTTTTCACGGCGAGTGATTCGAACCCTTGCCTTGTTAAACAATTATCCAGTGTCAGTAGCAACAAAAGTGTATGAAAATGGTGAAATAGAGAATAGAGCACAACAAACTGCTTCTTCGCTCTTAGTACAAACCAGTGCGATGGTTTTCGTGTAAAAGGGAGGTCGTGGTTACTAACGGGTGATTCAAGGTTTCTAGGTCTGTAGTCATTTATAGTAACAAGATTCGTCCACATTAGCTCCGGACCTCCCGATAGCGCTGGTAACATTTGCTTACCACACTTTACAATATAGCTTGTTATGTATGTATTTATAAATATTTATATATATATATGTTTGCATGCTTATATAAGTTTTCGGGTTATTGAGCTTCCATACTGACTATTAGGGTTTCGTTTTGTCCAGCAGCCTTTAAATAAATATTGACCCATTGTCCTAACCAAGTTAAAGTAAGCTACATTCCGCCTCGGGCTCTCGGGAGGTCCGGAGCTAGCGTTGGAAGAATCATGATCATAGAAAAGCATGAAGATTAGATATCAGACCCCGTTAGTAACTACGACTTCCCTTTTTCGGTATGACGGTCGCATGCCCTTGCTGACCTCAATGGTTGTACTTCTTCTTCGTAAAATAAATAACAGTTTGGCTCAGTAACTATACGAAGGTTGCATATTTGTGAGTTGCAGGAGAGTGTTCACTGAAACCTGCAATCGAGTCTTCGACTGATAATCCATTATTTTAGTTTTGTACAACAAACTTTTAATATGTACAAATACAATTATAAAATAGTTGATATTCTTATATTTTAATCTAAAACACAGGCTGTGCTAAACGATATGCGTGGTATTGGCTTTGCAAGAATGTACAAATATTATCCTTGCCCGAAATGCTATGCGTACTAGTGGCTTTAGGTATTGTATGTACTACCTCTATCTTTAAATCAAACAGAATGTTTGTACTGTAACTCTGCAACTATATATGTTCTTTTCCTAAATAACTTATTATTGTATAATATCAATGTTATATACTCTCATAAACCCAATGTACCTTCTTGTATAAATAAATAAATAAATAAATTATACATGAACGAGCAACTTTATTTAATGTTTTTTTCAAAATGGCATCATACATCAGGGCGGAGTTGGGAGGTCTTGTAGAGCTTTGGTACTGTTTTGTTTTGTTCTGAAGGAATGTTGACCCAAAATGCTTTGCCGCGTGTTAAATGCAATTTATTTTTAATACATTATTTATTCTTATTAAACAGATGGACTATGTCACACTACGAATAAGGTAAATGTTTGACATTGCTCATATTATAACACCCCTAATATATGGAATTTATTTTTAATTAGGACAAAAACACACCGCCTGCTATGCTGTAGTTAACGCACTTTGCCTCACACCTGATTGGTACTGGTCTCTATCCTATTTTTTTTATTAACACAAGTATACGGCAATATAGTGCCGTCTTCACACATGGGCACACCGGGCAATAACCCAGGATCCCTACGATTATAAGGGGCCCCACTTGCCGCCCAATGAGAGATCTCTTGGCAAAATGAATAATTACTTGACCTCTTGCTGGGAAGGTAGGGAATTTGAATCTCGTTTAAATTATATTTCTAATAAATGATTTGTGCATAACTATCTGACGGCAATCTTGCATTTTAGCGTACGGGCGGAGCCCCATTTTCTGCACTGGGAGACCCACTTCATTGATTTGCTCAGGGCCTACAATGCTGTTAAGAGAGTAGCAGCAGTACGAAGCTTCCCTATTCTATGTGCATTCGAATTCCCCAGATTTTTGGTTACCCGTTTCTTTGGCAAGTCCACTACGGGCTCACCATAGCCCGTGCTACTTGGAACTTTTGTTTCGAGTAGTGAATCTATCACAACAACAACTCTCTGGCAACTTAGCTTGTATGAATGGATGTTTTTTTATACAAGTTCAAGTTCAAGTATGTTTATTGAGATAAGCAAGAAATACATCTCAAAGGGATAGAGTAGCTTAGGCTATTTCTACTTTTTTTTTTTTTTTTTTATACAAGTCGCCGCGACGTCCTCTCCCCGTAGTAGAGATGGTGGGCATCATCAGGTAAAGTCAGTTAATATTTAGATGACATGAAGGGGTTCATATAGTGTGAAGAAAAATATATATATACCGACTCATCCTCCTACTACAATGATAGGACTTATAGCAACTATTTAGTCGCATGTACCAGAATGTAATATTATTGAATTAAAATGAATTTAATATACCAATGTGCTTTAATATGCTTACTAATCTCTCTCATCTCATTTTTTCTTGCAATGTATCTGTTATCATTTTATTAATTCTGCTAGAATTTTTCTACTTAAAATTATCTGTTAGATTAAGGACCTGCCCGAAACGCTGCGCGTACTAGTGGCTTTACAAGATTGTAAATACTATGCTATGTATTCTCTCTAACCCAATGTACCTTCTTGTATATAAATAAATAAATAAATAATAAATAAATGTACGCTTACACCAAAAAAGAGGACGTTTTGTACTAAATTAATTTTAAAGATTGCGAGTAAGAAGTTAAAAACCAAACTTAAATACTCCAAGGGCTAATATAATATATATACATGTACTATATTAGGCCTAAGATAGCATGTATTAGCACTAGGATTGCTTGGGTATGTTAAATTGGGTTCTGATTTTATAGATGAAACGTGGCTAGCTGAATCCCTAGAATTGTATCACTAATTAGAGCTACCTTGAAATATACATCCTGCGAGATGGGGCCTTAGTATCAGTGCTACCATATTCACTCTTGTGTTCATGATCATATCCTCATAATGCACCCAGAGTTTGCCAGCGCAGACTACTTATCACAAAGAGTGATTTGAAGTAGTGTGTGTAAGAACTACTTACATTACTTATCAGAGGCAGGAATGTGTATCACTAACCATCCTGTGTGATAGGGATTTTAGCATCACGTAGCTAGCTTTCTGACACTCTGTACTCCCCTTCATATAGTCTAGGGTTGCTAGACTAGTCTAGGGTAGTGCTAGACTGCACAAATGCAGATGTACCTAAATATGTTAATACAAAAAAATGGAATACACATATAATGGAATCGGGGTGAGCCCCCATGGTAAAATCTTTTGGTGCCCAGGTGTACTTGGGCACCCAACACTTAAATGGCGCAACCTTGTGGTGTCGACCCGGGCACCGCCGGGTACCCCATCTAGAAGTAGATAGAGGAAAATATTTTTGCTTTACTCATTTATTATGCACTTCATACACTCGTCCTGTGAGTTGTATAGTGGAATAGGTACAATACCTCCATTAAATGTGCAATGTTATATAATGTCATATATAGCAGTTGCAGTGCAAGAATTAAGTATTCTGTTACACTATATCTATCATTATAATTCAATACAAAATGTGCGGATAACTTGCAAAACCTCAATGAAGTTAATCATGCAACATCCGGACTGCTGTCTATATAATCCTTTTGCGCTTCCATTGGGATGACCCCGGACGTCAAGGGTTCGAATCCTGGCCGGGTCATACAGTAAACTACCACTCACACAATGATTATGGGTAGCACAGTAAAACACTATTCAATATTTCTTAACACAATTATTTTCTAAATAAATCACCAGACTTAGGAGCGCGAGCTTACTAGCAGTAAGTAAAGTGATTTAATCAAACGCACAGTTTGCATTCGGGAGGTCCGGAGCTGATGTGGACGAATCTTGTTACTATAATTGACTACAGACCTAGAAACCTTGAATCACCCGTTAGTAACTACGACTTCCCTTTTGTCCAATTGGACCGCACTGCTGTGGCTCGGGTTAATATTCTTGTTTGTGCCTCGCCTGGGCCTGAATATTGGTGTGTGGATCAGAGTTATAGTGACTTTACCGAGTAACACGTTAGTGAGGCGGCTCTTTGCACCATAAATCGAATCCCAGTGTTCCATAATTATTTGTATAATAATTATTATCAGATTTTTCTTATAAAATGTAATTACTGGTATATTTATATTTGTTCACTACAGCTGTAGAGCATAAAATTAATTCGTAATTTTGTTGAAACAGACATAACCATCTATTTAGTTATAAATCTATAATCTTTATTGCAGTACTATTACTTTCTATATAACGCATAATTCAATCCCAGTACAGGAAATATTGGAGCTTAAGCTTAAATACCTTTGGGGTCCAGTTCCGAAACTCTTTTTATTAGATTTACGACCCTATTTTATATCTGCTCATGGGATGGATATTCGGCCACAGCAAGCCTGGTAAATGAGACTCCACAAATGCTAACTGAAGTGAGTCAAATAGAAGGAATATTTGTGAACTTCTTCGCTAAGATGGTAAGGCAGGAATGGAACAAACGATTGGTAACATTAGCAGAGGCAAACGCAATACACGAGCTTAGAGGCAAAATATGTAAAAACCTATGGAGGCATCATGTCTGCTGAATTGTACTTTCCAATGATTAACTGTATCAACAAAACTATTTTCACTCCCTGCATCTCCTGTGATTAAACGTGAAAAAGTAAGAATGTAATGATACCTACTATATTACATTATTCAAGAAATATGCAGCTATTTAATTCAAACTGATGTACTACCAGAAATCCAACTTAGGTATCAAAGTTTTTCCTACTGTGGGGAATGTAAGTACAGTTTCAGACTGTAGCTTGCTTAGCTATGAATGAATTTGGGGTTCAGTTTTTAAGCCCATTATGTGTGCCTCCGTAACTTTTCCATTACCACCCATTGGATAAGTATGGGATCCCCTACCACTCGCAGAATGGATATATGGGGCCCATTACCACTCACAGATGGTATGGTATGGTATGGTATGGGATAGACTGCCACTCATGATATATAAATTGGACTGCGACCCACATGATATATATATTTCCACTGAAGTCTGACAACCACCATTTGTGCCCTTTGAAAATTTCGTCCATTAAAATTTACAAAATGGGTATAAGGTATCACTACCACTCACAGGACGGGGTTATGAGATCCACTGTTACTCACAGGATAATATTAGATACATATAAAAGAACTGAACTATATCGTACCTCTTTGCTCATGATACGTTCCGTTGAACAGACCAAATATTCGGATCCAACCTCTCAGAGTAACGTAGTTTTATGTGAGCGTTGGTCCTTGTGTTGCGTTCACATGCTACCACCTGCAGTACCTTCTTGGTCCTAACTTGAGACTTGGGGAGGATGCGACTGTGAAGACAAAAGGGAAGTCATAGTTACTAACGGGTACTGAGTTTTATGGTCATGATTCATGCTTTATCTGCGCGTTAATCTTCCGCATTAGCTCCGGACCTCCCGAAATGACAGACGTTAAATGCGGATGCAACTCGCCACCTTTTACCTGCACCACCTTTATTAGGTGTACGTTCTAGTGTTACAAAATATATAACTAATATTTGTGTGTGTCTGACTTTTTTATTTCACAAGCTGGTACATATAGGCACACATACACACACATATGTGTATGGCTGCATACATAAATCTCAAAAACAAACAACACACACACACCGTACTACAATTATATACACATACATGCATGATATTACTTACAATTAGACATGTAATTATAGACTACATGTATACATACATGTATACTTATACATAATATCTATGTATATAAATTCGTGTGATGGTAACTGCCATGCACAAATGACATACTGCAATAAAAAAATAAACCATTCCAGGTAGGCATTAATTCCTAACTATATATATAGGCCTATAATGGTTACTTATAACATTTACTCTTTGCGCGCCAATCCATTTCATTCTCATATACGTATACATTCACATATACAAATATATATAAGCATATACAAGCTTGCATATATATACATGCATTACAGATTCTCCCACGCTAAATATCAGTCGTGAGTGGGGATAGAACCACAGACTCCGAGGAGCAAAAGTAGTCAAGACTTGTCATATAAGTAAGGAAAAGTGCCCAAAAGGTGTGACAATTCGTGTAAATTTAACGTGGGAATGAATGGCTGGCGCAATGCGACTCCCATGACAAAAGGGAAGTCATAGTTACTAACGGGTAAGTGGAGATTATTGAACGAGTAAATCTTAACATAGTAAAGCAACAATCCACATTAGCTCCGGACCTCCCGTAGACACATTGGAATTACTGTTGTTAGTTCCTTAATCCTCAGACTCTTTTGAGATTTCTTAAGTAATATATCCTTTTATTTTCGAGTGTTGTAATGAAATTATATTTATTTATTTTCAACGCTCCACTTCAAAAGCTATAGGGGCTATGAGTCTATGCGTATAATACAGTCAAAATACATCATGTAATGTTCACCAATGGTATTCGCACTGATTACAGTCACAGGGAGCATTGGCAAAATAATTTAGGACTATTCTGTATTCTGTAAGATGCCAAAAATCATGCACTTATACTTCTAAAGTCACCAAGCTTCATACTAATACAGCCTTATCAATAAGGAACTGCAGAATCTAATGTGTTGAAGAACAGAGCTAACTGTGTACATGATACTTTAACTGCAACCTTCACGAGGCCTTGTGGCGCAACGGATAACGCGTCTGACTACGGATCAGAAGATTCCAGGTTCGAATCCTGGCAAGGTCGTGTAGAGTTTTGCAGTTTTATGATTTTGCATCATGAGTTACTGTATATGTGTTAATATTATAAGGGCGTTTCTAAGTCTTTTTCTCTGCTGTACGTACCAGTTATATAAAAGGTGAATGGATATCTCTGAGCACCTGAACACTGAGCAATATAATGGGGAATTATATACAGTACAGTTGCTAGACACAAGAAATAAGTAGGCGTATATATGCATATACAGTATGTATTCACCTAGTTGTGTTTGCAGGGGTTGAGCTTTTGCTCTTTCGGCCCGCCTCTCAACTGTCAATCAACTGTTTACTAACTACTTTTTTTTCCACACCACATTGTGTGTGTGTGTGTGTGTGTGTGTGTGTGTGTGTGTGTATATATATATATATATATATATATATGTGTATGTATGTGTATATATATATATATATATATATATATATATATATATATATATATATATATATATAAATATATATATATATATATATATATATAATATATATATATATATATATATATATATATATATATATATATATATATATATATATATATATATATATATATATATATATATATATATATATATATATGTGTGTGTTAACCACACGATACTTGACTATGAAAATTTCCTGGGGGGGGGGCATTATAATTAATAATATTTCTAAAAGTCGACCCCAACCAGCCTATGTCCGTCCCATACTCCTGACCATTCCCCCTGTAAATTTGGGTGAGGCTATAGCCCCAAGTGACTGCAGGCTTCAACTTTGGACATACTTACAAACTAGCTAACATACAGATAGTCTCTCTTATGTTTCCAAGAAGGTACCCGGTGTTGCCCGGGTCTGTCTGTCTTGTTTTCCCCTATTCCCCTCTCTATCTTTCTCTCTCTTTCCTTTTCTTTTCTCTCCCTGCTACTTTTATTTCTCCCCCGCCTCTTCCTCCTCTCTCTCTCTCTTATATGCATGTATAATGTCAGAACAGGCACACGTCTCACATCGCAACCCCTCTGAATTGCAGTGGCCCTCCGCTCAAGACTATAACTTGCTTAAGCAACTGACATACGTGGAGAGCTAGTGTCACAATTCATGTTTATCTTGCACATCGCCCCCATCCCGTGGGCAGCGGTGGATAGGTTACAATCACAAAATTACTACCTACAGTTACCAAACTGAGGATATTTGGCTAAATAAGAATGATGATGAACTAAACATATTTACATATAAACGTATCTCGCGCGCGTAACTCAGGTGCTCATGGTGTAGTGGTTATCACATCTGTCTAACACACAGAAGGTCCCAGGTTCGAGCCCTGGTGAGCACATAAGTTTTGTTGCATTACACGTCCATTATTTCCCCTGCTAATTATTATAGGTTATGTTCTAGCTCTAAACTTCTGTCAGTTACAAAGATTTAAACTTACATTTAATTAAATAACAGATAACGTTATTGCATTTGATAAAATATCTATTAATATTTCGCTTCTTGTATATACATAAAAATTAAGTATGTGATAAAAGTATAAGCTGTCCCAGTAGACACATATTGGACAAAATACGTTGAATCAACACAGCCCATCCTCCTATTCATAGTACCCACCGTTACCAGATAGTAACGCTGTGGACCATCGTACATTTATTGACGTAAAGGACACTTATATGGTAGAATTTGGTACAACTGAATCTGGACAAACCGAAAAAGGTTTTGTATTTATGTTGCTAATAAAACCTAACTTAACCTAATCACCATAGACCTAATACACGTTATCTGAGGTCTAATATAATACACACATGTGCTATACTAGGCCTAGGAATATTTAAATTTGGATTTTAGCTCTACTTTTTCCACACTCGATAATGTGAATAGTACCAAATTCTACTATCTAATTCAATATATGTAAGATGGCCTACATAGTTACAAAAAATAAGTACTACATTATGTAAAGAGAAGGAACAGAAGCATTAGTTGTTAATACAGTCCAACGAAACGCGGTTTAATTTACCCGACGTTCTTGCAAACCTATGAATTAAACAATCTGCTTGAATCCTATGTATGTATGTATGTATGTATGTATGTATGTATGTATGTATGTATGTATGTATGTATGTATGTATGTATGTATGTATGTATGTATGTACTTTTATCTAAATAAAATGCTTATGTTTGCCCACTGGGGTGTAGTCAGATATCAAAAGCAGCAATAATTCAATTACACTCTAATACTAATTTCAGAATATGAGTATGGTGGTTAGTTTAGTTTAATTCATTTATTATGCACCCCATATCCATCTTGTGGGCCGTAGTGGAAAGGGTTAGAGACACAATAAACTTCTACTCACAAGGTGAGTTTGGGGTGCACAATAAACTGTCGATGACCTTACCCATTTTAAAAATATCTGGGAAGGTCAGGAGCTCAAGTTGTAGAGCAATACTATGGCAGGAACTAAGAACTTTGAAGCTTTTCTTGTTGATAAGGGTTGGTATCTCAGAAGGGTTGCATGATTTAGTTTTAAGTAAGAGGATTATATCATTAACATCTGATGAAATTGTTGGGGACAGATACAGAGACTTGGGATAGCTACCAGAGGCAGTCGCCTACATTAGTTTGAAATTCTGGAATCTCATTTGCACGGGATGTGCCAACAAAGGAGAAAACTATTCAATGTAGTAGGTTTGGGTGTATAATAAACATGCTCACATGATGATTATCACCTTGGTACACAATAAACAACCTTTCACAGGATGATTGATTGATGAAGATTAAGCCACCCAAGAGGTGGCATGGGCATCAATAAGTGGTAGATTTTTTGGAGTGAATGTGCTCACAAGATGAGTTTGATGTGCATAATAAACTATCCGCCGCTAACGACAACAATCATATCTTGTCTCTACATAATCGTACATGTTAGCATTATAGGCCTTTGTCATTATTCGTTAAGATGTAACACAAAGTACACATAACATATATATACAATCGTATACCATGGCCTAAGATGCATAGCATACGGATCGATAAAGGTTGCGCATTCAAATGTTGGGAGCCCCAAGAATGCAAATCTGCCATCACAACATGCATTTTACATGTCAATATCTGAAATTCTGTAATAATGTATAATACAAATATCTATGGACTCTGCGCCGAACATTTCATCTCTACTGACCTTAAGAAGTGTGACATGGGGGTTAAACCCCAACCCGCTTATGACAATACACTCCACACCCAACACGCTTCAGATTTGTAATTGAGGGTAGCCTCAATTCTGTCCACCAACCTTGGGCAGACAAATAGATATGTACTATTTTATAAATATACCAGATTAGGGTGTTATGATCCGGCCTCTTTCCCAGTTATTTTAATCACCCATGAGTTTGGCTCATGCCCTCACCTCAGTTTTACACTAACGAAAAAATTTAATTTAATAAAAATCAACATGCAAATTAACTGAACTAATATCAACCTTGACTAGTTTCTCTTTTTAAATCACTACATAATTATTTTCATGGAAAAATGTGCATGTTTGCCTATTCTAAATGAATTACTGTCTGATCAACACACATGCCTCAAACGGAATTAACATAATCTTAAGAATGATCAACATAAAACAACAATAATTATATATAAGCTAGGCAACAGCATGCAAATTAGTCATTGCATGGTTAATAGGCTTTCGACGGATTGGTGTTTAAAATTAATTATGAAGAATTAGTTAATTAGATCATTCATAACAGGGGTACGGGGCAGACCCAGGGGTCTCCCTCTCCCCCTCCCGACCTCTCTGCCCCCTATTTCTCCCATCTCCTCTCCTCTCCTCCCCCCACCCCTCATATCTCTCTAGATGGGGAACTCAGTTGTATCTCTTCTCCCTATCTCCACCCCTCTCTTCTCCGTCACCCCAACTCCCACCTCCCCCTCTTCGACCCCACCTTTATCTTTCAACATCTCTGCACTCACACTCTCACCCCTTCGACTTGCGAGGTGGTTGCGCAATTACTGACGCTTACATTCCTTTGAATAGTGTTGCCGTCGGCCTGATGACCAATGATAACACTTCCCACCCTCCCTGTAACTGCATTAAGATCAATCAGTGTGTTTTGGTGTTTGTGATAACATGTACAATATTATAAACCATTTTGTGAGATGGTAGTAACTGTACGAACTCATATACAGCTAGCTCTTAGATCTGTACTCTGTATTCCATCATGTAGAATAGGGTAGCAGCGCATTTATGTGTACTTTGTTATAAAAATGGGTGTTCTATTTACAGTGGGAAACGTAATTTTTCCAAATTCGTGTGAATACCTTTTAAACGGAAATGCTTATCTTCAAAATTTAGCGACTAGTAGTCACTGGAGTAAGAGCAGTCAAGAAAAATGTTTTCGAAACATTTATTATTGCGCAATAATAAACAAATTAAACATGAAGCCAATAATTCAAATAGTTATGATTGCTGAAGCTATGTTTTCATAGCATAGCGTCCTTGTGTCATAGTGGAATGAATGGTTTTGGCCGTAGAGGCGCGGCAGACCGCTATGCCCCTGTGGCGCAATCGGTTAGCGCACGGTACTTATAGACAGTGTTCGCTGCTAAGCCATGCCGGGGTTGTGAGTTCGAGCCTCACCAGGGGCACACGTTTTGTTTTGCATGACTCTCTTGTAATGATGAGTATTACTCTATATATTTCTCTATTTTAGTTAGTACTAAAGAAAATAATGTTTGTAAAAATGTTTATGGATGAATTACACTTTGTCTATACAGTATTTCATATATTTTATTTTATTTTTAGTATTTACGTGTTTACACACCAAAAAATCTCCTGAGATTGAACAGTTCCTTACGAACTGTCGTTGCCACAGTGCTATAGCTGTGACTTATTATGAAGTATGTAAATTTTGCCAGCCTTTCCCTGCAAGTGGGTTCGTTCTCGACTCACAATCGGCAATTTTGGGTTCGAATCCCGGGCAGGACAAAAGTGGTTCGGCACGTTTCCTATCACCTAATGCCCCTGTATACTTTCAGCAGCAAAAATAAGTACCCAGGAGTTAGTCAACTTGTAGGTTTACATCTTTGGGAGGGTTAGTAGTTCGGCCTTACGGGAGTACCTCCATACCAGCCTAACGTACAGTATATATATATACATAAACAGAATGCTTGTCCCTGACAAAATGAATTATTAATGATTTTCTACTAAGTTGTTTCTTTTCTTATTCCCCATTGAAAAATTTGATTTTATTAATATATTTCTCCTAACCGGTTAATTATATTTACTCACCTCTTTTACTAGTACATTAAGGAAGTTATGCTTACCATTTCTTTGACTTACCCAAAATTCTAGCTAATTTCCAAACATATCGCCCCTTTGCTCTCTCTAGTGCATTCCATTTGTTAACTACTCTAACACTGAAAAAATCCTGTTTCCTGCTGCGTCCCGTTATGCGAGTTCCACCCTTGCTACAGTGTTGCTACCCTATAATTTTTTTTAGAATTTTGTATGTTGTCATCATGTCTCCCCTATGTTTTGTGTCTACCAGCGACCATAGGTTGAATTCACATAGACTTTCTCGTTCGTAACTCATACCTCGTAGTTTTGGGGCTACTCTGGTGGTATGGTCCTGTTAATTTAATGATTTTTATCTCTTAAGCGAACAAAAATTCATTTGACTCTTGACTTGATTAATTCGTGAAAAATTTTTGTATTTCAACAATTTTGAAATTAAAATTTTGAATTAAATTTAGAATTAAAATTGTTAATTCATGAAAAAATGTTGTTAGCGAAAAACAATATAATAGAATTTTCATTTATAAAAAGTAATGAATTAGATAACATTAGTATAAGTCCTGGGTTGTACATTTAGATGTGATAGATATATTAGTATGTAAAAAAATATAAAAAAGTAAGGTTGCAGACACCCTCTTCCCATAACAATAGATGCGAATACAGTTAGCATATTCTCATTATATGATTTACGCAAATTTTGCTACAGTGTACCTATTAATAATCTTCAAATTATGCTACAATGTGCCTATTAATAATCTTCAAATTTTGCTACAATGTACCTATTAATATCCTTCAAATTTTGCTACAAATTGCCTACTTATAATTATCTGTTAGATTAAGAACCTGCCCGAAACGCTATGCGTGTTTGCAAGAATGTAAAAACATCTGTTGTCTCTCACAAACCCAATATACTTCATGTGTATAAATTTAAAACATGGAAGTAGAAGGGGGAGGGGGTTGGAGGAGGGCAGAGATACCAACAGCAGGTAAACAAGAGGACATATGACACATGGCATGAGAAGGACCGGGGCAAAAGAGGGAAGGTGAGCTGGGAAGAGCTACACAAGGTGCGAGGGGAGGGCGTAGGAGGCACTCGGCACAACACAGGGATAGAGGAGTTGCTAGAGACAGAAGGGAGGGAAGCAACAGAGGGGTGAAGGAGTAAACTCCTGGGCAACATTAATACCCGCGCCGTGTGAAACAATACCAGCAGTCATCGGGAGGACAAACCCTTCATGCAAACTGCACCTACTATCAAGTAGAAACAATACCTCGGCAGCAAGCACAACGATGAAAGAAGAAGGGTGACCAGAGCCGGAGGGAAGTCCTCGACACGGGGTTGCCCCTGTCTTCTGTTGTAGCTGGGAACAGTCCATGGACGGTGGTAAGGACAGAAGCTGCAACTAGAACAGTCTGCCCGAGAGACAACAGATGCCCTGGTGGACTGGGTACGTTCACTGCTGAGGGCTTTGACTGAGGGTTGTGCCTGAGGTGATGAGGTTGCATGTTGTTGTTTTAGGTTCAGCTACTCAGAGCAAAAAGTTCCAAATAGCACGGGCTATGGTGAACCCATAGTGGACTTACCTGGTGAGGTTGCAGTGAGGCTGCAATGTTGTTTTAGATTCAGCTACTCGGAACAAAAAGTTAAAAGTAGCACGGGCTATGCTGAGCACGTAGTGAGATTGCAAGAGCCCCGGGCCTTAAATACTGCTCAGGTGTCAGGCTGAGTGAGGGGAGAAGCTCCATAAAGTCCGGCACTGGTAAGCTGATCCACCGTACTCATGAAGTTTGCGTATTGGACGCGTTTGATTTACGCTTCTACTTTACATTTTACTCTATAGTTTGATAAAAAAAATAACACCCATTCTGTTTCGCTCGACATAAAAAATAAATAGATAAATATTTATATTATATAATAATAATAATAATTAATAATAATAATAATAATAATAATAATAATAATAATAATAATAATAATAATTGCCCGAAACGCTTTGCATAATAGTGGCTTCATTAGTATGAGTAACTCTTGGCCCTACAACTGTACATTACTCTCATGTTATTTGTACACACATTCTTTTGAATAACATTATCATTATCAATAATAATAATAATTTGAGGTCATGACCAACCCATTTTCAGATTTTAATCGGTATGTAAAATAGTGTTTATTGATATATTTTTTATTTATCGTTATAACGTAAATTATAGTTTTGATTAATTCTAGAACAGTTGTGAACGCAAGCTAGCGCACAAGTATAAGAGTGCCCAAAATACATGTAGTTTCAAAATTACAGCCCCGCTCCTGTGCCAGGTAAGTCCCCCTACGGCCTCACCATAGCCCGTGCTACTTGCAACGTTTTGTTCCGAGTAGCTGAATTTAAAACAACAACAACAGTTTAACATAAAAGTCGTGAGTACAGGAGTGTGGCTTCTACTGGTATATTTTTTAATACTGCATAAACGGTATTTATCTTTAATATATATTGCCCGAAACGCTTTGCGTAATAGTGGCTTTAGGCATTGTATGTACTAGCTCTATCTATAAATCCATCAACTTTTGTATCTTACCTTGTATGTATGTACTTTACCTGAATAAATATTTGTATTCGTATTTTGTATTGTTTGGTCCACAGAGCTGTGTGCGTTCGATCATGTTTGTAGACGCTGGGTTGGGATGTGTTGACGCTGGCCTGCGTTGCTTTTATAAACCTCGGCTTATATACATATATATATCACTGAAATTAATTTAATAAATACATGCCTGCCAAGTTGAAGAATTTAACTGTTAATTAAGATCATTATAATGCGGTTTTAATATTGACCAATAATTTATATACGAAGCGTACAAATTTTGTGTCCGAAATACATGGGCGCGCTCCGTCTTCCGTAGCAAGTGATAATTATAATATTTAATGTGGTATTCATTGGTAAGGCGGCTAAAAGCTCTACTTACGGGTGCCCTCCCACAACTGCGGTAGAGACCGGTACTTTTGGCTGCTGGGTACCCACCCAACTTGCCCGGTTCACCCCTCCATAGAACTTTGTCAATGGGACATAAAGTTCTTAAAAAGCCCCGTTCTACTGTTCCCGGTCGCCACTACGCCTTTTAAATGGAATTACCCGAGCAATTTCAGTAAGTTTCCCCTTTTTCCTTGAAAGAAAATGCCAGAGAATAATAATAAGTTCTGCTGAAAGGGAAAATGACACAATTTCTGCAAGGTAACCTGCCTCTGGCTAGTGGATCACTGTATCCCTTCATGTATTGTTTTAATTACAGTATTTAAACAGTTTATTAGTGCCTGTAAATTGTTATCAGGTCGTGTTTATTTTGTTTGGTATAGTTAATATGTATGTCATAGCCATCCAGCAGGCTGTGTTGAAAGGTTTATGAAAGCACAGAATGGGTTCAGAAGCTAGGGTAGTGTGCATTTTATTATATATAATATATATATATAATATATATATATATATATATATATATATATATATATATATATATATATATAAATAATACACAAGAGTTCTTATATTCTTTTAAATCCACTAGCACGCATAGCATTTCAAGCAGGGCCTTAATTCTAATTTTCCCCAAAATACGACTCGCCAAATCGTTTAACAACCAAGTACCCATTCACTGCTAGGTGAACAGAGGCTACAGTTAAGGATTGGTGCACAGTCAATCCTCCCCGGCCAGGATATGAACCCAGGCCAAAGCATCCGTGAAACGCCAGGAAAGTGTGTTCTCACTTTACCATAGGGACTGCAGATGTTCAACTCATCATGTTTTAAAGTCATCATGCATTGATCACAATAATGATATACATATAATAATTATATACATATAATAATGATATACATATAATAATGATATACATATAATAATGATATACTATATATTATATGTATGCTGTACATATAATAATAATAATGATATACAATGATGTATAGTAGACTTAATATGCATCCAATATTTCATAATTGTTTAAAAACATATGTGTAACAGTCTCATTTGATCATTAGTTTTGTTAGGCTAGGATGGGCTATTTAGTGCTTATATTTAATATCTTATGTATACTGTATATGCATAATTATCATATGCTATAAATTTACTACAAAATTCAATAAGTTAGTGTGTGCTGATTTATAAAATTAGGGTGCAAAAAATGGCCCCTAAGTCTAATTGTTCTACATCATGGCTATGCTTTAAGCAAACTTAACTTATCCTAACCTATCTAATGAAAATAAGAGAAATTGCTGTTATATAAACTGTACTGTATATACAGTACTCTCTCTGAGGTGTGACAACACAGATCTATTATTTTGCATCCTGGGAAAGTGGTGCAACATCTCGGATAGTGTATATTGTTGCCTGGAGAAGTGCTGCCACATCAAACCTCCGCTCACACTTGCCAAATCATCATACTTCTCCTACCTACCTTGAGCTACCTTGAGATGCTTCCGGGGCTTAGTGTCCCCGCGGCCCGGTCGTCGACCGGGCCGCGGGATATATATAGATATATATTATAGAGATATATTCCAGAGATATATTCTCTGCTCAAATTGTCACACATTTATTAGGCAATTTTAAATAATACATTAGAATGCATCCAGCCAAGCTCCCCATCCCATATTCTCATTCATTCATGCCCAAGATCCTGTGTAAAGTAGGTTTGAGCAACTCCAGCCAGCAACAAGCATTGTCCCATGGGTCGAGTGCTCAGTGTTACTCGTGTCAACACTGCCCCAGCCCCAGTACAAAATCAGAATTCCTAAACAAACGAAACATCAACAAACCCCAGCTGTAATTTAGCCATCTACAGCTAAATAAATCTTTCAAGCATTGGGGCTTTCTTTTCATAATTATTTATTCAGTGCACGACTGAGCAGGGACTGAAGGCACTAGAATGGGTATCATCATAGGGTTTATCCAGGATAACATGCAAGGTTATCCCAGTATAGCAGAGTTTGTGCAAAAATAATTTCAAATTGTTCACTTTAGAGTATACAGTACTGTAATGTAATGTATATGAGCTAAGATAATGATAATTATTGTTATGGTTCATATACATTACTGTACAGGATTCAAAACAGGATTAATATTTTATCCCCTTTAATTTGGTTTTCAGATTATTAGTGATAGTATACCAGATTTTCTAAATACTTCATAGCAGGTATGGAAGACCTGGATATGAAATAAGGCAGTACAAAAACTTGGAAATAAACAAAAAATTAAAACAGCCCCTCAAGATAAAATTAGTTTTAAAGAATGACTATAGTAGCTAATGTGATACATACATTATGTATGACATTATCACGAGGTTCGAATCCTCATCACGGCCCTTGTGGATTTGTTCGTGATACATATACACTAATATGTAAGACTGTTTTTGCTCATTTATAGTTTATATGTTTTAACAAATTTCTCTCTTTGCTAGGGAGTCTGATAGAAGCAACAGCAAGAGAGGGCGTAAATTAGGTTTAGTTTTGGTGGGCCTTACAGGCGGAGCTGCAGTTGCCCTGAGTGTCATTGCTGCACCATTCGTAACTCCAGCACTTAGGAAGGTAAATTATTTAATCTTGTGGATTTTTTATAGGGCAAATGAAAGAGCAAGAACCATGTGCTTAAATTTTCATTTAGCCTAATCTCAAAATGTGCATCATAAATGTTCATATATTTTTCATATTACAGTATGTTCATATATATTATCTAAATGGTAAATTTAACTCGTTATTTTTTTGTGACTAGTAAAACAAATGATCTATACAGTATTTTACCAAAAATAAAAAAATAATTTCAACAGAAAGAGGAAGCTTGTCTGAAAATTAGTTTATGGATATGGAGGACTTGTATTGTTATTTAGAAACCATCAATAATATTCATAATCAATAATACTACAAAAATTATGTTATACATATAAATAATAGAGTAAGGAATCAATTTTATAATAAATGTGTTAAATTAATACAAATGTTGAAAATACATAAAATGCTCTTTTCTAAATATGGGCCTTTATTTGCTCACTTGGCCCAGCAGTTCACTTGGTTTTACAGACACCTTACACCCACCAGACTCTAATGGCATGTTCACCCACCACCTGTACCTTTTTCAGATAGTTTCATCACATATTTGTCACACTCCCTTCCCCAACTATCAGCTTGAGCCATTACCAAGTCACAAACTCAGTATAATGTAAAAGAATGAGCATTAGACTTGACAAACCCTCTCCAAGCAAAATTGTAAATCAATGAACCTCTATTGTTGCTCTACTAACTACTAGTTTGGCAATTGGCAACTAACCCAATTGCAACCTGATGACAGCACACACCACCACCTGGTTGGAGGAGCCAGAAACTTCACATTGTCTGGGCCACCAAAGCATGCTCAAGAAGGAACAAAGAGGATGGGAATAAAAGCAACTGAGGAACTGATTTGCAAGGGGTTCTCATAACCACACTACACCGTATTTCTGAGCTAAGGTCCCTTGGTTGTTTCCCAGTCAACTGCGATTAATAAAACATCCATGAAATGAGACAAGGAACTTGCCCAAACTTTGAGAATGATTACCGAGTGGACACATGAGAGAGCTTCATGAACATTTAGAATTTCTAATATTAAACTTTATTATTCATTTGTACTGTACAGTATATTAATTCTTTGACTCTCCTTGAATAGGTTTGCCTACCTTATGTTCCAGCAACCAATGAGCAAGTCAATAATGTTTTGAAAGCCCTAAGAGGTCGCTCGGGGAGCTTAGTTGATCTTGGGAGTGGTGACGGACGAATTGTAAGTATGTGTGCAAATATTTTAACTACAATTCGTTATAGTGATATTTGGTTACTATTCTAATTTTTGCCACAGAGTCATATTCTATTTACTGAAATATATATTTTAAGGTTTCATAAAAAAAATAAGTATTCTGCATGAAAATTAATTATAAATAATGTAAGTACAGTACATACAGTATTAAAAATACAGAAAAAAACATTATTTTATGGTACAGTACTGTATTATGGTTTTTTGTTAGCTAATGCATTCAATGCTACCATAAAGTAAGATCTGCTTTTTTCTCTGAACAAAGATTGTGGCAGTCAGGTAGGTGACATTTATATCATAGTTACAACAGGAACTGTTTCTAACTGACCCTGAAATCATAGGTTGGTATCAGAAATTATCATTAAAGGTCATTAAAGGTGCTAGGTGGTGACCAGAGATATGCTCTGTTGAGAGAGGGTGATTAGTTTTTGAAGCATTTGTTGTGGTCATGAAATTTAATGATGTAGTAACAGGCCTACTTTTTTTTTTTTAGGTGGTTGCTGCTGCACGTGAAGTAAAATTGAAAGGTGTGGGAGTAGAATTAAATCCTTGGTTGGTTTGGTACTCTCGTTGGGCAGCTTGGAGAAGTGGAGTTTCATCTTCAGCGTCTTTTATCGCACAAGATTTGTGGAAATTAAACCTCAAGCAATACCAAAATGTTGTTATCTTTGGGGTTGAAGAGATGGTTAGTACAATATAACACTGTAGTTTCATATTCGAGTTCAGGATATGTGTTTTCAAATACTATATAACTCCTCTCCTTTATACGTATTAGATATTTTATGTACAGTACTGTATTGTATATGTAATTATTCCTCCTGCCTCTCTTACTTTTTACCTGGTGTTTACCATATCCTTCTGCCATACCAATTTGTCAACTTCCTTGCCTTTGAGCCTTGTGAGCTCACTAGTTTACTATATACAATTAACAAGGTGAGCCTTGTGAAGAGAATGGGGATTGGCAAAAAGTATGTAGGAGGAAAAGTAAAGATCTTGACATAAGATCATGTCATGTAAAATCTCCTTTCCTATGCCAGATCCTCTTTGGCTAGATTTTTATAGTCTTTGATGCCATCAAGGTGGAGCTTCTGTAAGGAAATCAAACGCAAAAGTCATGGAACATAATAATTATCATTAGTGTCAGAGTTTTGAAAAGTGACCATAATCTTATTAGCAATTATACTGTAATCTTTACATTTAGCTAATTCTTCCAGATGCCTGCCCTGGAATCCAAGTTGGTGCAAGAGCTACAACCAGATGGCTGCGTTATTGCTTGTCGCTTTCCTCTTCCATCGTGGAAACCAGTTGTTACCTTTGGGGATGGTATCAATACAGTGTGGCTTTACACAAGACCTGGAATAAGTTACCTTAAAAATGAAATAAACAATAATGTGACTCACGATGATACCTGATTAAAAATATATATATTGAAAGGTGTACAGTACTAACTTAATAAATATATTGAGCTTTAATGCTGTATTTTTTTTTACAAATCATTGGTATGTAAAAATGAATGTATAATGTATAATAATAATGAATATTCAGAATATTCCCAGGTCCTAACTAAATCTATGCAAATGTAGGATCCCAATACAGTATACAAAACCCTACCTAATACTGTACAGGAAAAAACTGCTCAACCTATACTATACTACTATACTTAAAAGAGAAGGGAATTATCACATTATTAAGCTTGTCATTATATGGCACATGGATTATAGTCATAGTATAGATATGTTTCCTGCTATGTATAGATTATACATTATATAGCACATGGAAGGATATGAGGACAGGAAGGAATGAACAAACTCTGCCCAATCATTTGTAATATTGAGAATCAAACTAATCTGCATGAAGTGACCCTCTGGAGTTCAAGTGGCTCAAGAACTTTATTGAAACGTATAAGCTAACCTAATGGTACTATTTGTACTTTACTATATACAATTATTGTAATTAAAATTTCCATTATTACCTTGGTGGTTCCAACATCACTGAGCTTGTCTCTGCCTCAGGCTGGACTCAGACTACTGTTTGGAGGCTATTCTTTAATAATAGCTTTATAATAGCTTTATTGGCCTTTTGATTTATAAGAGTTATATTGGCCTTTTGATTTATAATAGCTTTGTAAAACTTATTACAAAGCTTGGAGGCAAGATACTATGTGGTCACACCACCTGTGTGGTCCCAGCTACTCTTGGGATCTGGTCAGCTAATAATAAGGTAATTTCAATTTCAGTTGACCTGGATGAACTAATTTAAAGTTCTAATTTAACTAATTCATTAACTAATTTTAAATTTAAATGAACTAATTTAAAGAAACCTTAAAAAGGACCAGGTTCGCCTGTATTGGTAAGGCTGCTACGGGCCGCCCACTCACGGACGCGATCCCACTACTGCTCGACACGGGTGCTTTTGGCTGCTGGGTTTCCCCCCTGGCCCGGTTCACACCTCCTTAGTCAACCTGGACGCCCCTGGCTGCCCAAGGGTGGCCATATTGATGCCGAGCTTAGTGCGGACGCCCACTCAACATGGGGAGTCCCGCACCAGTGCCCCTCGCCTCAAGCCGTCCACTGGCCCAGGCCTCCGAGTCGCCGGATTACAGGGTTGCGCCACCAACCCCAGCCGATAGGATAGCTATTCAAACATGTATTTGAAGCTATGAATTTCTAGTAAAGTAAATAATGATTTTCATGTGATCATGCTATATTTAGTTTTGAGAATTAGGAAAACTTGTCAAATATGGTGTTAGTTGTCCCAGCATCCAGATTATCTCGAGTCGACCTTAGTAAAAGTATGTCTTTGAGCATCTGTAGGGACGTACCGCTGGGGATGTAGGGACTAAATTTTTTTTGTACCTTTTATGATCTTTCTATTCTCGATTGTATCCACAGGTTGCATTTGGGAATCCATAAGAAACAAATGAAATTATATGTTATAGGTGTCAAAACTAAAAAAAAAAAAAAAAAAAATCGTCCCCCTCTGCTCAAGACTCGAACCCGTGTCAATGTTGCTGACCGGGTATAGGCCAAGACGATTCGACGCACCTCATTTTTTTTCTGTAAGATAAAACTGTATATAATAATCTGTTAGAATATATACACTTAGATTAGGAGGTGATAAGCTTTGCTGGGTTAGGATAAATTTGTTCGGGTTAGGACAAGTTAGATAAGGTGAGACAGGTTTTAATATGAAACGCTATGCGTGCTCGTGGCTTTACAAGAATGTTAAATCAACTTCACTTTAAGGGGACCGCGTCGTACATATCCGGCGGGTTTGCTTATGCGGGTTCTGCCCCCGCGTCGTAAATAGCCGGGCGATCTAAAAAAACATATAAAATCCAATTCTTATTCGATCGACTTGGGGTTTGTATGAAAATGTTTGCCATTAAATTTCCGTTTTCTCTAATAGGCACATAGCCTATTTGAGAAAACGGCATTGTATTGTAACTTAGAGGAGAGACTATTGAGTTGGTGACACAACGAGGGTAATCGCCCACTTCACACACTCTTGTGTAGGCCGCGATCATAATTCAACATTTATATGCATATGTCTGTGTAGAGAATTTTATTACGAGTTCAGTGATATAAAATTCAACGCTGTAGAACTAATGTGGAGCTGACAACAAACAAAAGAGTATGAACATTTTGTTGCTGTTTGGGCGTACGGCGAGTGATCTACGTTATTATTTTGACCAGACCACACACTAGAAATTGAAGGGACGAAGACGTTTCGGTCCGTCCTGGACCATTCTCAAGTCGATTGTGATGAGGAGGTAGGGACAGGCAATAAATTTTACGTTATTATTTATTTCGTGGTGGAATAGCTAATGCTTTGGTTACATTTTATACATATGATCTTGTAGAAAATTTTATTGCCAACACATTGATACCAAAATGAAATACGTAGCTCGCGAATTGGTGTCAGGAGAGTGAAAAGATTACACACTGTTTGGTGTTTACGCTTAAGAGCCCAAAACGCCGTGCGCACAATGCGCTATTTTTTTTCACGGGGACCGCGCGCATTAAAGTGTTATTAATTAATTTCTATGTTCTCTGTTAACCCCCAATGTACCTTCTTGTATATAAATAAATAAATGAATAAATAAAATATCGCTCGGAGACTGGGGCTGAGGTCAGTGAGGTGAGCCCGCCCGCCCCACCACATACTTGCCTCACATTGCATAACTGACTACGGGCACGTCAGGTGTATAATGCAATACGTTATGCTCCGCCCACATACAAGTCCACTTCTTGTACCTCTTGGGTCTTTATTTGATCCTTCCCGACAATTGATTTCATACAAATTAAATGGAGCCAGTTCATTTCGGCCCCATTTCATTAAAGAATATTATAGTTATGTTATTATGAGTACTTATATGAGATGATATATATTTTGCCAGAGTAAAATGTAGCCCGTCCGTATTTTACGTCTATGGTTAACAGTCAAGGGATCGAGGTTAAATCACCCGGTCGCAGGACAGAAACGGTTGGACACTTAATTTAGAAACTGTACTTGTGGTCGATCTTGAACCCATTGATGATGTGACGACTTATACTGAATTTTGTAACTAGCTCATCAAGATTGTAACTTGCTTAGCTAAATGAATTGTGGGGTTCAGTCCCTGAGCCCATTATGTGCCTCTGTAACCCTTTCCACTACCGCCCATAAGATGGGTATAGGGTGCATAATAAATGAACTAAACTGAGGTAGAGAGTCCCTACAAACGCAATCAGAGGTGGTACTCATCCCCTATATATTTTTTGTAATTTAGAATGTAAGAACTCTTGGATATATAAATAAATAAAAAATAAAATGGTTATACTTAGTATTAAAACCCCAATATAAGACTATTAACAGTTAAAATCTTCTAGTTAACAGGCATATAGTTATTGAATGAAGTTGAGTGACAACCCGTTCTCGACTCAAGTCCATTACATTCAGCGGTCAACCCCACAGACGAATTCATAAATTTTAACATGCTGTTCATTCAAAACGGGATTTTTCTCAAGTATAAATTAATATTATAATATATTAGCATATTGTGTATATATAGGCATAGGATAGGTTAGGTTAGGTGTTTAGGTTCTGTTGGCAATTATTTGTATTTATAGTACGTGGGTGAAGCATTTATAGCGTTGTGGTTCGAACAAAATTCGTCAGTGAAGCACCTGTTCCGGATATGTTCGAACGTCAGCAGTTGTGAGTCGTGTGTAAACCGCTTTTCATTCATAAACAGGGGGTTTGGCGGGTGGATGGAATCACTTTTGGATCTTTGTTTGGAGGACGGGCTGTGAGTGATGTGATGGCTTCTGAATCCTGGCTTCATAAGAACGTCCACCAATGTTTACACTTCGCGTCTGAAGGCCCACAAACATGGTCGAACGCACAAAACACTTGACTGTGGCCAGTTTTTGGGTAGACTCCTATTACATTTACTGTGTGATTGTTGTACTAATATATAATAATAGGTTTTAAGAGTAAACGCTTAACATGTAATATTTATTAATAAAAACAAAGTCAGAAGCTACACGCCTGTCTCTACGTGCCTTATGTGTTAATTTTGGGCGCTCTTGTACTTGTGCGCCAGCTGGCGTTCACATCTGATCTCGCCTGAAAGGTCTAGATTTAGTCAATCATAGTTAGTTAGTTTAGTTCATTTATTATGCACCCCATGCCCATCTTGTGGGCGGTAGTGGAAAGGGTTACAGAGGCACATAATGGGCTCAGTAACCCTTTCCACTACCGCCCACAAGATGGGTATGGGGTGCATAATGATAATAATGTGCATTTATTTAGGGGAATAAATTTTTGGGCCCACTCAGAAATAATGGGCCTCAGAAATAATCGAAACATTATAATAATTAATTTTTTGTTGTATTAAAAATATAAATAAAACCCCATGGTTACTCTAATTATGAACACTAGAAAACCTTCAATACCACAGGGAAACTTCGCATCTACTGCAGATATATCGATAATATATACGTATGTGTGAAAACCCTCCTGGAATTGTCGCGATTAAAGGATCAACTTATCCGCAACTCAGTGCTTAACTTTACCCATGAACTAGGCATCGATGGTACACTCTCTTTCCTCCATGTCTACGTGAGGACCTAAGACCCCGAAGACTAAGGACTAAGACCTTGGTCTAAGACCAAGACACCTGCCCGAAACGCTTTGCGTAATAGTGACTTTAGGCATTGTATGTACTAGCTCTATCTATAAATCCATCATTTTTTGTAAAATCTCTTGTATGTATGTACCTTGGCTGAATAAACATTTATTTATTATTTATTTATAAGACAACTTTCACCACAGATTATACTAAACCCACCAACACTGGAATGTGTATGAATGGTCAGGCAGATATAAGAATAGTGTAATAAACGCAATTATACTAAGAGCCCTTACTCATTGTTCTGACTGGTATAAAATCTACAAGGAACTGGAAAGAAGCCTTCAAGATTGATTG